TTACGGCAACCTGTTAGTCTGTTAGAGATTATTGTCTTCCTCTGCTAGAGATATTTAAGCCACGGGTCACTATCTGATACTTGCATACTAATGATTCTCATTTGTTTACGTTATTTTTATATAGGCGGGAATTCCGCTAAAACATGAATTTGTTATTCTGGATACTTGGTGAAAGATATGTGTCATGTCACGCAGCCAATTTGCCCACCAATGTATCCAGAAGAGTCTGTTTAGAAGTAGATGGGTTGATTGTGTAACCGTCTATTCGGTAATTACCGATTTAAAGGTTTTCACGCATGAAATGACAACCCCATTAGTTTTGTATGGGAAATAATAGCCTAGTGCATGGGTTGAACGCATGCACCCGACTATTGTTTCCTATATAAAACTAACGGGGTAGGCACCTTATTCATGTTGTCATGTAAACCGGCGATCTCCGAAGTAGTGGTCTCCGATTCTATGGTTATATAATTGCCCAGTTTAGCAGCAGGGGCAGGAGAAATAGATTCAGCCTTCCCTCGAATGTTTTTAGGTTCCAGGCGCACCGATGTCACCGGAGGCAGCGTGATCGGGTGCCGGCGGTTCGCGTAGTGATCAGATCCGTACCAAGGCTTCATTAAACTCAGTTGATGTGAATGGTGGAGAGCTTTGAAATAAGTGCACACGCTACGCATGTCAAGTTTTGCGTTGCTTTTGTTCGTTTTGAAAAGCGAGGACGTTACGGATATATCAATTGAAGACGGACAAGATGAAGGGGGCGTTGTTCCATCGCTGGTACTTATGTACCGATAGTCGCGCCTTCGTGTCCACCTATCCCTGAATCATTAGGGCGAGCGGTCACAGATTTACCAAACCGTCGCTATGTGCCGTGGCAGAATGAATTCAACTCTGTCACCCTACTCCGCGCCCTACTAATTAAAAAAGGCGAGCGAATCGGGTTATCAAATGATGAGCATTATGTTATTATTGGAGAAAATTGGATTTAAAACTGTACTTGTTGCCAACTAACCTTGATCGACATTACACTCAGTCCGGGGTGGTTGACTTCTCTTTCAACTCGCCTCACTGGCAGTACGCTCCAACCTATGCCTGCTTCGCGTTCAATTGATTTATTCTGCTTACTCTAGCTCCAAAGCTCACTTTTTGTCGAGTCTTATTTCATTTCAAGGTTCGAAAGCGTAATTGAGAAAGACATGAGTAAAAGTGCTTTTGATCTCTGTTGTCCCTGCGCTCCTGGCTTCTATTTATCCTCTACAATATCCTAGCATACTTTACTTTACTTCTCTTTCGACCCCTTCTCGTTCCGAGTGTCATACATGTTGCCATCCTCGGGTGTATAAGGAGGCGGAGCGACGGAAGACCCCTTCGACTGATGAACCTGTGACCACATCTCACAGAGTTTGCAACAAAAGAGGAGACATACATCATACTTTGAGATCCTCGGTTAGGGGAAACACCGATCTTTTTTGGACTAGGTCCTTCAGGTCCCTCGCCGTTGCGCAATTTTTTACTTCTTCATGTGAAACTCTCACCCCAATGCCAAATGTGAAGGCATTATATAGTGTAGATTTCGTTGCGTCTGAAACCATTTATCTCCGTTTATTAGCGTATGTGATATGTTTGTTAATAAACCATAGGCAGGATTCTAAGAAGAGATCAGTATTACCCCAATACGGAGAATAGATATCTGCTATTTATAATTAGTTCCGCCCTGCCTCGTTCGATACTCATAGAAAAGCCACGTTGCCGACCTCTGCCCGCAGACTGGACTGGCCAGATGTAAAGCCTTCGTACCACCCTGATCGATACTACGCTTGTTTCGCCGTATAGTCGCAGGTTGTCCAGTACCATGGTCCTCTGAGAGGGGTGTCCATGACATCCAACCATCCAACCATCCAACCATCCAACCATCCAACCATCCAACCATCCAACCATCCAACCATCCAACCATCCAACCATCCAACCATCCAACCATCCAACCCCACAAAGCTGACTGGTGGCCAACCGAGTGACAAAAAGAAGGGCACAGTTTTTGGCCTACCTTTACCTTTTCGGCCACGCTCAGATAGAAAGATATTAGTAAACTAAAGTCACTTACATAATTTGTCTCTCTTTGTTTACCTACAATCATCCAGCCACATTTGTGTCGTCCTATGCGTGTATGTTGATGATCCTTCATGTATTAAGAGGCTCCCCATCCCCCATTTAGCCTTGGATTAAAACTCCTGGGAAAACCTGATCCATCCGCCAATGCCATTGCTGGACTGTATCAGAGCACTGCCTCTTGAGGCCTTATACGAATACCGCCATGGCTCAAGAGCACGGGCGGCTCTTAAGACACTTGCGTTACTCTTATGCATAGTTTTCCCTTTCTCAGTTGTCTATGCTGAAATTTTCATTTTCAGATTTATTTACTTTATTCTTACTCTCTGGAAACGCCGCTATGGAGAACGTGGTGCAGCCTCTCCGCTTCATGACGGGATTCTTTTCTCTTTACATATCGTTATAACCGTCATTGTACTTCGAATTACGTTTCGTATACTCTCATTTATTTTGGAGCTTCTAAGGAGTTCTCTCGACAATCGATGAATGACAGATTTTTGACCATGTAAGTCTTTTCTCAAGCTGCTGTTACGCTTCTAATCACCCTTTCATTATGAATAACTGAGCATACGCTGATGGCACTAGTCCTCTACGATCAAGGGATCAATCCAGAGAGCTTTAGTGATGGTGTTACCATCTAATTGGGTGCTGGCCGCTATGTGCAGAACAGGGGATAATGATGAGTGGGTTGCCCCAACTCTAGGCGTGACAGATCGTATGATTGGGTTTTGGTCAAGTTCTGGTATGTTAGGAACTTAGTTTGACAAATACACGGTGTACTTCGTGGTAAAAATCCTAGATTAAGCGTGGCCTGGATACGGCAGCAAGAAGGAATGGGTCAAAATTCCAGTTTTCATTCTACACCTAAGCCCTTCCACCCTTCTGAACGGTCCTTTACAGCCTCATTTACATCAGCCCTGATCTATGGCCAGTCCAATCCGATCTGTTCAAGAATGTACACACGCCACACAGCGCGCACACATTAGTTGTCCTCCTTGAATCTGGCAAATACTAAGCGAACATGCTCATTTGATTTTCATATTCGGTGGCTTAGCTATGATCGCACTTTGTGCAATAAAAGAAGATTGTTGAGCCTTCATCGGCGCTGCGGAGCTGGAGCTCAGGAGCGCTTACAAGAATGACAGGAGCATCGTGATCAACCCCGACGTTTTGCAGTCGCTCCCTGGTCAACATTAGCGCGGCAAGCGGACATCATGTGGGCTTGACCTGCCACGACAGCTGTGTCTTATCCCGCTCACGTCCGCATCGGTAAATGTCCGCCGTTGGGAAGATGCGTCGTTGCTCAACGACAACATGATTGGCCCACAATTTGAGGTCAATGCGGTCTGGGGTGGTCCAGATTACCTTCCAACTTGGACAAGGGGGCCTCACCTTGTTTGTCTTGGCCGATCACACTTCTGCAGGGGCCCACATAAGAGCACTCTTGCAGGGGGCCACTCATCGGATGATGAACACAGACATTGCAGCACCACCCACCAGGTACGTGCCGGTGACTTTGGGGCCGGCCGTTGGTCGTTCCCCCCATAAACCCTCTTCAGATCAGGAATTGGCTGACGAGTCCCCAGCCGCACCCCCTGACGCTTGGCGCAGCAAATTTCTTCCCATCCAGTGCAGCTGTCCAGGCGCACAGGTCACCATCGCCATTTTTTGCCGGCGAATTGCGAGTAACCAAACACAGCGCCTGGAGGCTGGATGACAGTCTCGACGCAACGCCAACGCATTTGGCTTCTGTTATCCACAAGCCAAAAAAAAAAAAAAAAAAAACGGTCTGACCTTTTGATGACCTTCCATATGGAGTGGAAAGCGCACCAGTGAGACAGGGCCTTTGGGGTGTGAGAAGGCCAACCAAGCCTGCATGAGCTCTTCTTGTTGGGCCAAGGGCAGCGACTGAAAATTCGGTCTTCACATGGACCTATGGTTCCTAGCAAGTAGCAGGGCTTAGAGCCGTTCGCATACCAAATGACACACCACCTGCACCAGTAAAACGCCCTGTAGACCTCTGCAGGGTGCAATTTTGGTTCCAACAGTGGGTATCGCCCTCTTAATCAGTAATGCACAAGATTCCAACCGTCCATGGCACCTGGCGCACGTGTGACACAGGCCGCTGTTATGTTTTCATTTGGTTGTGTGCATCTTGTTGATCGGAGATACCGTTTTGAACCCTTGCCCATTCTAACGTCACGGCCCTTGCCTTGTTGGCCTCTGCTGCTATTTGCAACTGGTGAACGCTGTGTCTGGCGCAATGTTGTTCGGTTTCTGTGCGGTCCAGACATAACTGCGCCCAACGTCATAACTTGTGCTGGGCGGAGGAGGCTGGCTAAGACCAGTGGTGGCGGCCGTCAGCCCACGTGACGGGCCGGCAAGGCCTGCCACCTACATTACTTGATAGGCGTCGCTAGTTCTGGTCATGACCGATGAGGCGCCGCGGAGTGGGATACATGCCGGCCAGGGCCCCCCTGTGAACCAGCCTATTCCTTTCAGTCTAGCCAGACGGTTTAGCACGGTGTTAATTAAACCGAATGATGACTAAGGGAGGCACTGGCCAATGCCTCCCTTAGTCATCATTTGCTATCCTTAATTAGGAAGGTGTCAAAGCATTTTTGCCTCCCCGCGTAACATCACGCTACGTATAAGCATTAGCCACTTTGTTAGGTTTTTTATCACACAGATCGGTCATCCAAAGTAGACAGTTTAAAGAGGCTTATTCGCATTTCTCTGATATGCAAAAATCGGTTAGAATGAGTAATGCGCCCCGATATATGCAATGGTCATAGCCCCAATCCACAATTCTGACACTTTGACGCAGCCTTAAGCCACAGTCCGTCCTGCACCCCCGTGTCCCCATCCAAAGGCATCAACAGTCGAGCAAATTCATTATGGAGACACGTGCAACAGGCGATACGATACTTGTCAAATTGGCAGATGTTAAAAACGCGTCTTTCGAGGTGAAATTATTTTTTGCGAATCTGGAATGTCAAAGCGAAGCCCGCAAAGCTAGACTCCAGCAGCTTCTCAGACGCGACGTAACTTTCCCCACTTCTGGGTTGCCTCCTGATGATAATTCGCAACTTGAATTACTGGTTGAACTGGCCACCACTGTACTGGATGCTATTCACAAGAGGCTTATCATTCTCTCTAATGAGACACCCCTGTGGGTACCAACCCTATTCCCCGAGTTTGTGAAAGTGACTGCCGCGCTCGAGGCGGTAATTAAACGATCGGCCGTATCTTCGGATGAAGATGAGCGTGCCATCTGTGAGGGCCCCGTCGAAAAGCCGTCAGGAGACTCGACTGAGATAGAGGGATTGGCCTTGGAAGAAGGTTTCAAGCGGGTACCTGCCTTACTCAATAGTGATGGTCCTGATTCACCACATACCCAAAACCTGCCGCTGCCGCCAACCGCAGAAATACAGCAATTAGCCGAGGCTAATAACCGTCAGAGGTCTCATCAAAGAAAATATGGAGCTTCAAAGATACTTCCAAACGACCCCTCCAAAAACGACCGACCAGACCAAGCTGTTAGAACTGCAGCTAGACCGGTTGATGTTGAAAAGCTTGAGTCGTTAACAACTCGGACATTTCCGGTATTCCCTGAACTTACCGGGCCCATTCATGCTCAGCTGGGTCGTTTGGTCACGTTCAGCAAAACACACTGGCCGGAGAGGGATCTTGACCAGTTCCTACCAAACAAGAAAATGCAACGCTGGGTGTTGGATGAGATCTTGAGACAGGGCCTCGGGAGTGATTACGCTCTAGACGTTTCTCCTGTCAACTCTACCAATTTGCGGCGCAAAGGCATCGTTGTGCCCTACCACGTCAATAGTGAAAATCAGCTTTCCGAGGTTGAGGAGAGAAAGGATCACTTCGTCATTGCTATTGTGGATCTGGAGAAGAAAGCATTCACGGCTTGGGGGATGTCTAAGGAAATGTTCCACAAATCGAAATCTGAATATGAGGGCTTCTTGGGCTCTCTGTCTGGTCAGTCGAATAACGTAAGAAACCCGAAAATATCTGTCGAACTTTCGGCTAAGTTTACCAGCTTGAAGATTATAGTGGCAATTGCTGTCTGCTTCGATGTGTAGAGGCCGTCCGATCCTACTTTAAGATTGGCTCAATTATACAAGACCATCTTCAACTGCGACTTTTCTTCCTCAAAGAGCTTGTGGAATCCTGGATTAATACTAATAACCAGGGCGCTTCTCAGCGTCTAGAATCAAAAAACCTCGATTTCGCGAAAAACCCGTCAGAGGCGTCAGTTGACTCAGTAATGGCAGACGGATATGTTCCCAATAATCCGTTAAATCCCGTCCAGCCGGTTGATCGTACGCCCTCCGCAAGCGACTCGTTAACAACGGGCAAGGGTGATATGAACGAGGCTAACTCGCCGTGTCACAGTATGACCTTGTCATGCTTTCCATGCCGGCCTCCGAATGCCCCTCGAAGGGCGTCGAAGAGACCCGCCACAAATGAACTGTTTCAGCGGCCGATAAAAGCACACAAACAAGACGTAAACCCTGAAGGTCTTGCAAACCAGCTCCTAGATGAGAAGGCTTATTTAAAATTCATGGGCCACGTGTCGACTTACAGTCGCATCTTTGGTTCAAAGAACGAGGCGGAAAACCTCGTAAATGGCTTTAAAATCACCAGGTGTGATGATTCACTGGAGAGTCGCGCTGCCGAGGTGGCTCAGTACATCAAAGTCGGTTCCGATCTGGATGGAAATGCCCACTTCTATATGTGGCTTTCTCGGGTCGCTCTTATTATATCCGTTCGGAAACTGGATGAAGCAGTGGCGGCGTTAGGTTATCAAACCCTGCCAGCAAACTACATGGACGATTTAGAGAGGTTATTGGGGTGCTTTGGTTCAACTATCGCTAAAGGCACTCTTAAAAACAAGCTTGGAAAGTCCCGACTTTGGATAAAAACTCTTGGGGAATTCCAAGGCCTTTTGGCTTTCGTTAACATATTCGCTCCATACGAGAAACTCAGTCAAGATGATGCCAAACAAGTGGCTTGTTGTCTCCGAAGAAAAAAAATGATGGCCAGCTACCTACATACACAAGGCCAGCAGCTTTTTGACTGCATTGTTAACGGTAGAGAATATCGGCCAACAGATGCCGGCGTCCCGAGACCCCAGCTCCAACTCGTAACGCAAATCACGGTTCCGGATACGGCTTTGTCGATTACGTATGCGATGGAGGGGAATATAGACGGCCTTCAAGAGCTGTTCGGAAAAGGTCTTGCGACACCATACGATGTGAGCATTTCACGAAGGTACAGTTTGATTAGAGTATGTCCCGCTTTCGTCCCCCTACTCAAGCCTGGAAAGCCGCTTACAGCATTTTCAGTGGGCGCTATACGGGGGGATGCACCAATATGAGACTGTTCGGTTCTTGATAAATGCGAAGGCGCCTGTAGATGAAGAGTAAGTGCGAAGACGACATTAGCAACAGATAATGCGATTAATAACCCATATACGTCTAGATCGTACAAGCATGTATGGGACTTTTCATTTCGCAAAAAATGTACCGACGAGGAGTTCACTCATTTGAGCTGCATCAGAACATATTCGGATCGGGACTGGATCGAAGACCAAAAGTTCCCACTGATTCACAAGATAATATTTGGCTTAGATTCAAAGTCACTCATGGCCGAGCTTTTGGAAAATCCGGAGGCCGTCGAGCTGAAGGACAACGAGGGGCGCACCGCTCTCGACTGGGCCACGGCCCGGGCCCAGCTGGATGATATGCGGCTCCTGATCCAATTTGGCTCTAGTTTGAACACGATGGATATCAAAGGCCGCACTACAGTTCAACATGCAGTCGATAGCCACAGCGACATGGCCCTCGAAATGGTCCTGAAGGCCGGCGCAAACCCGAACCCTCCCGATAGCATGTACCGCAGCAGTCCGCTGACGTCGGCTAGCTTTGGCGGTCTGGAGAACATGGCCCGTTTGCTCCTTGAATTCGGTGCCAAGGTCGGCAGCTGTAACCCGGAAGGTCGGACGGCGCTGCACACGGTAGCCAAGTCCCAACATTTGGGGTGTGCGGTAGTCTTGCTACGCCACGGCGCCAAGTTGGATGACTGTTCGAGCATAGGGCATACACCACTAGCAACGTCAATCATCCACAATAAGCACAACATCCTGAGACTTTTCGTCGAGGAATGCAAAAAGTACAGCTGCTTCCAGGGTCCTCCGCTGCTACCTATAATAGCCAAATATGCGGACGAGGAAACCATATCGATCCTTGCGTCATCTGAACCGTTTCTAAAACTTCTCAGCCTGAGTTGCAACGAATTTAAGCGAGAGATCTTATGGGCAAGAGAGACATAAGACGTCAAGTGAATGGTCCTCAGGTTCAATCTTTTGTCAATCGAAAGGGTACAAGTTCCTCTAGGAAATAGATCAAGTATTTATCAAGTAATAGTCGAATGACAAAGCATTAATAGGTTCCATCTTCTAAAATCACACCTATACAACCTCCTATGCATGCGGCGCAGATGGTAGGGCCAGACCGAGGTGAAAGACTGGTTGATTAACGTCCTCTTTGCGATAACTATGAGGTATGAATTAGCGTTAATCCAATGGTATCTTGTGTTAATCGAATCAACACACCTCATGACGGCAACTGCCCCCGGGGAAAAAGTCATCGGGAGGGGATTTTCGATTTCATAACCAATCCAGCGTTTCATAAAGCATCTTAGAATGAGACCGTGTGCCACCTATTGTATTTATTTTTAGCCCTGGTAAAGAAGACCGGACGAAGAGAGAACAGGCATGTAAATAGATCCTCAAAGGTTGGGGGACATACAATTAGAACATCGGCGGCCTTCCCACCATGCATGCAAGGACTTTGAAGGTCTCGAATCTGCGTGATGATTCTGTCCACTCGTTCGGTTACCTCCTGATTCGACCTATAGATGAAGATAGATTTGTTAGCGGCTGCACGCCAGGTCGACAAGTGATGATATACTCTCCGCCCTCACATCCATCTTCCCAGATATTCCATTCCCTAATTTTGTCCAGTCCCCTTGACTTCCTCAATTTTCTAATGTCAACATCCGTCATGCCTTCATAATCGCCATAATCCCACTCCCTCATATCCTCGGTACAGACGATTACCGCATGAAACTCAGACGGCGACAGCGCAAGCAAATCCAAAGTTCTCTGCGTCCTCTTCCTCGGGCTGACTATAATATGCGCGAGGCGGGACGGTTCAAGGAGCTTGCCGGCGCCTACAATAAGCGATGCGGTTGATTCGACCTGCTTGACACCATTTGGGGTAAGATCGATCTCGGTTTTCCCGGTGAAGTAGCCCTTTGCGGCCCACTCCGTCTCTCCTATGGCAGACTTGTTACTCGAAAGCAGTCGACTATCAAAATCAGAACTTACCGTGCCGCATAACAACTACACGGGGTGTTTTAGCGTCTCGGTCGGACATGGCGCTAAATGTGTACGTTGTTGAGTTTGAATATGTAATCTGGCAAGTTGATTGATCGATTGATTTAATCATACTAGGTTGTGGAGCCACGCTTTGTCAGCAGCGATGCCCGGATAGCGGGGTCCCGCAGAGAGCCTAAGCGTCTAAACATTATCCGAGCCGCTCCACTTTTCAACGCTGTCCCCAGATTCCGTCTTTGAGAAGCGGCCCACCAGCAGATAAGCACCCCACCAAACAGCACAGCAGCCTGGTGGAAGCCCAACAAAGCTACCTGATCGCCGCGCCGTTTCTCGGCACCAAACCCGCGGTTCGGCGCCTTATTGACGCATTACTGATCTGGAGCATTACCATCAGAGGAAGCTTTCCTTGACGAAATGCTCATAGGAACTAGCGCCCGACTGGGAACCATATTCCATCAGAAAGGTGTGCCATAGTGCTGCCTCACGAATTCGCCGAGACGGGAATATGGCACCTGAGACCTTGACGGAAAGCTGGCCTTTAACTGACCCCGGGCTTCTTCGCCTCAGCTACTGCCGGGGCTGTCCAGCAGTTCGATACCCGCCATTATGGGATGGATGCCTGATGATGTACTATGCTGGGCAGCTGTATGGGTGGGTTTATACTGGTCGTCAGCTCAGCCAGCGGAAGGGCTTGGATCAGCGTCAAACCAGGGCCGCCCGGCGGTCCGATGCCCGCTAATGTTATGGTCTCTTTCAGATCCGGGCATAGTGGGGCCTTCCTGTTATGCGTGCATAGCTTCTGCGGCACGCCAGGGGACTGCCATCTCCTCCCCTACTTTTGCCCACATCTCCTGCTTAAACCTGAATGGCTTTGTTAGCTTCTCTTCATCGCAATTCGCGGGTAAAGAAGACTATAGTTTCCTCCCTAGTGACGGTATACCAGATCGCACCTCTCATAAAGCCGCGCGAACTTGTTCTTGCGCCCCTCGTCCCATTCGCTCCGTTTCTCGAGACAGTTCTGGTATTGAAGTCGGCAATGGTACTCCGCCCCGGTAGGCGATGTGCAATTATCCAACACCGCCCGTAATCTGGACTTCTGCGGCGGCATCCACGCTGACATCATCTTCAGCTGGTAGGCCCAAGACAGCTTCGGTATACCACGGCCAAAAGTGATCACGGGAATACTTTACAAGTATGTTATGGTCCGTGCCCGGTAGCGGGCCCCTCAGACAGCAACATTATCCGAGCCTAACATTAACCAGCTGTCCCCAGATTCCGTTTTTGAGAAGCGGCCCCGCCCAGATAAGCACCCCACCAGACAGCATGGCCATTTGGCGACTGGATGCGATCTCCGAAAGTGCCACGATGCAAGGGGTCTGAAGCACAGGGGCAAACCCCCCAATCTCAAAAGGGACAGCTTCTGCTCCCCTAGCGGAGGTGATAGATCGCCCGGTGTGGTTTCTTCTTCAGGCAAGCTGGACAACAGCGACTGGCGAGCCCTTGCAACATCCTTAACCACGCTAGAGACGAGGTGGTTTGGGAACTAATGCTGTAAACGACTTTCATCTATGGCGCACGGACGGCGTGTTCACTGCCTGAATTCAGGCCACTGATGATGCTGTGTCCACCGACGACGGGGTGTTTGGCGTCGGCCCTGCCTGGCCAGCCGCCTGAACGGGCCCTAATACACTATGGGCGCATCCATCTGACGATGTCCCGTCAGAAACACGTTGCCGCACATAGACAGACCCAAGCATCGCGCAACCGGCAACCCTGTATAGTGCTCAGATTGTTGTCGCGCGTCGAGGACGGATCGATGTATAATCTTATGTGCCGACCTCTTGCGGTATTGGCGCCCTAGAGGCTGTTGACGCTGCCTTAGTTAGTCATTATGGCATTGAGGTTGGTTCGCCTTGAAGAGAGCGCGGTCCATCCCCGCTGTCTAACGGTGAAGCCTATGAAGGTGCTGAGTGCCAACCACTGAGCGACTGCGCAAGATCGCCCCAGCAGCCGGTGTCCACCTCGCCATCGGAGTAGGTGAGGCCAATGGAGGGCTGGCTCATCCTGCCAGAAGGTTGGACTCGTTGCTGTAAATACATCGTCGCACGGCTGGTGTCATTCCGCTACGCCAGCAGCATTGAGCAAAATGCGCCCAGATAGAATGTTAGTGGCGGTGGCGGTGCTTTCCCCGCGAGTTGTGGCAAGTTTGCAATTAAGCCAATCAGAATAGCCTGTGAACTTGAAGGACTGACCTGAGGCTTTTCTCGTGCGCCGTAGCCCAATCCAGCTTTGGTTCTGTATTTGAATCTGAGGTGGTGCTAGGTTGAGGCGGTGGTGAAACTGGCAAGCCATCGCAGAGCTACTTTACATGAAATTTGGCATTCCTGGTTTTGTGCTAACTTCATTCGGGCTGGCTGTTCACTTTGCTAGAGCTCTGAACTAGAAATCTCGGCCTTGAGGCGCCGCTCGGCGGCCGGGGATTCAGCTGAGTTAGAATCATCAAGAACCGCAATGGGTAATGGACATACGAAACTTGGTTCTCCCCCGGTCTTAAGGAACACAGCTAGCCGTTTCCTATTTAACAATACTAATTAGTTTATTTATACGGTTGATAATAATACTTCCCAGGCCCTTATCGTAGTGGTAGAAGTGTGAAGTAGAAAAGCCTATCTCAAGTTGCCTGCAGTTGCTCAAATGCGTCAGGACTCGGGTCTAGATCTTCCCTAGCAACTAGACGCTCAAATTCCAAGATGACTCTCGTCGACACACAAATGGCCTCCCCTTCTGCTCTGTCCAACTCTTCGCTAGCGTCGACTACTTGATTACCGCTTTAATTTCTCAGGGGTTTGTCCATACATCATGCTTTCTTTATAATTCCGCTCTCGATCGACTCTTGAGAATGAAATATTATCGCGGCGAGCTCACCGAAAGTGGGCGTGGTGATTAGGTAATAACCACGCCTGGGTCCCGTATTTAATGGGATAGTGGAACTGTTAGAAAAGCAATTTCAGCAAGCAACTTTCCCACACACAAGTCAACCCCAAGGTTACGGTTTCGCCTGTTTGAGATAGTGTGTTCCCGCATACACTTCATCCTTCGCCTTATAACATTACCTGCCAACCCTCCAACCTGCTGATACTTTGCGATTATATATGAGTTGAATAACATTCTTCGGTGAGACCGGTAGATATCGAGTCGGAGGAAACGCTGATTGGAGGACTTTGAAATGTGAGTCATCGCCATCACTCTAAGGGATATCGAAGTTGTAGGTTCTCATGCGCTGATGTTTCCGCTGGGCGTTTCCTAGAGGAACGAGACGTTTCAGTTCTTTTATTGGGACATATCTCACTACCGTCCGTATGATTTGGTCCAGGTGAACCGGCTTATTCTAGAATTCTTCGGCTCTACAATCGGCGTACTTACCCCACCCACCCATCATAGATCATCGAATCTTGTGCCCTGATTGAGACACAGCTCAACTGCAAACTTGCCCAAAGTTTGGTTCGATTCTGAATCAATCGGCCTATCTCGCTCTACGACTTCTATCGTCATTTGCCATGTAACTGGAAGTGGTGCCGCCGCTGCCCGGCTCATGCCTGCAAAGCCCTCCGCGCCCTGGGCACGTGGTGTCAATTTGGACCAACCTTTCATGAGCCATGGTTGCTCAGTCAATGTCTTGAATTGCCTGAACTAAACATGATGCAATAAGAGGATACATAATATCACTGTCGGGGTCCATGAATCAACTTTCGTTGCGTCACTAGCTTTGTCATCAGCTTTGGTTCACGGCGACGCGAAGGACTTGCAAACGCATCACAAACACGCGCACTTCAATGGTGTCTTTAGATTTGCCGCTTGTCTGCTACTGCTAGCTCTGTCAACATTGAATGTTTTGGAGCCGATTACCGTTCACGACGAACCTGAAAATGCTTTTCCAACGTTCCACGCAACCGAAATCAAATTGAACTATTGTAAGGCTCTCAAATAATCAGAAATCCTCGACCGCTTGAGTCGGCCCAAACTTCTCTTGCACCTTCTGCCGAATAAGACTTTCGAGATGAGCCCCAACGGCGTTGGCTGGTTCGTACCATGACAAAAACGTATCACCTTTACTCCCAGCCCAGTCAACCAAATCAAAGGCATTGTGAAAACGACCGTCCCCAAACGCAAGCTTGAATAGACGTCTACGGTAGGCAGGACAACGGCGCTCGTCTGCGTTGTATTGCCGTAGTATCTTGACCACATCCCCCGTATCATCCGCCGTATGCGGAACTTCAATTGCCTGCCACAGAGCTGTCTGTCCCGTATCAGGGTTCACAACATCCCATGCCGTAGGCTGAGCCTCCAGTAATTCTCGGGTTGCTGCGGCTGAATTGTGCAATATGGGCCAAAAGATACTTTGGCCAATTTTTGCTCCCGCTTGAATAAGCTGTGTTGCTACACGCCATTGCTGGTTTGCTTCGGCGAGGAACAGCGGCGTATAACTCCACGATAAACGCTCCCCCATGCCATAACGTGAGTAGTAGAGGATCTCGCTGTCTTTCTCTGCACCGCTTTTAAGTAAGAGTCGAACCATATCATCAAGGCCGAAAGATGCAGCTAGATGGAGGAGTGAATAGCTGGCCTGAATAGATTCTTTGCTAGGCTTGCCGCTATAGTCGACGGGTATTGTTGGTATTGTAATTTTATGCTGGAATTGTCGATTTGTTTGGGCTTTGGAGAGTGGTACTTGTTCAATAAACAATAGGGCCTTCTGCAGTTCTACCATGTTCACTTCGCTTGAGAAAGCATCGTCTCGCCAGGCGGAGTGAATCCATTCAACAGCGTAAAACATGCGTAAATGGTATAATGCGAGTTTATAGAATGGTTTGCATTTGACCACAAGTAAATGAAGATCCCTCTTCTCGAGGTACTCAAAGATCATTGCACGGATCTCAGAAGGCAATTTCCAGAAAGACTCTACAGTCAGCTGAGGCTTGGTCCATTATTATTAATGTGACGATGTCTTCAAGCGATTCTGATGCTTCTAACGCCTCTGGTGCCTCTAAGGCTTCCGTAAAAAGTACAATATACGTTGAGATCCTTCCGGAAGACCTTGATACTGCTTGCAACGCCGGCTGTACGCCGGAGCGGTGTGACAGCAGGTCGGTCCGGCCCCGTGAGGCCCCGGCTGTTGAGCGTGGCCCGCCGGGCTCGTTCATTCCCTTTGACGTACCGGCCCGGCCCCGGGAGATACGGGGCTTACCAGCTGCCCCGTTAGACATCTACTTCCGCTATGTCCCCCGGGACCTTGTTGAGAAGTGAGTTAGCTGGACGAACGCAGCCCCGATATGGGGTCCCCAGCCTGAACGGTCACGAATATATACGTGGAAGAAGACTTCTATAGAACAGATTTACCTCTTCTTAGGAATTTTGATTTATATGGGAATTCATAGTGAATCTGAATTAGAGGGATATTGGGAGGCTGGATATAAGAAGCAACGTCCCATCCATATATTTACCCGGTTCATGCCCCGGGACCGCTTCGAACTTCTACTCCAACGTATCCGGATTTTCAACACTTCGGAGTTCCAGCCTCGCCGCCAGTCCCGGGCTCCGCGTGGCAGCCAGTCCCGGGAAGACCAGATGCCGGATATCTATCGGAAGGTTAATGAGTGGTGGGTCTATATACAGGAAACCGGAGATTCTATACGCCCGGGTCGGAACTAACGGTTGATGAGGCTATGGTCCGGTTTACGGGCCGGTCTCTTGAGACAACAACTATACCAACAAAGCCGACCCCAACCGGCTTCAAGGTCTGGATACTTGCCTAATCGGGCTACTGCCTCCGGTGGCTATGGCACGTACACGGGCAGGGCCCGTACGGACTAGTTCCGCAAGCCCAGCCGGCGCCGGGTAATAAAGCCGGAAATCTAACACCAACACAGCGGGTTGTAACAACACTAGTTGCCTTACTTCCGGCTTCCGTATACCATATATTTCTTGATAACCTCTTCGCTTCGTTACGGCTTTTCGGGGCTCTTCGGAAGCAACAGATCGGTGCCTCCGACACCTGCCGGAGGGATAGCGGGATCGATAAGATCCTAGTTACGGAAAAAGCCAGCGAAGGCCGGGATATCCCATGGGGCCAAGTACATAGTATCCCCTCGTCAGATGGCATGGTATCTTATTATAATCTTCTAGCTATAGAATTCCCTATACTAATCTGTTTATAGGTTAACCAGTTTAATGGAAAGATAACGCTCTTGTACTCTTCTTAACGACCGTCTTCCGAGACGGCGAAGAAGTTGTACGAAGCCGGCGCCGGCCAGCCGGGGATACTGCAGCTAAACGGGCCGCCCGGGAGGTCTTCGGACCCGACGTTCGGAAGGACCTCCGAGTGCCTACGGCGATTGACGCTTATAACCACCATATGAACGGCGTTGATATAAGTGACCAAATGAGGTCTTATTATCAATACGGGCGTCCTATTCGTCGAGGGGGGCTGGCAGTCGATTGCTTGGAATTATGTGATCACTAAATTGAAGCAATTACCTGCAGATGATGCAGAAGCAGAGAGCTTCAGGTTATGGGTCGGAAACCTATCTTTACTGGCAGCTTCAGATGCCGGTCTAGACCTTGAACATCTCATCATATACGTGAAATGGGCATCACGCGGCAGATGGACCTATTCAGAACAGCTTGAAGAAGCCTTTGGGTCAGAAGATGGATCCCTGCCTTTGTGGTTGAAGCACGTCTATAAGCTCGGGCGATACTATGCTGCAACGAAAGCGATGCTGAAACTGGCTGTAAAACAACCAGGCGTATTCACTGGCATACATATCAAGGCCGTCGAGGCGCCTAGGCAGGAGAATTTCGCGCTGGGCAACCGGAGAGAGCCTCTCCTGATGGTTCTGCGGAATATTACCAAAACTGACCCGATCGAATTGAGAGAGAAACTGGGCCAAATCTGGCTAACAAGTGATCCCGAGAACAAATTTCTGCGAGCTTGTACTTTGAAACTCACAGTTCATGCCGAAATGCAGCTTCTCAATTTCTATGACCGAAATCCTAACCTTACGCCGAGGCTCTTGTTTATGGGGACAAGCAAGAAATCTTGTTATCTGTGCTACGAGTTCATTTTTGTCAGAGGGTTCGTGGCACAGAGTGAAGAGGTCAGAATGTAGGGTTCTCAATGGCGACTGCATTCATCTCTGGCCTTTCAACCCTTTGTTGGGTTGAAAGCCGCCCTTTATAGCTCTGGTGGACCACCGGTTGGGTAGTGGTTCCCCCTTCCCTTTATCCCTATAGTGCTCCCTTACCTCCACGTCCCTCATAGTGCCGTACATGGCACCATCCTGACCATCCCTCAATTCCATAGTGCCGCCCGTGGTACCATCCTAACTACCCCTTACTTTCGTACGTGACAATTTTACGTCATCCCTTGAGCATCGGCGTATCGGCTTGCCACCAAAAGGTCTACCCAAGCTGGGCTCCTGCTCCATGCCGTTCTGCTGTCCGAAAGAAGCAGAAGGTTCTACTTTGGAATCTCGGTAAACACCTTGAAGAAACGGCCGCCCGTGATCTTGAAACGAGGTTCGGAATCCGGCGATTGCCTACCATGGATTCGACTGCTGGGCCTTCGCTCACAACCACAGGGACCCTTTCAATAGGGTTCTGGACTCAAAAGTCAATTATGAGTGCAAGCACAGCAGAAGATCAAGACACCGGGACTTTGGGCAGAATGAATGACTGCTGCCCTCCGTTATCACTGCCAGGTAGTAGCTAAGTAGCAGGCTGTTGGGAACAATTGGCAGTAGACTAACCCAGCCCCAAGCAATTGTGGGGCAGGCTAAATATGATCAAAGGTTGAATGATAACCTCATTAGTTTGAATACAGTATGTATAACTCTGGATTCGAAGTAATAATGTACAGTAGACCAACTTGACTGCATGGCGCGCCACAGGGGCTGATGGCGGCACGCCTTTGAACATGCATCGATCACTGTTGTCAAAGGCTGTGCGGGACATAGTGAAAAGGTCGTTCAGGTGGCCCAAGGTGAGCCGCATTCATCTCTGGCATTCCTACTGTAGCCTCTAATGGATTAGGGGCGCTTACCTATCTGGGGGGCATCACTTTTTGGGCAGTGGTGCCTGGACTATTACCCCCTTTCCACCGTCCTCTCCTTTTATCTTACTTGCAAGCTGACTTCCCGCTGTGCTAGCCCGCCGACTCTTCCTGCCTCGTGACAACTGTGCTTGGGCTAAGGTTGTTGAAGCCTGATGCCACAACAGATTGAATCATCTCAGGCCCACCCCTGGGGCTGGATGAGAACCTAAGGCAGCCGACGTCAACATAACCTCTATGTGATGTCCTGTTTCCGCCCTCCAGGTCATCCGTAGTTGGGCGTCTACCGCGTCTATGTTGCACCCAGAAGACCTGGACAAGATTGCGACTCTGCGATATCGACATAAGCCGTCATCACCAACATGTACTGCGTTGTCTAGGGCAACCTTACATAACTGTTCAGCGGCTGCAAATATGCCTGTTCCCCGTGAAGGTCCGGAACTTCGGAAGGCTACTAGGCAATGGTAATCAACTGGAGAGCAATGCTCCACGCCAGGTGGAGAACAACGCCGTCGACTTAGAGCTGCAGCACAACTTTTTCACCACTATCTGGTACTTTTAAAACGCAAAAAGTAGCATCGTAACCGTAAAAACCAGCTCACAGTACTACTTTTGGAACCAGGAACCTTTGCCTGCAACCTGCATCCTTTGTTGCGGTGCCTGCCAGTGATTCACTCTGGGAAGTCTCCCTTTATGTCGATCTTCCTAGCTTCCTTAGTGGCTGTCAATTCCAGCCGTCCCTCCTTCCCCATTCGCAATGCTCCACTACGCTTCTTAACGGCTCTGGAGCTACGGAGTAGCTGGGTTGTTGCAGCGTACTGGGGCAAGTACAGTGTGCTCTGACTATCACTACGGAAACCCGGAAGTTTGCCGTTTGCCCTGTTGGTGCTCCGACTTGCGTGTGGCTTCTGTGCGGCTTGGCATGTGCGCTCATTCATCTCAGATTCCCTCGCTGGGCCTGCAATTCAGCAACTAGACGAGGCATGTCCTGCAACTCCTCATCCATACTACGCAGCTTCATGGAATTGTCGTTCCCTAAAAAATAACTCGATAGCCTATTGGACTTCGTTTTGGGCTTTTGGCTGGATGGCGTCTCAGAGGGCGCGCTCAGGTTGCTGTCGGTTGGCAAACGTGGAAGAAATGGGGAAAGCAGACGTGCTTGTGGCCAGGATTGGGGTCCCAGCCAAAGCCTCCTTCTCCAGTTTCGGACCTACATTTCTCCGGGTTAAAGGGTGAAAGGGAATGGGATCACAGCGGAGATGCCCAACCAGACAATGAAACATCAACAACAGCGAGAACGAAATTTTTGAAAATCGGAGCAAAAACGGCCCCAAATACGCGTGCTCGCGGCCACAGAGCCCCCTTCGATGCAATGCCATCCTCGGCCTTGATTCTACGTCCCAAAGGGGCCCAAGATGGCCGCAGAGCACGCCCCGACTACAATGAAAAACTTGAGAGCAAGCCGCAAAATACGACATATCAATAGACAACACTGTTACCACCACCACAGGCGAGCCACAAGCCGCTACACGAAGCACTAAGACTGCGCCCAAACAATCAACTTCAACACAACAGCCGCCGACAGGTTTTGGGTCACCTGTCACCCCCGACAAAGTTTGCAACGTCCCACAACGACGAAGATGAGTCCGACAGAACAGTATCACCTTCCGCACGGAGAAAGCACCAGGCATTAGGCATGCTACGATCGATGCCACACAATACTACAGACCACAGACAGACTGGTCCCCTGTCGCCCCTTTTGCGAAGAAGGATTGGTGTCCCTTCAACGCGCGACAATGTCTGCGGAATCTGTGCGGGAGCTCTCATACCCAGTAATCGAACATGTCGGAGTCAGTGGAGCATTGTGCTTCGTGGAAGACCCTTGGGCCAATGTGGTGGAGGGCAATAGTGGTCAACAGGCAAGAAACAAGAGGCCACATAGGAACCCGGCAGGAGGCAACAAAGAATTTACAGATGCAACTGAGAAAACGGCACATACAAGTCCGGGAGGATACGGACAAAACAAAGAGACAAAGCTGAGCGCTGGGGGGAGACTGTAGGTACAAAGAACCAGATACGGTGCTACCAGCACCAACTGAACCGAAGCAGGAGGACGCAAAACAAGCATTCTAGAGAGCAACACAAAAGCAAGAAAGCAGACAGGAGAGCAACACACTTCTTCAACAGAGGGCACAAACACACAGAATAGAGAACATAGTGGGGAGCTTGGGGATAGCTGGCCCTGATGCAACATCAGGGCGAAGTGGGGCGTCGCTGTTCATTGTCGACGCTTCGGCTACCTGCCAAACCCCGCTTTCCGGGCATAGCTGCTGGCATAAGAGCGGCTTCATAACCGAGTAGGAATAAATCAATCAATCAATCACCCAACCAGACAATGCGATGAAGCTTGGCACACCATCGCGTGGAAAAAATGCTCAATGGCTTAAGACGTCAAAATTTACTTCAAAACTATGTACAGTATACCTCTTGCACTATCGAAGAATGTCGCTAAACAGAGCAAGATACTCTTGAGTGTGATTAGTTGCCTATGCCTCAACTATCCGTACTTACATCGTCGGCCTCCTCATCATGGCTTTCGTGATGACCCGCCTCTTCCAGCCTCGTCAACGTCGTTAATTCCCAAGGACCCGTCGTCTTGGCTCCAGTAACGGTGCCAAGATAACTTCGGCCTTCCCCCAGAGCAGTTGCCTTTCATGCGTATATGCGTGGTTACTTCTGACCGTCTAAGCTAAGGGGTAGTCCTCCAGCTACTCTCAAGCAGTCCTCTAACGCCTCTTGTAAGAGCTTCTCGGTCTTCTTCCACTGCTCTTGCTTTATGTACGTCATTGCCAGGTCGGCCATGATCGCTACGGTCGGTAGATGGTCACGTCCTTAGATCTTCGATCCCATTTCTATCACGCGTGCCTGTAACGCCTTCACTGTTGAACAAGTCCAGCAGATCATCATCCCCAAGTGGGCTGCAGTGGAGGCAGACGGCCTTAAAGCTTATGTTTTCTTTATTTGCCTATGTGCAAGTCTATTCTAAGCAAGCGTTGTAGTGTATGGAGGATATTGCGGTAAGGATGTTTTCCTATTATCCTCTATAGAAATTCCTGCCCTGGTCCTCCAAACCAAAAGAGGATTTTCTGCAAAGCAGATTTGTGCCTATTATCAAGGCTGTCGGCGAATTTTGTTTTTGGCTATAGCGTGTAGCTTGTCTCTCAAGGCACGTTCTGTCCCGGTGTTTCTTGCACTAGACGACCAGTTCTTGATGCTGTCAAGAGCAAGTCGCAACTGAATCTCAGAGGTAAACTTCGGGCAATGGGTTGAGAGATATTGAAAGCTGCATTTGGCACAGGTAGCTGCATTAGCATTTATCAGGGATAAACCAGATGAGGATCTGCGAGCTCTATCGGGCATATTGATAGTCGATAGTGGTTGGTATGGTTCTGAACTTGCGGTTGGCTGATGGTGTTTGCGACTATTACCCCCTTGTGTATTTTTTTCTTGTTGCATCACCAAGTCCTTCCTTTCATTATTATTCCAACCCATATCGTAGTTTACTAGAGGATCAGCTCTCTTTACTTGGAAATCTTGTCCGGCGTTGGCAGAGGAGTAGAGTCGCTTATTGAGCTCTGTCGAGGAGAAGTGGGAGGTGGGGTGAACAGAGGAGATTTCTGGTCCGGCTTCTCTTCCGTTCTGGTTAGGTCTAGAGTTTGCTGTGGTATGAAGTTGCCACTTAAGCTGGACCCCTTGGCTTGCGAAGACTTGGGCGTCCTTTTGGGGTTTTGCTTTCGAGGAGTTGACTTGGCTGGTTTGTTTTGACTTGCCTTGGTAACTCTGTAGGTTGTCGCAGTGCTAATCTTAAATGACTTACGTAAGAGCGTCTTCTTCTATGAGGTCGACGAGTTAACCTGCTGTTTCTTGTTGCTAGATGCTTTTTTAGGAGTCGAATAAGAAGAAGCAAAAATTTTAGCTTTACCATTAGTTATCTTCACTATAGCGCTGTTCTCCGCGTCAGTATCTTGCTCCTCATCCTCACTAACAAAGTCCTCGTCATTATCGGAACTAGCGCTACGATCACCAGGGAGACCAGCCGCGAGGTCCATAGGAGCGTTTTTTTGTAGTTTACAGCCTGGGTACCACTTGTTAGTATTTGACGACTGTAATGAACCTGACTAGCCTGGGCTTACCTGACGTCGACGACCGCCACGACCGAGGACTTCTTTGTTTAGCTCTGCAATTCGCTTTGCTTCAGCTTCGTGTTCTGCAAGAATTTCCTCCCAGACGTTCGGGTTCACAATCGGCTCGTTTTCCTCGGCTAGGTTATCTTCAAACCCGCCCTTATCGTTAGCCCACACGCAGGCAAACGAGAACGTCGATTCAGCTGACTCGTCTTGTCCCATCTCTACCTGTTCTATTTGAGATCGATCAAGGAGCTTTTTGATGCTGGCTTCGTCATAGCGTATGATATCTTTCTTGTCTTGATCTTCGCTAAACAATGCAGAAGCTCCAAACTTGAGGATTGACTCTAGATCGTCTGGCTCACCCTCTTCGTCCATAGCCTTAATCAGGACATGATCAAGAGCCATCTTCTTCCGGCCAATCTGCATAATCTTTTCTTCAGCTGAATTCTTCGTCATGAGCTGGAAGCAGAGAATTTTGTGTTTTTGACCGATTCGATGTGCGCGGGATATGGTTTGGATATCTTGATGGGGGTTGAAGTTCGGGTCTAGGATTATAACGGTATCTGCTATAGCGAGATTGATACCTACTCCTCCAGCTCTCGTCGATAGAAGAAAGGCAAAAACAGGCGAGTCTGTGGCATTGAAAGTATCAATATGCTTTTGTTTTTCATGGCTATTGATCTTGCCATCAAGACGTCTGTGTTGGAAGCCAAGGCCATTAAGGAAATCTTCAATGATGTCCAATTGGTTCAGGAACTGACTGAAGATTAAGACGCGATGGCCAAGCTCCTTGAGCTTGGGTAGCATGATGTTAAGCAACATCAGTTTTCCGGACGCGGATACTAGGTTCTCTTGCATCTTGATTTGATCCGCCGTCCTCTCTTCGATCGCCTCGCTACACATGAACGGATAGCAAAGACACTTTCTGAGCTGTATGAGAATATTGTTCAGACTTCCACGCTCCTTCTTGTTTATTTTATCGTCAGCAAAGATTGCTTTGATAAGGTCAGGACTTTTCGACATAATCGATTTGCATAGCTTCTCCTGCAGAATCGACATGGAGACCGGTACAATAATCTGCGCTATGGGGGGTAAAAACTTAAGAACTTGGGCTTTGGTTCTTCGGAGGAAATACTGTTTGATCCGACCGTGAAGCTCAGGCAGATTCTGCGCGTTCAATTCTTGATACTCTTAATCTAACTTCTCAGCGTTTTGAGTTGGATCAATGAACTACAGAAGGTTGAAAAGCTCTCGTTTGTTGTTTTGCAGCGGTGTTCCAGTAAGAAGGACTCAAAAGGGGAATTTCATTGCCCGCAAAGCCAAATAAAACAGGCTCTTGTCGTTCTTTAACCGCTGACCCTCGTCAACTACCAACCCAGCCCACTGAACCGAGCGGAAGAGACTCCTTGTCCGGTCATCCTGGGCAGAGTCGTAAGACATGACCACAACGTGGGCTTTAATATCTGACGAGCCATTCGGGAAAAGCTCGTAGTTGTAGGCTAGCTCCTGAGGTTGCTTTCCGCCATGGTAAGTTACGACCCGAAGATCTGGTGCCCACTGCTTTATTTCACGACGCCAGTTCGGACAGGTGGAGTTCGGAACAACGACCAGAAAGGGCCAGCACTTAACAAGTTCGCTGTTGATAGTCCCGTAATATAGTAAGGGAATACATACCTTTAGCTCACCGTGAACCAGAGCCGAAATCAAGCTAACTACTTGGACTGTCTTTCCTAGTCCCATCTCGTCTGCTAGATTAACATTCTTGTCCTCGTGATAGTTATATAATAACTAGTTGACGCCTTCAAGTTGTTACGCAGCAAGTAAGGAAGACGAACTACTTAAGCAAGTGTGGTGACCGACGTCAGGCACGGGCGGCATCAACTAGGAACAAAACGGCTTGTATTCTCTAAGTGAGCGAGCGGAGCGAAGGACGCTTAAGAATACGGTCGCTGGAGCGAGGTCACGTGACCTCGCGGCCGAGACGCGGCAGAGTGGGTCCGGAGGCCCGGAGCCAGCACGACACACCCCCCCAGACGGCGCGTAGTCGTCTGGAAAACCGCGCCTCGAGGCCATATCGCTACTATCGCCTAGATACAAGATTATGAGGCTATTCAGAGCCTCTTGTGAATATATATATAACAAAAGAGAGGTGTTGTTGTATTCGCCTCGGTCTTTGTGCTCGAAGTGATGTGAATATGGCGAAATTCGCCCTTGCGCGCCGCCTGGCGCAATAATCGCACTTTCCTTTATTCAACCGTCGTACTTGCCTCTTATTATTGCCAGTTGAATTTTCTGAAAATCCTGCCTTCTGATTGGCCCACAACGTGGGTTGCCCATCAGTTATTATTTCCTCTGCCCGTTGACTCTTCTGCAGCGGTTCCGGCCGTGGCCGAAGCGGCTGGTCTCCGTGCTGCCATTGACAGCCTTGTTGGAGGACACTTGCCGGCGGCTGTTCTCCCCGCGTACAACGTCCTGATGGACACGTACGCGGCCTCCCTCCGAGGTCGTTAAAAGAGCCCGCCCTACGGGGCGTAAGTACGCTTGCTTTTGCTCCTTTGGGAGCGTATCATGCTTCCTGGCCAGGGGCCAAGTCAAAATTTAACTTTCGGCCTCCGGGCCAGCATTGCTCGCGCGCACCTGTTTCTCTTCGCTTCTTGTGACTTGTGCCCGAATGTCTTGTAGGTTTAGAAGTGCCCTGAAGTGTTCGAACTTCGCTCGGGAGAGTGCTTTTGTGAGACCGTCTGCTGGCATCTCGTCGGTAGGCATATATACCACGTCGAACGTCTTCTTGGCATACTCTTGGCGTAGCCACATGTTCTGTATATCAACGTGGCGAAGGCGCGTTGAGATGCGTTCCTTGTCGCCTACTACCAGGCGAATCGTTTGGCGATTGTCACAATGGATCTTCCATACGTCTCCGAGGTCTAGTTCAATATCCCGAAATAAGCGTTTGAGAGCGATGGTCTCCTTAGCAGTGTTTTCGAGGCTAAGGAGTTCCGCTTCTGTAGTAGAAGTGGTAACGGTATTCTGTCTCGCGGCTTTCCACTGAATGGGACCGCCGAACAGTGAGATGATGTACCCTTGAGATGAACGCCGCGTCTCTTCGTCGTCTGCGAACGAGGCGTCGCCCGCAATTAGGAGAACTTGGGCACCTGCACCCCCCGAGCTACCGAAGCAGAGCGAAAGGTAGCGAGTGTGATAAAGATATCTAATGACTTGGTTCGCGGCCTTCTGATGTTCGAGAGACGGGTTCGTTAGGAACCTCGAGAGTGTAGCGCAAGCGAAGGCGACGTCGGGGCGAATCATGATCGCAGTGTACAGAATTGAGCCGACCTTCTCTTGGTATTGCTTTACCTGGTCAGGGGTCGCTTCAGCGGTGTTCTTCTGGAGCGGGACGAATGGCAATGGTGTATGCGGCACGATCGAGTCGATAAGGTTGAATTTCTTCGCTACGCGTTCGATATATTGGTCGTGTGCGAGGTTAATTGTTCGCTTCTCACGGTCACGTATCACGCGAATGCCTAGATACCACTCGACAGGGCCTTGGTCCTTGAGTTCATACTCGGCTTTCACCCCGTTTATAACGTTTTGAGCAGCTTCGCGGTGGTCCCTATGGTATAAGACGAGGATATCGTCTACGTAGAAGAGTACCATCTCTTTCTTGTCGTTTGAAGTGAAGAGACAGGGGTCTTCGCTTGCAGGCTTGAGTCCCAGGCGCCGCAGCGTTGATGAGAACTCCTTATACCAAAGGAGGGGAGCGTCTCGTAGCCCGTATAAGGCACGGCGGAGCTCGACGTACTTCCCGTTCTGTTTGAAGCCGTCTGGTAGGTAGCAGACGACAGGCGGGTCGTTCGGTCCTCTTGTTGCGTTTAGAAACGCATTGACTACGTCGAATTGGTCTACTTCAAGGTCGAATTCCGCCGCGAGCGCCATCGCTACTCTAAACGTCCTTGCTGCGAGGGTCGCTGCGTAGGTCTGTTCGAGAGGATGCTTCGCCTGGAGGTCGCCGCGGACGCAAATTCGTGCCTTGCAGCGGTCGAGGTAGCCGTCTTGATCAAGCTTGTAAGTGAACACCCACTTTAGAGGAATAGGTTTCGTAGACGCTTCGTGTTCGTCAATGATTTTCCAAGCGTCCATCTCCTCTAATTTACTTATCTCGGCTTGGGCCGCTTCGTAAAACAGGTTTCGGAGGTGGGTCGGCATTTTTTCAACACTTTTCCACGTTCGTGGGGGCTTTATAAGCTCATCTGTGTGTATTTTCACTCGCTGTGGAGTGACCGCTCTGGAGTGCTTCGCTTGGTGTATTGACGCGAAGACGAAGCAATGGAGCGTATAGTGGGCTTGGTTCGCTTCCTCCACAGCCTTCTGCTGATCAGGCATATAGGTATGGAAGAAAGTTTCCCAATTACGTTCCGTTTGTAGGAATGCGAAGTGTTGGGCGAAGCGAGGTGATCGTCTCGGTTTGCCCTGTTGTTGGCCGTAGTCCTTGCGGTTGTACACCCGCTTGGTCTTTATCTCGGGTTCGCGCCCGTTCCCATTATCCGAGTGTGGCCGCACCGGGTGAGTTGGGGAGTCACCCCCGAGATCATTACTCGAGTCGGCCTCCACGGCCGGTTCTCGTGGAGGTTCGTTGTTGGTCTTGACGTATATCACGTCTTCGACCGCCTCAGAGAGGGCTTCGTGCCCCGGGTCGGGAACGCCGGCGTCCATCGCTTCGGAGCTTTGTTGGCCGGTCGTTTGCCCGTCCGTCCCCTCCGGCGCTGCGGCCGGCTCAGGGGTCGGTTCCGGGGTGAGCAGGCCCTCTTCGCGTCGGCTGTTAACCGCGGAGCGTTTTACCGTTGTCTCTTCTGAGATTACGGTCGACGGCGCGAAGGCAGGTGGCAGGGGCTGCTCTTCAAGTGAAAATACGAGTTCGCTTGGTTTTGCGAGTCCGAGGAATTGGAGTCCTGGGTTCGCCGTAGCCGGAGGTTCCGAGATCTCCGTGGAGACTGTCTCGGCCACCTCCGCTTGTAAACTAGCTTTTGCATCGTCCTTCGAGTAGAACTTCGTCTCGTCAAAGGTAACGTTTCGCGTGATAATCACTTGATCAAGCGAGGGTATCCAGACTCTGTATAGGTTGTGAGCGTCCATAACGTAGCCCACCAGATATCCAATATGTCCTCGCGGTTCCACCTTGAAGTTACGTCTGTTCCTATCCGCTTCGCGGTCCTTTTTCAGGGGATAAGCCCTACACCCATACGCGTACGTCCAGCCCCAGTGGGGGCGAAGGTCGCGGGCGAGGCTCGCGCTGTATTGTGGTTGCCACCAGCGAAAATACTGTCGGAACCAGCTCTCTTCGACTTGAATTGGTGAGAGCCAAGCTCTTCGCTTCCGTGGTGACATATTGTACAGGTAGGCGGCTGCCATGACTGCTTCCACCCAGAGAGTAGTTGGCAGGCCCGCTGCGCTGAGCATCTTTATCGCTCGGGTTATTAATTCCTGGCCCGCTCGTTCGCCTCCGCCATTGGGTTCCTTGGTGTAGGGGGGTGTCTCTTCGATTTCAATCCCGTTATGCTGGGCCCAAAGTTGATACTCAGTCATTCCGTTTATCGCAATTACCGCGCGTTCTACGTCTTGTCTCAGCTTGCACAGGGTGACGCCTCGTTGGCGAGCGACCCATCGTTCGAAGTGCCTGAGAGCGTCGAAGACGAAGGTGTGCGATTTACTTACGCGCGGAAACGCGAAAAGACGACCGGTATATTCGTCTTTGATCACTAAGAGCCAGCGGTTCTTGTCAAAGCTTGTCGGGTAGTCGAAGAGATCCCATGAGACCCTATAGTACGGTCGAATTGCTTTCCGTTCAGAGGTTCGCCTCGAAATTAACTGTTTCGCGTGCGCTGTCGCGCAGTATTCGCATTCCAGACGCGTGGGTCCTTTTATCTTTACTCCTCTCACGTTTGACACCATTCGTTCTAGTGCGTCTGGTGCGAGGTGACCCGAACGAAGGTGCCATAACCAGGCGTCATCATACCTATCAGGTGGTTTACGAAGCGAGAGTCGAGCGGGATCCTGTACTGCAAGCACCAAATGGTTCACGATTCCTGCGTTACTCGAGGTAATTCGCTTCTGAGCAATATACTGGGAACCGGTCTTATATTCGAAGAAAGTAATGTTCATCTTCCTAACAAGATGCTTGACTACCACGCTGTTTTTGTACGTTCCCTGGCGAAGTGTGTTATCCAATCCGGAGTACCAGATGCCTGTCTTTCGGAGGAGTGCTTCCGAAACGATGTTAACGTGAAAGTTCTCTACGTATCCAACGTTATGGAGCGTAAGGTCTGCTGTGAGGTCTCCATCAGGGCCATTTAGTGCTTTTGGCAAGATCCACGTTCCCTTTGCTAGGATTGGGTACGAAGCAGTTCCTGAGTCGACTCTCTCGTCGCCGATGCACGTTTTAATAGAAGACGATTCAAGCAAGTCAAGGTTGTTAACAAGGTGCGTAGCTCCGCAGTTGTCGAGAACCGTGCTTCGTGACAGAACATGGGGTCCCGTCAGTGGGGTTGCAAATACGCTTGGTTGGTCGTAGTCCGAGTCGAAGTCGTCCGAAATTTCCCGGAGAAGTTCACGGCTGATCGTTACTGCGTGGATATTTCTCTTCAGTGTCACCTCTGACTCATTCTCCTCTTGCTGCGATTTCGCTTTAGAGCCGGTATTTCCTGACGACCTATTGCGAGGCGGCGCTGGGTTTCGGAAGCTGGGAGGTTCCGTCGCCCAGATCCAGCCTTTCCGAGCTAATTCGGCTCGGAGATCTTAGTTCTCGGACTGATTGATACGCTTTCGAATCTCCTTGCACTCGTCCCTCGATAGTTTGTCCTGGGAAGGCTTGATTCGCCCGGTAAGGGCGTACTCCACGCGGGTGCACTCCAGGGGGTTTGCGTTGTGGGGTTTGTTGCAGGGGCACGCTTCGGATTTGCCTTTTCCTTTCGAACCGCTTTTTCCATCTGAGATTGCTTCGCTCGGGCGACCGGCAAGGGTAGCGTACACACCGCTTGTTTTACCCCGATTTTTGTCGTATAGGGTGTCCTCATACAGCAAGTCCTCCAGCATATCCCTGTATTCACTTACAGTAGGGATGCGGTCCCCCTTGCGCTCCATTTTGACAATTTCAGTGAGCTCGGAGGTCGCCCAGGAGGGGGCAAAACGGTGTCCCACCGCTCGAAGAAAAGTTTTCGAAGCGAGCGTTCCCTGGCTTTCCGGTATTCTGAATCGAAGCGCGCGGAGCAGTACTCAATGGAAGTCTCTTAGCCAGGTCTGGGGGTTTACGCTTGTGTTGGCCTTTTCCAGGAGGAGAAGGTACTCTTCGCGAACTGTAGTTTGACTGCTTGATTCGCTTGGAGCGTAGCGTTTCCGAAGGTACTGAATAAGAGCACGGAGTGAACGTTGGTTGTTCGCTAGGATCTCCGATCTCGCAGCGTAGAGGATGTCCTTGTCGACCGTTTCCTTAACCTAACGCTGAATAGAGTCGAAGTCCCGCTCCCGACGAGTTTTGAGGACGTCGCGGCCTGATTTTGAAGCGAGGTAGTTCGTATATCTTTCAAAGGTCCCGGGCGTGTTTTGCGTGAGAGTTGGTTGTGCTACAGGCTCCTGGAGTTCTTCCCCTGTATCGTCACTCGCTTCTGCCCTATGCTGGAGAATCGAATCGTAGGCTTTCCGCTTCCGATCATAGGTTCTACGCTGCTTTTCGTTCTGCTGCGTGATCCATGATTCGATCGAGAGTTCTTCATCGTCCTCTCTTGGGTCTGACGGAGACGTAGTGTCGTCTGGGTCTATGAGATCCCAGACGTCTGCTGCGTCGGCTTCGGCGTAGAGAGCGTCGTACCAAACGGGGAAGTCCCGGCGGCAGGTTAGCCTTGTCGTGCTCGTGAGAACAGATATCTGCGACGACATCTTCGTTGTAGAAGTTGCTGTTTGAAGCGAAATTTGTGAAGACCGTAAGGAGTTGATGGTGTTCCGCCACGAACCCTTCGTCTGGTTAACAGTAGAAAGGGGTGATGTGGTAAGCTGGGCTCATAACTGTGGTGACCGACGTCAGGCACGGGCGGCATCAACTAGGAACAAAACGGCTTGTCTTCTCTAAGTGAGCGAGCGGAGCGAAGGACGCTTAAGAATACGGTCGCTGGAGCGAGGTCACGTGACCTCGCGGCCGAGACGCGGCAGAGTGGGTCCGGAGGCCCGGAGCCAGCACGACAGCAAGCAAAGACACAAGCGCGCGATGCGATTAAAGACGGCGCTACAGTACGCCGCAGGTAAAGTTTTTAATGATGAAGTCAGCAACGCTTAATGTAGTACGGTCAAAAGTGTCACATAAGCGCGTGCTGCCTGAAATGATCGGGCGATTCTCTAAGAGAGTCGACGCAACGCTGCTAGGAAAGCATACGCGTCAGTTGTATAACGAGCTTATTTAGAAAGAAGCGACCACTGTTATACAGCTACATAAGAACCTGAATGGCAAGACTGAACTACTATTTGCATCGAATTGACGTAGTTCCTTAAAACGTATGCGTCTGCGGCCAGGCAGCAGACACGGTTGAACACTTCCTCTTCCGGTGCACAAAATGGACGAGACATCGGACAGAGATGCTCGAATGCACGGAAACGCGGAGAAGTAACATATCCTTCTACTTGTGGGGCAAGAGCCCGTCGGATGACAATAAATGGACGCCAAACATATGTACAAGCGGTCCGAGGAACGATACGCTTCGCGCTGGCAACAGGTCGGCTAGATGAAAGATGAGAAGCGGAGGAGGAGAGTCACCTTAACCAATCAAAGCCGGCATAATCTCAATCAACCATCAACCTGCGATAGACAGCACGTACCGCTTCAGCCGCTGTAGATAGGACGTTGAACACTTGGAGAATACTGTAGGCTTCAAGATTGCATGCTGATCCATAATAAATGACCATAATACACTAAAACGCGGGAATCCGTTGCGAAAAGGGCAGAAAATGGACGAGTTAGCAAGAAATGGAGACTGTACCGGCTTCAAGGAAACCAGGGCACAAAGTCAGAAATGTACATGTAATCAGCTTTAGCTGCCCTTTCAGCTTTGCCGCCGGGCGTCCACATCTGTTGATTACATCTGTTGATTACATCTGTTGATTACATCTGTTGATTACATCTGTTGATTACATCTGTTGATTACATCTGTTGATTACATCTGTTGATTACATCTGTTGATTACATCTGTTGAACGAAACGAACATGTAATCTACAGCGACCAAGACAAGACACCTTTTGTCGTTGCCATCCGTCCACACTCAGGTGGATGAAGCCTCAAAGTGGAACTTGATCAGCACCGTAACTCCCCATGTCTCCTGTGGAATTCCACAATAACTTTTCTGAGAGGGCTGCCATGTGTAAGCACGTGATCTGTTATGAGAGGGATAAAACTATTAGCTACTGCATGCAAAACTCCCTTCTGACATACAGTAGCTAACGTGCATATAGCGCTCATCCATCTTCACAGGAATTCTTAATCAAAATGAACATCTTTGCCATCATTCCCTGCGTAACTACCATCGCTATGGCAGCTCTTTTGCACCACCGAGATCCAGGTCGCTCAGGATACAATCAAGTCCACAAACCAAAACATTCGACAGCCAATCAGAGTAACCAACGCACGGAGATGTAATACGTCTCAAATGCATCTTTAACGCGAATACCCCAAGCTACCTAGGACAGTGAAGGACAAATAGACCAAATTGTTGTGGGAAGGGACAAGGACACTCGCCACTTATATGTATGTTTCAATGTGTTCTTAATTCAGATTTATAGTACACTTAATATCAATTTCTGGAGTCTCGGAATAGATCCATGAAGTTGATTAGCAAAGTTACTACATATCCTTGGAGCCGTATACCTCGATATCACCTGAATGTTTCCTCGTCAGCTACACCATCTACAGTACGCCGCCCCTATGGACTATCTTAAGCCGTCAGTATCTTAATGTGGAACCATTGATATAATATTCATCACTGACATGGTAATGCCTGCTACCTTGATTACTATGTAGGTAGTAGCCGAAATCGCAGTAAATGTATGGCCGAAGCAGCACTTCGGTGTGTAGAATACTCACGAAGGAAAATAATTACGCTCTGTTACTAACTCTGAGTTCAACATGTTGGGATACAGTACAGTATCAATACCTTATCTGCTCTATACTGTAGTTTGCTCTCAAGGATTCAGGTGGTTATGGCGTTTATAGTAGCTACAGCTAGAAAAAGACTACTGCTGATGACGAGGACGTGCAAGCAAAAAAGAAAGAGAAGCATGAGGATTCCGCATTCACTAAAGAATATTTGAAGGCCCTTAGACCTGACGATTTCTTGGTTGTTATAGCGTTTCTACTTTACTGATTATATGGTGATATCCTACTTTCAACAATCCTTTCCTCCAAGACCCTTTTTTCACCCATACGTAATGGCCGACTATCAGATCGGAAGTGAGCACCCCCAATCGCTCATCAGCGACTTCGTCATTGTCGGTACTGGGTTTAGCGGCTGTTACGCTCTTCACAAAATCAGGGAGCTCGGGTATTCTGCAAAGATCCTGGAGGCTGGTAGCGACTTTGGAGGCGTCTGGCACGTCAACAAATACCCTGGAGCAGCACTCCGTCATATCAGTTTAGCCTGCCCAAAGTCTGGGAAACGTTCAACTTCGAGGAGAGATACCCTGGGCATGAAGAGATTCGGCGGTACTTCGCACATGTCGACATAACTCTCGGACTACGGAAGGATACTATTTTCAATTCTCGTGTAGACGAGGTAAAGTACGACTCGAAAAGTAAGAGGTGGCTTTTTCGCACAGAAAAAGGCCGGCGTATCGAATCGAGGTTCGCTATTTTCGCCTGCGGATCTTTCAATAAGCCTTACATTCCTGCTTTTCCCAACCTAAATGCCTTTCGCGGCCTACTTATCCACCCATCGGCTTGGCCCGAAGGTGTCAAACTGGACGGCAAGAAAATTGGTATCATCGGCCAGGGGGCATCAGGGCTGCAACTCGTTCAAGAACTCGCGAAGCAGGATATTCTGTTGACTGTTTTCATACGAGAACCATGCCACACCCTTCCGATGCAACAGAGGCGACTATCATATCGAGAATCCGAGGAGCTGAAAAACTACTATGATGGCATATTTTCCAAGGCTAAGTTCGGCTCTTCGTCAGCTATAGGGTATAATCAGAACTCCGATTTCTATCACCAGGCAAGCGGCAGCGACAGGGTTACGCTTTACCAACGCCTGTGGGATAGAGGGGGCTTTGGGTTGACGCTATCGAACTATCGAGATATTATGTACGACAAGACGGCAAATTCAAGCCTATACGAGTTTTGGATGCGTAAGACTAGGGCTCGAATGTCTAATCCTGAGAAGATGGATATCGTTGCACCATTGAAACAGTCTCAGTGGTTTGGCGCCAAACGAGTCAATCTCGAGATGGACTACTACGAAATGCTAGACCGCCCGAACGTTAAGCTTGTTGATCTCAAAAAAACACCGCTTAAATCATTCTCTCGAAATGGCGTTGTGACTGAGGGCCACGACAGTACCTTGGACCATCACGAACTGGACGTCATGATTTTGGCTACGGGCTATGACTCCGTGACGGGAAGCTTATTGGGTATGAATATCCACGATAGGCATGGACTGCGCCTAGAAGAGAAGTGGAAAGACGGAATAAGCACCGACCTCGGCATGCTAGTACCTGAAATGCCGAATGCGTTTCTCCTGTACGGGCCTCAAGGGCCTATAACTCAGACAAACGCCCCATCTTTTATCGAGTTGTAAGTGGACTGGATAGCCAATCTTCTTAAGAGGATGCGAGACGAGAGTATCGACTATGTAGAGCCCTCCCAGGAATCTTGTCGGTTATGGACAAAGCAGGTTAACAATGCCTTTGAGCCAACGTTGTTTCGAGAAAGCACGGCATGGTGGACTGGTGCGAATATAGAGGGGAAGAAGGTTGAGCCACTTGTGTTTTTCGGCGGTGTTCAACGGTGGTGGCAAGAGTGTCAAAGTTCTCTGAAAGACTGGTCTAACTTTTGTATCTCTGGGATATAAAACAGTCATATAAAGATATTTGCATATGCTTAGTCTTTCTGCGAATTCATTTCTCGAAGCAGAATGCGCTGGAAGGCTCAAGGCTGTATCGGCCTGAGCTGCGATAATTGACCTGCAACTTGAAGTGCATGGATGGTTTAGTTTTTAATGTGAGAAGTATAAGCACATCCAGCAAACTCACTCGAACTGTTGTTATTGCATAGTTTAATCAACATACGTGAGCGTCTCAAACACATGTTATTCGACCGAGCTGCTTCGACCTCCTACGAGTAAATTAACTACGAAAGCGCCAGTGTCCTCGCCTGAACTCTGCAGGGTGTGGCTCATGATGGACATTTTTCAGGCAGATAATAAGGATTATACGGTTTAACGAATGCCAACGGAGCCACACTTGAACATCGTCTGGGATACTAGCACGGAAATGGTTGTTGTTGTCAAAGGCTTCGTAACTTATGCCGTGCCCAACAAAATCCTTAGTGACACAATCTGCTGTTTCTGTCCTCTCCAGCATACCACCAATCCATAAATCTCTTTGAGGTTCGTCATTTGGAGCCCTAAAGAAAAGGTAAGCCCTGGTCTGTTCGTGCCTTTCAGCCTACAATACCAGTGGGTTGACTTGAACCGACTGCTATGGTAAGTCCTATTGAATTAATGTACAAATTCCTAGACCGAAAGTGATACCGATTTCGTCTCGACCAAGGTGTTCTCACTGGTTTCATCGTCATCCAGCCCTGAGTCGGTTTCGTCAGAAGTTCCGCCAGATTCTTGCAGAGGTGGTATGTGGATAGCTACAACTCACCCAATGGGCAATTTCGAGTGAAAAATCGGGTTTCATGGTCAAGGCCTCACTTCATTCATTTGGTGCGTCAGGTTCGTGTTGAAGGGATCCCAGATCTGGAAAAAGGGAAGACTTGATGTCCCGAGGTAACTGTCGGCCTTGTTGCAAGTCCAACTAACCCAATCACGTCGCTGCTCGCCGTTGACATGTGGCTTGAATCATGCCTGTTATATGCACCGACTCTGCGTGTCTTCATCTATGGCATGCCTTGCCGTTGGTCGTAATCCTTGTTCTTTCCTCGAATAGGTGACTTTATGAGTAGTTGACTTTAAGCAGGTAGAGTGAGTGGTTGACGGCCATCTGTTGTGGTCCTTCGATAGTGATCTCTCTGCTGTTCAGCCAGAACTGGACGCCTGCTCGCTCTAAAGTTCTTAAAGCGCGATGGCCCCTAGTATAATTCAATACCTTTTCACAACTTACAGTACTGCCAACCGCCATGTTTCAAATCGGCTGGGTAATACTTGCTTTCATCTACGCTCAAGCCGTGGGTATATGCGCAAGCGCCAATTGCCGTTCAGGATATCGCAATGCTGTTTATTTTACAAACTGGTAAATTTATAATCGCTAGGATAGGAATCAAATACTTATGGATAGAAGGTCTATATACGCTCGGGGATACCATCCTCACGATCTTCCCGCAGAGCAGATCAGCGTTCTCCTCTATGCATTTGCTAACGTGCAGAGCGACGGTTTGGTATTAGTACGGCGAGCCATATTGATCAAAGCCTTCTTACTAGCGTTACAAGCAGGGTCTCTTCTGATTCTTTTGCGGACCTTGAGACGCCATATGACGGCGATTGTAATTAGTAAACCACCCAGATTATCTTTTCGGACTACTTACGGCTCCTAGCTAGGAAAAAGTGCGAGAACGACGTCTGCGGATGCGTGAAACAGCCATATCTCCTCAAAAAAACCTACCGCAAGCTTAAAGTGCTCCTTAGCATCGGCGGGGCGACATATTCAAGCAACATTGCTGCGGCCGCTGCTACTAAAGCAAAGAGAGCCCTCTTTTCACAAAGTGCGATCGCCCTGATGAAAGACTGGGGGTTTTACGGGCTTGATATTGATTGGGAGTATCCCGTTAATGAAAAGGAGGCGCAAGACTTCGTCCTACTATTGGGCAAAATACGGTCGGAGATGGATTCATACGCAAGCCAGTATGCGCCTGGCTACCATTTTCTCTTAACGATATCGTCACCCGCTGGGCCTTCGAATTACGACATATTGCCGCTCAGTAAGATATCAGATATTATTGATAATTTCAACCTGATGGCCTACGACTATTCCGGTCCATGGAGCTCTATGACGGGACACCAAGCCAATTTGCACTCAAGTCCCATCAAGCCTAACTCGACACCGTTTTCTACAGATGCCGTCGTCGAAGACTATATATCCAAGGGCGTGCTGCCTACCAAGATTATTCTTGGTATGCCCGTGTACGGCAGAGCATTTCAGCAGACTGGTGGGCTCGGCCAGGCCTACTATGGCGCGGGCAACGGGTCGTGGGAGCAAGGCGTGTGGGACGCCAAGGCCCTGCCACGACCTGGGGCGATGGAGTATCACGACACGGCAGTTGGTGCTAGTTACAGCTACGACACAGATACCTAGGAGCTCATATCCTATGACAGCCCGTCAGTGACCAGACAGAAGGTTGCGTATATTATTGAGAGCGGGTTAGGTGGGAGTATGTTCTGGGAGGCGTCTGCCGACCGAGGTGACGAGACAGGACTTATCCACGCTAGCTTCAACGCTTTAGGAGGGGCCGCCAATGTAGACTGTTCTGAAAACCTGCTGCGTTATCCTAACAGTCGATATGCAACTATCCGCAATGGATGAGATACCTCCAAGTCGTCAATATTGGATTTGCATTGTTTTTGGAAGTCGATGGATATCATCATTGGGTAGTACGCCCTCTAGTTAAACAATGACTTTGTACCAAAGAACGCAAATCTCATCTAGTTCTCTATTTCTCGACCGCCTTTGTTTTCGAATCTAGCATTGCCGCATGGAGCTTAAATAACACTTAATACTTCATTACAGCAATAATAGTGCCCTGCAATAACCAAATACACCACAGGCTTGTGGGATGTATCGCAAGGGAGCATGCAAGTTCTGGCTACAGCATGGTCGTTTTGACTTATCCGGTCGAGTACACGTTTGAGATTCGGGCTTTAACTTCTGCAATGGAGACGAGGGGGTCGAATAATCTTGCGGGTCCTCCAGAGGTAAGGTGCAATAATAATGCTGCACGGCTTGTAAGTAAATGAAGGGAAATTATGTACTATACAGTAAGTAACGCCTGAAGCTACTTTGTAAAAGTCAATCGTATACAGAAAACAATCCCTAAATGCCTGGTCTCGATGTATAAGCCATTTATACTCGTTTTGTGCCAGGTTTGAAGCTGGCTAATCCTGTAGGGATTCACACAGTCGTGTGGCACTAGACGAACGGGGTGAGAAAATCATGCACACGTTGCGAATTAGGCCTTTTTAATCTATTTTGTCTCTTTACTGTGCAAATCACAGCTGATGAGCGTTCCACGCTACATCAGCCTTCTCCTCCCCATCTCGTCGGGCGCTTGAAACTCCTAATGCGAGGAATGTTCTTCATATTGCAAGCTATGAACGGATATTTATTCTATTTTCTGTTTTCTGTTTCCTAAGTATAGGAACCGGCACGAAGTCACATGATATACCTACTATAGCAAATCTGTCCGTCAGATGGTTGAGCTGCATGTCATTGGCGAATGGTGGTTGCTGGAACGGCACATCTTCGATTCGCTTTGATATCTTGCCGAAATCTCCGCAGTAGACCTTTGCCTGCTTAGACGAATGACGGCCGTCTCTTCTAGTTTGCTTGAAATCGTTGTTTTCACAGTCTGACAGCTTGATATCAAGGAGCCTAGAACTAGATATAGGATGTTAGTGTTGGTGTCATTGGGTGTGTGGTCGCATTGTAACTCGACAAGTTCCGCGTGCCTAATGTTATTTTGCAACAGCCTTGGTGTTTGGTCGAGGTTTTGGTCTTCCACCTCGCTAAACAGACCTTTTTGTTACAGCCCGCATCGCATAGAATCCGCACACTGCTGCTGCACGGTTGTTTAAGAAGTGGAGCTGGTAGAAACATTGCTAATAGGACCCGATCGATAGAGGCAAACTTGTCTGTTGTGCATTTCGGTACCCCGGCGGTATGTCGTGATATGAGAATCCACCGCACCATACTCTACCAGGCTGTGCGCGCCAACATGCACGCGTCCGCGGGAACGAACTCCTGAGATGTGATTCACCAAACGAACACAAGACTCAGACGACTTCCAAAGCGGACTTACCGTTCTGCCTCCAGGATCTTGTTCACCACGGCTGTGTGGGTCCATTCGCCGTCCATGTATGATGCATGCCCCTGCGCTGCACAGGATTGTTGGCCAACGTTGCGACGCATCGCACAGCGCCTGCTTCCCCCGCACATCCGCGCGGCTCGATGGCTTGTTCATGAAGCGAACCCAGCCAAGCAATAGGGGGATATGGAATTGGTGCGATACAGCGACGCAGAAGCCGCAGCCGAGCTCGCCGACGGCTGGCGCATCTTTCCGCTACCCGTCGGCGAGGATATTCGCAGATGCGAAGAAGTACAGTCATTCTTGTCAGAGAGGGTGATATATGGAAGGCTAACATGCCCTGATCTGAGGCAATCGTCGGTCAGGAGCCGCTTATATGGGAGCGGAACAACGCAACCCTGCAGAGGACGAGTGATGCGACGTTCAGAAAGCGGAGTCCAGGATTCTAGATGATGCCGAAAGCCAGAGCGCATTAGAGGAAACATTTCCAGCAGAAATCCGTTCCGCATAGGCCACGACGGCGACAAGTTTGCCAGTTCAGTCACTCATCGGCGAGTGCGCTGAGGTCTTGAGGCAGAGACTGGTAGACTGGCTTTGACGATGGCCAAACCGTTATCTAATGAATACGACAAATCATGATACCCCATCTCTAGATATGAGGTTTCTGGAGGGGTTCTGAATCGCGATGTGAGACTGCGGGCATGCTGATTCGCCTCGGTCCTTGGAACGCAGTGTTTTCTCTTATTATACAGTAGCGTTTCTCGCAAAATCATCTTTTAGCAAACTGATCTATCCGCAACATAAGCGACAGACAATGTCATGATTCTTTCTTGTTCAATTTGTATGTCCGCATCGCGGTCCATAGCTCTTTGTCGTCGGAGTTATATTCAGCCTTCCTATCAGCAACGTCAAGAAATTTCTCGAGAGGAAGTGTTTCGCCGGTCCTGGGCGTGCCATCTGCCCAATGTAGCTGGCCAACATACAGCATCTTAGCCTGTTGAAGAATATTGTGGTCGATAACAAGGAGTTCCTCGCGCAACCGAGAAAAAGATGTGATTCTGACGTTTGTCACCCTTTGGTCTTGTGGAGAATGAGTGAACAACAGGCCAAGGCGAGACTGTACCGCACGGATGTCGAGTCCGTTGTCTTCCTTCAATTGTATTTCGCTGTCGCAGAAGTTTGGCCCTTTGGCAAGCCCTTGGGCAGTCATGTGAAGATTGACAGGTGTATGAAGACGTACGCCCTAGCTAGGCAAGTCGTAGGGACCGAAGCCTCCCTTCCACACGTGACGGGCTGGGAGACCATATCTCCCACTTTCACTTCTAAACCACCACTTTACTTCTACTTCTACACATCACGATTAATTAGGAATTTACTGTTTATTTGCTTTTACGGTACCCACGAAACGTTCCGTACGGACCTGTTACAGACCCTGTGAAACCTACAAAAACTGTTCTTTTCCACAGCCTACCACCCGCAGACTGACGGTCAGAGCGAGAGAACGAACCAAACAGCGGAAATTGCCATCCGGTTCCAACTCTCGTAGCACCCGGAAATCCCGTGGCCAGAGATTCTCCCGGCGCTGCATCACAACCTCAACAACTCGTACTCCGCAACAATTGGGAGATCTCCCAACGAGGTCGTGTACGGATTTAAACCCCGTAGTAGTCTTGACGCAATCGTAGAAAAGGACGCTCCAACCGAGTCAATCGACATAATAAAGAGGATTTACCAGGACGAGGCGGCGGCTCTGATCGACATAGCCAACTCGCTGAGAAAGGAGCGCTACGACAGTAGCCACCCAAGCCATCTCCACTTTACCTTGTAGCCCACTTTCTCAAGGAAATGGATTTGAAAGGCGGGGGAAATCTTCAAATGCTTTCCATGAATTGATCTTTTCATTAACACATCGCAGAGGACCCATAGCCGTACTTCCTGCAGACAAGGGTGACGCAAAGAAATGACGAAAGAAGTTTGCTCCCAGGACAAGGAACGGTTGCGCTACTTGTCGACGACGCAAAGTAAAGTGTGACGAAACTCGGCCGACTTGTAAGAGAGAACTCCTATGTGTATTGTAGCAGTGACCTAACCGTACAGGCGGAAACTTCCAGCGAGGGCGATATAAGAGCGACAAAAGCTACGTCTGAAAATCTATCAAGATAACCCTCGACACAATTTGGTTAAGGTCAGGTCAAAAGATAACATGCTCGTTGACACAAAAAACTTTCAGATGAACTCAAATGACGGCCAGAAATCACTATCATGGACCGCCATGAATGGGTACGAGGCGATCGTCAAGGTATTCCTTGAGACCGGCAAAGTTGAAACCGACTCGAAGGAATTGCTCGTGTTGCATAGAGAGACGGGGAGCGCTTGAAAAATGGAAACTCGAGTCGAGATGCACAAGGTCCCCCAGATGGAACGACATTTGGAACGAGCCACTTCGTCAGAACTTAAAATTCTCAGTCAAAAACATGCCAATTCCGTCATACAAGACTGTTGGCGGACTCATAATCTCAGCTCCTGGACTGTACGTTGCACTATACCGACTCTCAACCATGAAGTAAGCCACTGGACAAGGAATGGGTCTCTTCTTAGGGAAGATGAAGCCATGATAATCGGGAATCCGACTGCACTATTTTGCGACCATCCAACGTGCCGATAGAGTCATTCCCTAATATATCACACAATCCGCCCATCGCCAGGCATACCACCGAGTGACAACTTGATCACACACCCAATGACACCAACACTAACATCCTATATCTAGTTCTATGCACCGCCAAAAACCAAGAGACTTTGGACATTAACTTTACCAAAGCCGCGTTGACGCAACAATGCTCGGCCGCGATGAACAGGCAATTCGGCTACAGTCATGATGCTGACATGATCAGCACAGATACCGACTTCACACAGCAGCTGGATCACTGCACAAAGAGTCTCTCCCGTTGCGAGCACATCGTCCACCACCACCACTGTCCCGCCTCTTGGCACCACATCTCGACCCATTTCGATTTCCTTCCCTCTTGATTCGTTCAAAGCCGAAGATGAAATGTGGGACGGAGGTTTGATGACAGAAGCAGTGGGTGAGGGGAGCTTACCGGCCTCGCGAATCAGCGCTAATGGCACGTCGACCCGTGAAGCCAGCGCCGACGCAAAGACGAAGCCACCGGCCTCGCAACACACCACCGCATCGACTTCAAGCCAATTACCGGTGAAGTGGGTGTGCAGCAGAGAAGAGCACAGGGCCAGCCCACCCGGCTGCTCAGATATGCCGAGCACGTGACGAAATTCAATGCCTGGGCGCGGGAAGTCGGGTGACGTGTGAACCATATCGGCCAGTCGATGTAGGTCCTCGTGTAGGAAGGGGAGCAGATATTGTTCGGCAAACGTCTTCGCCATCTCGTCACCAGCTGTGTCATTCTTGAAGATGAAGCTGGGGCGGTACTGCACGGCCCCTGAATTCAACCCTTCAGCGTCGCTGTTGTTATTGTCCTCATCGTCAACAACGTCGTTGCCGTTACGCCATCCTCCACAGGCCCGCAGTGTCTCTCTGCTAGCTTCAACGCGCATATCGAGCATCTTCCTGTCTGCTACCAGATGTGATAAGGATACTACTGGCGCTTCATCCCTCATACCAGTTATAAGTAGCACGTCAACGTTCGCGGCGTTATATACGACATTCACAAAATGTTCCTCTGGAAGCCGAGGGTTTTCTTGTACCTTTAGTTGGAAAAATCTTATCAGCGCTGACCGGTGTTGCTCCTTGTATCTTCGGTCGTAAAGCAGGCCGCCGAGGTCAGCACCACTCTCTTTCGCGTATTCTTCCTTCATGGCACTGCTGATGCTGACGACTCGTACCGTTAGACTGTTGCCAGCGCATCTGATGAGCAAAGAGGCCCAGGCGTCAGCGCAATAGTTTTTACCGGCGCCGCTGTCGCCCGTAACAAATAAAATGAGCTTCTGTACCATCGGCGCTTTCGGGAGAGGGCAAGCGTAAGAAAGGACACTGTAAGGGTCTGAGGCGTGTTTCAAATGAACCAAGCGCGGCTGGTTCGGTCCGAAGGCCTTACTCGCTAGTGCGGCGTCCCTGGGGTCCGGCCCTAGGTCGGCGCCGTAAGTTCCGCTGCTCAAGGGCAACAAGTCCCTGGCGACGTCGTAAACCCACTGCTCGGCGGCTCTGGCATCTTCACTGCGATCTTGTTCACGGGGCCAGACACCTGTGACAACGCAGGCAAAGTCCTAGTCTCGATTGCCGAACGCAGTTGCATCCTCCAGTGTCTCCAGCCCAAAGGCGCGGAGCAGCGCCGCCGGTCGATCAACGCCTTCCGCCAGCGGCGGTACGTCGCACTGTCCTACACGTGGGGCAGATAGACACCCAACCCTCGCCGGTCCGGAAATGTATCCTCGACCGCGTCCGCCACTACATGCACCACACAAAATTCGCTTCCTCTGGATTGATGCTCACTGTATCCGTCAAGACACATGCGGCGTCGACGATTGCGCCCGCCATTCCCGCTGCGTCGAGTAACGCAACGCCATGCAAGCCATGGACCTCGTCTACCAGCTCAGCGAGCACCCGGTAGCCCTACTGGGCCGGCCGCTGAAGACCATATCCGAGTTGCGCCTCCTTGTCCGAATTCTCTCGGGGGAGCTTGTCGATAGCGATCGCGAGTTTAAGCACTGTTGCTTCTCAGCGAAATCACCCAGGACAGCTGGTGGTGTCGTGCATGGGCATTCCAGGAGAACAACCGCGGCGGAATGCAGATGCAGCTATTGATCCGCCACGATCCGTCCCTAGAGCCGCAGAAATGGCGGTACAGACCATTCGGAGAGATACCGGGCGAGCTGTGCATACTGTCCGTCATGTTTTCCGTGCAGGCGACGCGGCTATGCCTAGCGCTCCGCGAGGTGGCAGGGCTGCCGCCACTGGACGTGAAGCGAATCGACGGCGTGCTTAGAGCGGCTGGGAGATATGCGCTTATGGTACACAGCTCCAGCTCCATGACCGCAACCGTGATCGCCGACATCGAGGCGCGTGGGTTGTCGAAGCCATGGGACCGGCTTGCTATCGTAGCCAACTGCTGTCAATACCCAGTGCGGTTGGACGGCGGAGCACTCAGCCGTCGAGGTCGGAGCCCAAGTTTGTCAGTGCTGGCCGTGTGTCTACTCAACGGCGAGATCCTAGATAACGGAAACAATGACATGGCATCGGCAGCCGGGCTGACGATGTCGGAATTTCTCGGCAGATTCATGCTTCGGCGATTCAAAGCGCCCGAAGACGAAGCGCGGCAATTGACATTTAACAAAGGCTGCCGGCTGATCGACGTAGAGTTGGCAGCGGGCGGGATTGTAACAAGGGGCCACCTGTGGAAACTGGCCCCGTCATCGATACCGCAAGGTGGAGGCGGAAGTAACCGCGGATCAACGAACTACGAGGCCGTTTGACACTGTATGAGCGGAGGGGTCTGCTGCAGCTCGTGTTTTACTTATAAGATTTGGACTGCCGCTGGCTCGCCGACCGGATCGACGAGTACCTCGCCGCTGACGCCCGCGCTGGGGGAGAGTACCGCTCCTTTGCCGAGATGTATTTTCACCGCATGGCTGCCGAGCTAGCAGAGGCGATCCTGGCCCATCGGAAGCTGAGGCTAGGTCGACGGGGCGTACCCGCCTGTGGCTTTCGCCTTCACGTCGGCGTGGCAGGGCGATTCTGGCTCGCAAACACACGACGCTAACGACATCGACTGCCACGTCTCTCTCGAGGCCGAAAAGAGTTCTCTAGGTAGAGGCGGTGTGCCGCAACTACGCGTCCGAAGGTGGCTGCTGGGTATGTGTTTCTTCTATGGTTGTCCGCTCACCAAGGTAGTGTTTTCCTGGCCGCGAGCGCTGCAGGAAGTAATAGTAATAGTTAGCGAGATGAATGGATATAGCCTCTGCATTGAATCTTGTTGTAGTATTTTTGATATGTGCCATGGGTGTAGTGGATGACGTAGATCAATTATAAGAATGTTCCTTCGGTCCGGCCCGGTGCACGGGACGCTACGGCCGTTGTTTTTGCAGAGCGGAGCTCTCCGGGTTCCATGCCGTCTAGTGCAGTTTAACTTGAAGCCAGGCTAGATCGTCTTCATACAGGGGGCGATCAATTGAAGGACGCATAATTATGCATCTATGTTTTATCCAGTCGATTGGACGTAAGCAAGTGTAATAGAGTGAGTGGGCGTTTTCCAGCGATGTGGATGGAAGTCTTGGAGCTCCGGTCAACCTTGGACAAGCCGCGGGGCCCCTTGCTCTTCTCTCGCCTTGCCGGAAGGTAGGCTAGTTCGATATGTTGCAGCCTGACGTCGTCGGTTTGCATGACAGGCGTCGCTCAGCTAGCCACCCAGTTATTGAAGTTCGTCCCATACCTTTCACACATTGCAGCCTGCGACGCTACCTGGGCCTGCGGCCGAGGCGGTCTAGCAACCTACACTGCTTAGATGTTTACGCCCTGGAACGGTGAGGGTTGAGGTGTCGTGCCAAGTTTCTCTCCTGGTCTCTCATTCCGGGGAGGCAAATTAGGCATCAGACCTTGTAACAAGGCGTCTTCGCTCCTGCGGGACAGGGATTCAGAACGAGTAAGAAGAAAGGTCGAACCGATCCCCAGAAATATGCGAGGTTCAAAGAGCCACCACAATCATGCAGTCGGTGCCTAATATCTTTACGGCATAAAATCACAACAACCGACACCTCTTTCTTCCAACTTTCTCGCACAAACTACAACGCATACCTGGGCTTAACTGAACTAAATACCACCAAACCAAAAAGTTGGCAGAAAATTTCTAGAGTGACAGCATGCAATCTCTCGGGCTGGCTCTTACTATTCTTCTTTTACTTTTCTCTCTTTTCAGGCCTCAAGGTTTTCGGATCCCGGCGGCTTGTGCCTTGAGCGGTACTCTGCTGCTTTTTGTTGAAGTTGGGTGGCGTCAAAAGCTTCCGAATGTTCTACCTGCCTGCTGGCTGGGCCTTTTTACCATTCTCATTTATTACAAGCGGAAAAGTAAATCCGTGCGTCAGAACAGTAATTATCAGCCTCAGTGCCCTTCCGAGAAGGCTCCAACTACCCTTAACGATACCTCGCCGGAAACCCTTTTTCGCCGGACCATACATGAGGACATACGTAACGCAGGAGGATTGATAATGTGGATCAAAAAGTACAGTGTTTTCTGGCACGTTGTATGGCCGGTTGGAAATTATACACAGCAATGTTATTTCATTCTGTCGTTCATCTTTTCGATAATCGATGGGCAGCTTGCAGGCTTGTTGGAAAGGACTACCCGTTGTCTCATCCAAGGAACCAACAAATCCGCCGAAAACTCCATCATGTGGGACCAACCGGATGTATTGGCCCTCGTTGCGTATTCGGCGTTACAATCAGCATCGGTTACAAAACGTCTCCGAAGCCGTCTGTGGACTAATTGTTTAACTTATCGCAAACAAAGAGTACAGGAGCTAATCCACAAAAAGCTTATGACTCTTGATTCATCTTACCACTGTGGGCCCACTTTTACCACACAGCTTGATTACCCACGCAGATAAGATCGGTCACAGCACAACATACATGCAATTTGACTTATGTTATTCCGCTCTAGCATCAATCAAGCTATAAATCCCTCTTGATATTGTTGCATTTGAGCCTGAATTCCGGGTCGTCATCCACGGGATCACGCGAGTCCCGAAGCCCCTCGGAGCCCCGGATTTCCGGTGCCGAAAAGTGGGTTGCATGACGATGCCGGCACCTGCGCTGTCCAGCCGCTGGTCATCCGGTCTGAAAAGAAATCTGTAAAACGGAATCGCAATTATAACAATACAGTACATATCAACCAGCCGTCCTTGTACGCCGTATACGATGTCATTCAGTGCCATCAAGCTAACAACTCTTCGGGCTGTTCTGAAATCAAAGTAAGACATTCCACTCCTATCCGCGAAATCAAATTCCTTCACCAATAGCGTTCAATAGGCCTAATATCGTATTTCTGGGAACTCCCATCTCCGCCATACGCTTTGTGAGGATACAGATGCTTGTCCCTTCGCTCCCACAAGAGGCTGCGTCTGAGAGACTCAGTCAGCTCAGTTGCGAGCATGTTTCGTCGGGTCGCTTGGGGAGAGAGGATCGCCGGACGATGCCTTCGATTATCAGTCACTATTTTGATGGGTCGAGCGGCAGACTGAGGCAATCCATGGATGGATTGTCTCGTACGCGAATCATGAGAGCGGCGTGAACAGACGGATACGCGGGTCTTAGCCTCCCTAAGACAAGGTGATGGATCACTCTAGAACCACACACTTGATTCATACGGCCTTGATTGATGTAGCGGGCGCCGGTGGAGCGTTTAATCCTTTTCACATAGACTGTCGTAGGAGAATGCTATTATACTCACACTCTGCTCATAAATTCTCTGCCTTGCCGCTGGAACCGTTGATGTGAAGCTTGATGGTGGTAATCTTTATCGTGCGTACGATATCTTCTCCATACGAAAGACTCATTATCAGTTTGCATCGACCCATAATCCGGCTTACGAACTTTGACTTGCGAATTTCTCTGTGGAAGGTTATTGCAATAACACCTTTACGGATCTCCCACGGGTATTGGCCTACCTTCACCGAGTCCTAGGGGTTTCCGCGATGAAATAGAGTTGGAAAAAAGCCATTGATCAGAGGCAATGTGTGTTAACAAGGGGCTAAAGGCAAAGCAACAGGGTGTGAGTGAATGATTTTCTTAGAGTGTGAACAGGAAAGTTTCTGGTCCAGTACATACAGAGGCGGAGACACCCAAAAACTTGGAGGACGTTTGCGGAAAACAAGCGACAGCCGAGAATAGTGGCCCTACGACAAGTTTATGGGAGTGGAGCTGCTCAAGGCTTTGGTGGTCCTCAATATGTATCCCCGTGAGTGGGAGCGACCGCAGTTCAGCCTCATACCAAGAGCAAGTAGCCCTTCAAACGAAGGAATTGCTGAGAAGGGACATGTACGGAAAGGAAAAATCTTAACATTCCTTTGCCAGCGGTTCTATCTACTTTGGACGAGTCCAGTGTACCAATGCCTTGTTTCCTCAACTAGATGTAGCCTGCCTGCCAAAACAACGCCAAAGCACTCAATCTGCAGACCCCGCAAAAGATTATGTCTCGCATTTGTCGATGTCGAATGACGCTATCGCATGGAGAGGTTTACTGCTTGAGCTCGTGCCAGACTGGCTGCCTACGTTTCATGTGTTAGTTATGTGGTTCCAAAAGAAACACTTGGAGATCTGAAGGAACACATACTCAGAAGTACCTTGGTTGACCAGGACACGAACGGTAATTTTGATAGGCATTCCCTGAATGGTAGGAAGGCCGAATGCCGACGGGTTGGTAGACTGTCCGACAAACAGGTGGCGATTGCCGAGGTCGATCTTGAAAGGCGTGGTAGATACGACAATGCTTTTGTCACTGCCATCAAGCTGCGTGGTGTAGGCAGCCACCGAGCCATACGCATTGCTGCTCTGGTAATAATAGACGTGAATTCCCATCTCGTTCGGTCGGTTGCGCAGGGGCTTCTACTCCGCAGCGGCAAAACCAACTTGGCCACGAAATGGGAATGAAAGGCCATTCAGACCGGCGAGGAATACGCAACCGCTGCGATTGACACCTTGGGGCCCAGGGTTGCCAATGTTAATCGAGAGCTCAGAGGGAATGCCAGCGAGGTTGCGGTCGAGAGGGCAGAGCTGGTTCTCGGGACCATCGGGGCCATCGAAGGTAAACTTGAACAGTACTACGAGTCGCAAGCAGGTTAGCTATCCATCAAATTCATTGGAATATGATAAATGAAAATCCATAAGGAGTAAATGAGCTTCAGTAATTATTACTTACTACCGTTCGGCTTGACTACAGGCAATTGTCCATCGGCGTGGAAGGCATCAAGGAACGCCTTGCTGCAGGGCTGGGCATTGATCTCAACAGCTCCAGACATCTTGCGTATGACGAGAACTTATGAGAAATGATGCTGAGTGAATCGAAGAAAGGATGCCTGCAGTTGTGGTGAGACGCAGCGAGACTGTCGAGTGATTGAAAAGGAAGGCGAAAACGAAGAAAAAGTGATGGTGGTGAGGAAGAAAAGAGTGTGGGAAGAAAAAAAAAACATTACAGCGGCATGAGAAAAGTTTAACTGTGGGTAGTGAATTAAAAGAGAAAAATAGGAAGGCGTTAATGTGAGGTGCCTGCCGTTAAGTTGATGAAGGCTCCTGCCCCTTCCAAAGAGCAGTGTGGTAGGAAAGAACAGATAGAAAAGCGGGAATCCCAACATACATTCCAGCCATCAATCCCTTCACCAGATACCTGTGTCCCCCTCTGTTTCGTACCCCACAGCATCGACCTGTTCCTCTTCCTCGTCTTGCGAATCCTTATGGCCGTCATCTTCTTCGCCGATCACCTGTCTGGCGGGTGCTCGAATTCCGGTTGTGATATGAGGCTGAGCGGCGAGCATTTCGTAGTCAGCGTCGAAAGCTTTGAGAGCTTGTCTGGCCTCAATGATCTTTCTGCGATACGCGGCACTGTCAGGGCCTTCGACCTGCGTAGAGCTAGGGGCAGTCCAAGGCTTGTTAGTAATGATAGCTTCGCGGGGACGGGCTGATCCTGTGGCGACGGCGATAGTCACTGGCATGGTGTCTTTGTCGACCTGCTGGGTTTTGGTATCGGCAACGGTGGCGCGGAGTCGCCCAGCTGAGTAGTGTGGTGAGGTCGGGAAGGGAAGCTTGCAGAAGCGTGGATGGTGGGACTCATGACAGAGACGGCACGGTTTAGCTTTGTCCTTGGTGCATGCGTCTTCGTAGTGATCAGGGCCTCCGCATTTGTGGCAGACCAAATGCCAGCCTTTCTTTCCGCCCATGGTGTCGGCAACTGTGTCTTGCTCAATGTGCCAGTTGTACCAAGAAACCACGGTAACAAATTTGCCGGTGTTCGCGATCTTTGGCTTGCCCTTTCCGCCCTTTGTCCATCCGTTTGTGCGGAGAAGGGTAATCATAGCTCCGCGGGCACGTGTGGTTGCGACAGCCATACGGTGCTTGTCGGGAATGAAACCAAGGGAGTCGGTGCGGGTAGTTTCATAGATAACGATATCTGCTTCGGCGCTCATGCTATCGTCGACGGTCTTGAACGTGACATTATTTTTCATGAAGTCGTTGGCGGTGTATGTATCCCAGTCCTGTAGATATTCCGCTAGTTGAGCCGAGTAGGGAACTATCACCATGAGGTTGCCTTGCATGCTCTGGTCAACCGTAGAAGGGAACCCATGGGCAAATAAGCGGAATATGAGATAAAGGCAGTAGTTTCTGTTCGCAAAGTTACTGAAACTATTGCCGGCAGGTGCCTCTTGTCCTTCGCCGATGTTGATCATAAACGAATCGGATTTGCCATGGCGGATCCGAAGGATATGGCCGACTTCCTTGCGGTAGAGGTTAGAGAGGTCCGAGTGACGAAATGCGAGGTTCATAAAGCCGTTGTAGAGGTTCTTCGATGTCCAAGTCGCGATGCTGCCATAGTTGCGAGTGTTTTCGATGAGAATATCTTCAGCGGCGTTAACGTAAGCTGCGCGGGAAAGGATTGACTGCTTGCGTTGGAGTCCGAAGGTAGTCTTCCATCCTTCACGTCCTTGTTCATCAAAACTCTTGCTCATGGGGCTGAACTGGTGTGGGTCGCCCGTGGTGATGTAGATGGAAAGTGATGACCTTACGGTATATAAGCTTCTGCCTAGAAAATGATGGCGGCAAATGCGGGGGAATTCATTGCCTGAGGCTCTCGAGAAACAGTCTTTGAGCGTAGCAGACCATTGCTCTGTCCCCGCGTTCGTCATTATTGGTGCCCTCAAGGCATCTACATAGCTAGTACTGGGCGGTACCCTATGCGCGACTGCGTGCGCGCTGGGTTGGCCGCCACTTGCTAACTGTATGGCAGGCGCCGGCCTGGGAAAACACAAACCAACATGACTTCCACTCGCTTCGATCACGTTCTTCGAATGCACTCTGCCTGCGAGCCATAGCTAGCTTATTCACACTAATCTGGCCGAAAAGCTCTCAGGCATTTGCTCAGCTTGCTTCAATCCACAGCTATTTTTATACAGTATCAGTAAATGATGATATCTCGTTGAAACTTCGGCAGAAGCAGTAGTAAAATGATGATCGCTAGTCCCACGACTACTCTGGGGAGCCGTTCTTACGTAATTGGAGCGCAAAGACTGTTGACGAAATGGCTTGGATTAGCCGCAACAATACTTATCCGTGATTAAAACCACTATTCCGCTTCGGATTGACATGCAAATTGATCCTAACGTGATCTCCACAACTCGAAAACGTGGTGGCTGCTTCGAATATTCTAGAATCTCAGCCTACATAGTAAATGAAATACAATCTCAAGCTTTCCCCCCACTACTCATTTAGCCGTGGGACATCTTCTTACTCCAGTCCACCATGGCACCCAACCTCGCAGTCTCGCAGCATGTTCTTATCTGCGACAGCGCAGATGGCCCGTATTGTCGGCTGCAGCATCCGTTCCATCAGCCACATCAGATCAAACCTACGATGCTTCGGAACGACCAATGCCCCCCGAAACGCCGCAGGTCGATCGCGGACCGTGACACAACCAATGCTCGAAGCGCTACTGGCGAAACCACGGTGCTACGGGCTACCGGAAACCCTGGGCGTAATGGGCCATATGCATCTTAAACATCGCTCCGGGCATGAGAACGGAATCATGGGGACGGAAAGGAGTATGGTAATCAAAGAATAATAGAAGAAAGTGGATTCTACATATACAGTTGGATCCGAAATCGGTTTCCGGCATTATTGTTCTGGCGTTTCCAACCAAGAGACAATAATGGACCTGTTTGCTGACATGGTACTTGCTAGAGAGAAAAGGATACAGAAAGTGGCAGCTGTTGTGGGCGCTCAACCCTATGTTTGCAAGGTAAAGAGCTGATCATGGATTACCTACAGGGGTATCATCATCTTCTGTCAGCAAGTGGATACCAAAATGTCCAGGAAAGAAATGTTTCTTGTGTGAAAAGCATGAAACCGATTTCGAACACGACTGTAAATGATTTTGGCATCAATCCGACGACAATGCGGAGGGCGAGGCGTAGAAGCTTCCGGGACGAAAGATGAGATTCCTGTGTTGTGTCTTGTGTCTTGAAAACTGCGCATTCGCGATCCTCCTGAAACAGTCGACTGGTTCAGGTGTGATTTTCTCTCCGGAGTCGTCTCATATACAGGCTTAGATCAGTACTGTTCACACCGACCCGAATGCCTTTACTGCTACTGCTACAGCTAGGTGCGAAAACAGTGTCCTGTTGAGTTGAACTCTTTGAGGTCTTTGAACGCACGGACGCTTGATTATACCGTATGAAATGCATCGCGTTCACACATAGTACTCGAACGACCACGTGACTGATGACTCCAAAAATGGATTATGCTGGGACTTGTCGAACACCGTGGCTTCGATATGAGTCACAGTCCGAACGCCAGAACATGCTACTCCCTCTTTTCATCAGCAACATTACCAAAAGTCAGCAGAATCAGCAAAAGGCTTTACCACAATGGCGCCGTTTCTCGCCCGTTCTACCCATGACTTCCTCAGGAATATAATCTATAGTAAGTTGCAGGGCGAAGTGATTGCTTCTGATGACAGCATAGCCGAGATGGTCGGTTGTAATCCTCGGTCGATATGCCGAATTCGCTCGAAGTTGCTCGCGTTTGGGACAATAGAGATTCCGACAAATACACCCGGTCGCCCCAAATCCATCACCCCTCCCATGCTAAGCGCTTTGCACAGCGAGCTTGGTGTCGATCCATGCCTTACCCTTGATAAACTAGCCACCTTCCTTTACGAGCATTACGATACCGACGTATCCCGCTTCACCATCAGTAGGACCTTAAGAGAAGACAAGTGGTCCCAGAAAGCCACACAGAATGTCGCGCAAGAGCGTAATCTTGACCTGCGAGACGAGTTTATGCACCAGATATCACAGTTACGATCTGATCAGTTGGTGTTTGTGGACGAATCCGGCGTAGATAAGAGTATTGGTACACGGCGTAGAGGCTGGGCTCCCCGAGGAAAGCGACCACGTCAAATCAAGCGATTTCACCGCGGTCGCAGGTACCAGATCTTACCGGCCTATACCCAAGATGGAGTGATACACTTTCGGGTTTTCGAAGGATCGACGGATGCTAAGGTTTTCGAAAGTTTCATTGAAACTCTCCTGCTATACTGTGGTCGTTGGCCCGAGCCCCGATCAGTATTGATCATGGATAATGCATCATTTCATCACTCGGAGCGCATTCAGGAAATGTGCAGCGAAGCCGGAGTGGTGCTGATATATTCAGCTCCCTACAGCCCGGATATCATCCCGATTGAGCACTTTTTCGGGGAGCTGAAGAACTTTACTCGGAAGGTCTGGGATGAGCATCAAGGGTTCATCAGGGCTGATTTCCAAGGTTTTCTGGAAGAATGTGTCATGGTTGTCGGCCAGCGAAAGAAGAGCGCTAGAGGTCATTTCCGTAGCTGTTCGATCTCGATTGACGAACCTTAAGACTAAGGCAGATGGGAATATCAGAGTATTATGCGATTCAGATGACTTGTTCTTGGTCTACATAGATCTTTACATCCCGCACCCAACGACGCCCTACGCCTTCCAATACGCCATGATCGATGAAAAATTAAGCATCGTTATCCTCATATAGAAGTTCAAGGTCTAGTCCTCTTGCCATTGTGAGGTTATAAGCCAGTTCGAAATGTTCTCTTTGGATCTCGCTCCCCACTCTGGAGCAATGCCAGTCACGATACACCGCGACAGCATCATCCCTCAGTCCAAGCACGCATAGGGGAGGCAGACGACTGCAAGAACAGCTTCCCGGGTCTGGGGAATGCGCGTTCTGCGCTGGTACATAGTCAGAGATGTGGTTATGAATAATTACGGGGGCATGGCTAGGAGAATCCGGTCCTAAGCTTTGTCGCTTGCGCTTGCGGTCGCGACCTTGTTGATCTTCGGCGTATATCTTCGTTCGGAACTCCTCGGGAATATCGTCATGCGTGTCTAACTTGTTGCCTCGCTGAACCCATCGGACAAGTTCTCTCAAATGATGGTCCATGAGTTTGAAATGCTTTCCCTGTTGTTGTCGGTCCTGCCAGCACCATTCCCCATTGTCGCACGGGGCTCCCGGGCATCTCATAAGCTGGTAGACCCGCCGCCATGGATCAAGCTCGCCAGTAGCCTCCAGCTCTGCATCCATCCAGGCGCTCCGCTCTGCAAGGCCTATAGCTGTGGCACCTCGCCCAGCGGGCCGACCCGTAGTGGCAAGTTTTTTGTAGTCCTGCTGAATCTGGAGCTTCAGCCTCTTCCCAGCGCGGAGAAGCTGGCTCCATCCTTGCAGTTGCTCCTCAATACTTAGCCAATCGATTTGCTGTCTTTTAGTATAATGCTTTGAAACTTTGTCTTCGGACCGGTCATTAGGGACCGATAAAACAATAGTTGTATCACCAATCTCATAGGGCTTGCTTTTCGTATTGATGATCTCGACGAACTTAGCCGAGAGTACTTGATTCCAAAATTCGCTCGGTGCTACGGGTAGATTCTTCTCGGTTTGTTCAACAGCCTTTCTATTATCCAGGGTTAACTTCCATTGCATAGTATAGAGCATCAACCGAAGGGGCTTTTCGTCGTATGACCGGCCTGGAACCCAGTCTGCATATTTCAGGAACGGCAGTGGCTTTGGAACGAGGGGAAGCTGGCTGTGCGGGGAACTAGCGCCATGGTTGAGTTCACTGGTGGCAGAATCGGTGATGTCTGAGTGTTGGCCATCAGCTTCATCGTCGCTAGTAAGCTCGTACACCCAGTCGTCTGCAGCCATGATCGCGGTCATTGGCCAACGCAGACAGAGAGATAGAATGAAACACGGCAATTATCCAGTAAAGGCAAAATAGCACTTTAAGTGAGGTCAACAGGTTGCATGGGATTGTGGTCTGGCTTAATCAATGGGTGGGTCTACAGCTATCATAGAAGTTTCTAGAAAGTACCCAGACTATTACACCCAATCATAAGGCATCAAATGCGCTATGCTGGGCGTACTTTCTGCATACTTGCCAGAATGAAATATTTGTCAAGATGACAGGTCCCAGCTTGCATCCACCCTTGATCGCCTTTTTCGACAGTCCTGAAAACTCGTGATTCATTTCTCAGCCTGTCGCGCTGCCGTCCATTGGATACTCGCTATCTCCTTAAAGAGGCCGTCGCAAGTTGGCGATATCCTCTCGTTTTTGTGTTACCAAGCTTGTTCGCCTCATCCAGTGCTTCGTCGGGCGAGGAAACCGCGTGTTTGGCTCCAGGTGGCAAGATGCCTTTTTCTCTTCTGTGGCTAAGTAGCGTGGCTTCCAGCACGAATCAGCCGCAGAACGTTTCTGCCTGCTGCAGCCTGCGACATACGGCTGTTAAGGACCATGTCACGTAGCCAGAGCCTGATCTAAGATTGGTAAAAATAAAAAGCGCATCCTACTCTACCTTCTTACCTACCAAATTCCTTGGTTATTTACTATCATATGACGTTTTACCTAGGTGCTAGTATCATTCTTAACTGAACCGATTGCGCACCAGCGGCACCTTTTATCACTTTAACTCGCAACCTAACGTCAGTCATGTTGGACACTTCGAAATATACGGTCGGCTGGATTTGCGCTCTCTCTACTGAGTTTACTGCGGCGAAGGTGTTCCTCGAAGAACCGCACGAAGACTTCTACGATGTCGCAGAACATGATAGCAATAGCTATGCGCTAGGCAGGATTGGCCGCCATAATGTGGTGATCGCCGTCCTGCCTAACGGGGAGTATGGCGTAAGCTTGGCCGCAGCAGTGGCTCGAGACATGCTGCACAGCTTTCCCAACGTACGCATTGGCCTTATGGTCGGCATCGGCGGCGGCGCGCCGAGCTTGAAGCACGATGTGCGGCTTGGTGATGTTGTGGTCAGCAGTCGCGACGGAAGTAAAGGCGGCGTCTTTCAGTACGATTATGGCAAGATTGTCCAAAACCAGGATGTCTCCTTCGAGCACACGGATTTCTTAGACCAGCCACCGATTGCGTTGCGAACAGCCGTCAATACACTCAAGAGTCGCTACGAGATAGAAGGGCATCAGCTCAATGAGAATATCGAACAGGTATTAGCAAAGTGGCCTCGACTGCGGAAAAAGTATACACGGCCGCCTTCGCATAGCGACAGGCTCTATCGATCCGATATTCTTCATCCTATCTCAGCGGACGGATGTAACAGCGTATGCAGCGATGATCCGATACACTTGGTGCATCGGGTTCAACGAGACGAGGATGATGACGACCCCGCGATTCACCATGGGTTAATTGCTAGCTCGAATCAACTAATGAAAAACGCCGCAATTAGGGATAAGCTGGCCGAAGAAATGGGCGTCCTTTGCTTCGAAATGGAAGCCGCTGGTCTGATGAACCATTTTCCATGTCTGGTGATCCGCGGAATATGTGACTATTCCGACTCGCATAAGAACAAACAATGGCAAGGCTTTGCAGCGATGACGGCAGCAGCATACGCGACGGATCTCTTGCGCCAGATCCCACCCAACAAGGTTGAGGCTGAACGGAGGATCGCCGATGTTTTTAGTCTACGTTAGTATCTTAACCTAATTCAACTATTTCACCTAACATTAGATAGTTCAGGAAGATGTCGATCGCATGCAGCGGGATGTGAGTGAAACCAAGGCTGTTGCGATAACCACCAGAAATAATCAGCATCTCGACAAAGTACGTCGGTGGCTATCGCCATCAGACCCATCAAGCAACGCCTCAATGGCGAGAGAACGTAGGCACGCCGGCACCGGAACCTGGCTTTTGGAAAGCACTACCTTCAATGAATGGGAGGCCGGAAAGCGTCGGCATCTGTGGCTCTATGGCCTAGCAGGATGTGGCAAAACAGTCCTGAGCACAACAATATTGGATCATCTCCAGCAAACAGCTAATACTCCCACGATCATGTTCTTCTTTGATTTCAGCGACGCCAGAAAGCAGACGCTAGACAGCCTTGTTCGCTCGCTAGCTTTTCAGCTTTACCATACGGGGGATGAGGCTTTAAGGATACTAGACAGCCTTCATCATTCCCACGATGATGGTCGGAGACAGCCTGATGCTAGTACCTTATCAGCCTGTATTGAGTTGATGATGCAAAAACTACAGAAGGTTACTATTGTTTTAGACGCTCTCGATGAGTGTACGACAAGGAGCGATCTTCTATTATGGATTCGAAGGCTTACTTTAGGTTCGGCTAATAACAACGTCAAAATCATTGTAACTGGGCGACCTGAAGCCGAGTTTCAGCGTGAGATTCCTCAGCTGTTTAAAGACGATAATTGTATGTTGCTCGACAAGAAGGCTGTTGATGCCGATATACGCTCCTACGTGGCCCACGAACTTGAACAGAGGCATGGTTTTACCGAGAAGAAGCTCCCTCAAGATCTTCTCGAACAGATGCGGATCAAAGTCGGAGATGGGGCCGACGGGATGTATGTATACATTATATCTATTTATAGAATTTACCATATTAAGAACATATTGATTCGTACAGGTTCAGATGGGCAGCATGTCAGCTAGACAGCCTTCTGAAATGCCTCCATGTCCAGGCTATTGAAGAAGCTCTCGAACGCTTGCCTCGCGATCTAAATGAAACATACCAGCGTATGCTTGAGAATATTCCGGAAGAGCTTAAGAGCGATGCGTTACGCCTCTTACAGTTCCTCATCTATTCTAAACGACCCTTGACATTAAAAGAAGCAATCGATATCACAGCAACACAGATTGAAAGTGTGGGACAGCGAAGCTTTAACGTCAAGCGTCGACTTCTTCGTGCTGACGACATATTACAATACTGTCCAAGTTTGACATCAATTGCTGAGTTTTCACGCGATGGTAAGGTTACGAAAGCAATTCAGCTCGCCCACTTCTCAGTTAAAGAGTACTTGGTGGGGAAAGACCAATTTCAACTCCCAACTGCCAGCATTACTATTACGTGGACCTGCTTGACATACCTCAAGGATGTTATCAAGATCACTGGAACGGTTGAGAGGATTAAGGCTGAATTTCCACTAGCTAGACATGCGGCGGAAGTGTGGATGGAGCATGCAAAAGAAGGAGAGATTTCCGAAAGCATTGTCCAAGAATCAACGAACTTCTTACGAGATGATAAAACATTCCAGTGTTGGGGTCGTTTATACCAGCCTGATAGGGAATGGTACGAGGATCCAGGACGCCCAACTGGATCGAGACTTTACTATTCCTGCCACGAGGGGCTTCAGAAAGTGACAAGGAGCCTATTAGAACAAGCCGCAGACGTCAACGCACAGGGTGGCTTGTTTGGCAACGCTCTCCAAGCTGCCTCATCCCAAGGCCACCAAGAGATCGTACAGCTTCTTCTCGAGAAAGGAGCCGACGTCAACGCACAGGGTGGCGAGTATGGCAACGCTCTCCAAGCTGCCTCATTCCAAGGCCACCAAGATATCGTACAGCGTCTTCTCGAGAAAGGAGCCGACGTCAACGCACAGGGTGGCTACTTTGGCAACGCTCTACAAGCTGCCTCATCCCAAGGCCACCAAGACATCGTACAGCTTCTTCTCGAGAAAGGAGCCGACGTCAACGCACAGGGTGGCTTGTTTGGCAACGCTCTCCGAGCTGCCTCATTCCAAGGCCACCAAGAGATTATACAGCTTCTTCTCGAGAAAGGAGCCGACGTCAACGCACAGGGTGGCAGGTATGGCAACGCTCTCCAAGCTGCCTCATCCCAAGGCCACCAAGAGATCGTACAGCTTCTTCTCGAGAAAGGAGCCGACGTCAACGCACAGGGTGGCTACTATGGCAACGCTCTCCAAGCTGCCTCATATGGAGGCCAACAAGAGATCGTACAGCTTCTTCTCAAGAAAGGAGCCGATGTTAACACACAGGGTGGCGAGTACGGCAACGCTCTCCAAGCTGCCTCATCTGGAGGCCAACAAGAGATCGTACAGCTTCTTCTCAAGAAAGGAGCCGATGTTAACACACAGGGTGGCGAGTACGGCAACGCTCTCCAAGCTGCCTCATCTGGAGGCCAACAAGAGATCGTACAGCTTCTTCTCAAGAAAGGAGCCGATGTTAACACACAGGGTGGCGAGTACGGCAACGCTCTCCAAGCTGCCTCATCTGAAGGCCACCAAGAGATCGTACAGCTTCTTCTCGAGAAAGGAGCCGATGTTAATACACAGGGTGGCAGGTATGGCAACGCTCTCCAAGCTGCCTCATATAGAGGCCACCAAGAGATCGTACAGCTTCTTCTCGAGAAAGGAGCAGACGTCAACGCACAGGGTGGCTTGTTTGGCAACGCTCTCCAAGCTGCCTCATCCCAAGGCCACCAAGACATCGTACAGCTTCTTCTCGAGAAAGGAGCCGACATCAACACACAGGGTGGCTACTTGTTGTGAGATCGCTCTTATCTACCGGCTCTATCGATATCAATTCCCCCGATAACTTTGGACGGACCCCCTTACGGTCGGCTAGAAGATATGGACACGCTGATGTATTCCAGTTGTTAGTCGAAGCTGGAGCACAAGGCGTGTTCTCGGATGGTTGTCAGACGGCTATAGAGGTCATCACAAGCCCTATGAATATTCAGTCCGTTATTGCGACATTTGCACCTTCAGCATTTCTGAGAACAGCAAGTATAATCATTGTTCAATTCGCAATGGGGGCAATCGAGAAATTTGCTTGGATTCTTTCCATCTCGGCGGCCGCTGTTTAGAGGCATCGCACAATCCAGCTTTGAGGGAAAGCTGAATAAAAAAAAAAAAAAAAAAAACGTTGGATGACTCTAAAGCACCCAGGAAGATTTAAGCTAAGTATTACTTATTAAGGATGGATACCTCTCGTGGATAAGCGACCTTGCAAAGTGGAGCTATGCTGAAATAAGCAGGATTTGTATTCTCACAGTCAGGCATACTGTGGCAACCTTAATCATAGATCTAATAAAGGTATCCATTTTTCCTACTACTTAGCGAGACTTGAGTCGACCTAAAACACGGTGCATAGAGAGAGGTATTAGACATTCTCGCAGCTACTTTTGGCTGACACATGTATCTCTAGGTTCTCTTAAGTACTTATGGCCCGTGCGACCAGCCATCAATAAGTGCAAAGAGGACATCTTTTTCGCACCTAGCTGTACCTCTTGGGGAGGGAAAATGGGCACTGGACAAGCTGTATTATCATCGAGGAATCATTATCTTTTGTTGTTGCTGTTGAGGGTTATTTGGGTGTTTTGCGAAGGGGCGGTACCGAAACGCGTGGCGCGGCGCTAGTGGACCCACTTTCGGTGCGTTCCGTCGTGAAACATGCAGGCGGATTCGGATACGATCAACGTCGCGTCCGACTCGGGAGAGGCCAGCGGAACGGCGCGACCACTTCGACGGATACGGAAACCGACAACCAAGGCCCTACTAAACGAAGGAAACCGAGACACTCTCGACGATGGGGCCGCAGAGCCGAGCGAGCAGGGAGGAAATGGGGTGCGGAGGGCGACCACTAGGGGCGCGCCAGCCGCCAGAGGAAGGATCAAGGCGATCGAGGACGACGACAGAACACTGCTCCTGGCCATGGGAAAGCAGATGAAGGAACTCCACGCATCCCTCCAGGTGGTTTTCAATGCCTGGAAGAAATCTGAACTGCGCAACAGGGACATCCAGGCCGAGCTTCGACAAACCACGGACGAACTTCGGACGGCGAGCGAGGAACTCCGGTCAATCAAGGACGAGCTGGAGACAGTCCGCAGCGACCTGCAAGCGTTGAAGCAGCAAGTTGAAGACGATAACACGAAGACATGGGAAAAACTTGAGGCATGTACGGCTCTGGCTCCGGCGCGAAGCGACTCCAGCCCATCCTATGCCGCTGTCGCCCGAACCGCCTCGACGAACCAATACAGCGACGCACGGGCCCGCACGCCCGGCGCAACACCGACCAACACGACCGACACTCTGTACTGCACGATCGACACCTTCAGCGCTGAAGAGGAAGATGGAAGCAAGCCCAGCGCGGGCACAATCAGGGCGGCAGTGGAAAAGGAAATGCGTGCGGACGGGCATGCGGGATGGCGGTGCCTGGCCGTGACTGTGAACCCAAGGAGTGAGAATCTCATCAGAGTTGTCTGCCGAGATGATGCGGAACACCAAATGGTCAAGCAAATCGCGGAGACAAAGATCGCCCCGGGTATACGTGTCCGAGACGACGACCTGCACCCAATCAAGGTAGACTTTGTGCGATGGACATCCGTGTGGGAGGAGAAAGGAAAGTACAGAAGTAAAGCAGCGGAGGAATTTAGCAAGGAAAACCACGCTACTGTCGCCAAAATCGTATGGCTAAGCGATCAGGAAAACCCGAAAGCATACGGATCGATGGCGGTCTACTTGACCAAAGCCAGCGACGCCAGAAGACTTATTTCAGAGGGCTACTTCCACGCAAGCGGAGAATCAGGAACCACAGGGGTGTTCAAACCCCAATCCCGACCACAACAGTGCTTCAAATGTCAGCAGATCGCTCCGCACAAGGCAGTCCGATGCCCGAACCGCTTGGTGTGTGGAAGGTGCGCCAAGGAGGACCATCACCACAAGGATTGCCGTGAAACGGCACTGAAGTGTGTTCCTTGCGGTGGTGCGCATGAGTCTTTCAGCAAGAAGTGTCCGAAGCTCTACCCATCTCTCCATGAGTAGAAACTTTCAGGTTCTTCAACTGAATGTGAGGAAACAGGATGCAGTGCACGAGAGCCTGATGAACGACGAGAGACTGCAGGATTTCACGGTTATAGCCGTGCAGGAACCGTGGGTGTGGAAGAGAGAGGGGAAGATCTTGACGGTGCCGATGCGGCACAGTAGGTGGACTAGGATGGTTCCGACGGCGTGGAGGGAGGAAGGACGGTGGGGCATTAGGAGTATGCTGTGGGTGAACAAGGAAATCGAAGCGGAGCAAGTGCCGATACCGTCACCGGACATAACAGGAGCCGTTCTTCGACTCCCGGGTCGTCGGGTGCTGATTGTGTCTGTGTACGTGCCGGCACAAGAGCCCGAGATGCTTCGCCGCACATGTTCAATGTTACGGCAGGCAATCGCGGGAGTCAGGAGTAGCGCAGGCGAGGTGGTGGACGTGGTCTTTGTTGGTGACTTTAACCGGCATGACCAACTATGGGGAGGAGATGACGTCTCGGCGACCAGGCAGGGAGAAGCCGACCCGATCATCGAGTTGATGAGCGACTTGTCACTCAGGAGCCTCCTGCCACGGGGGACGAAAACGTGGCACAAGAACGACGCGGCAACGACGATCGATCTGTCAATCGCATCTGAGGACCTGGCAAGGATGATGACAAGATGCGCCTTGCACGAGACAGACCACGGATCGGACCACCAAGCGATTGAGACAACGTTTGAGATTGCGACTCCTGACACGGACAGCAAACCTCGACTTTTGTTCAAGAACGCGCCATGGAAGGCGATTAATGCCAGGATCGAGGCCGCGCTGCAATGTATTCCTACGGGAGGCACAGTGCAGCAGCAGACAGACCGGCTCATGTCTACTGTAACGGTAGCAGTAGAGGCGTTGACGCCTACAGCCAAGCCGTCTCGGTATGCGAAGAGGTGGTGGACGGAGGACCTCACTCAGCTGCGCCGGATCCACACATTCTGGAGGAACCGAGCGAGGGCGGAGAGACGGGCCGGCCACTGCCCGCCGGACCTAGAAGAGCAAGCGCAGGCAGCGGCGAAACAGTATCATGACGCAATCCGACAACAGAAGAAGAATCACTGGCAAGGGTTTCTGGCCGATGACACGAACATCTGGAAGGCAGTCAAGTACTTAGGCGCCGACAAAGGCGCCTCATTCGACAAGATCCCCCAGCTTATTAGGGCGGACGGCTCCAAGACGGCGGAAAAAGGAGAGCAGGCGGAGGAACTGCTGTCTACCTTCTTCCCTCCGCTCCCGAACAACATCGAAGATGAGGGACAGCGTCCGCAGCGGCCACCTGTGCCATTCCCCGATATTACGTTGGAAGAAGTGGAAAGGCAACTGTTCGCAGCCAAATCGTGGAAAGCACCCGGAGAAGATGGGTTGCCGGTGGCCGTGTGGAAGCAGACATGGCCGATAGTGAAACACCGGGTACATGCGCTGTTCCAAACGTCGGTGAACGAGGGAGAACTACCGAGGCAGTGGAGGCATGCAAAGATCATCCCGCTGAAGAAACCGAACAAGGATGACTACACCGTTGCAAAGGCTTGGCGACCGATCTCGCTGTTGTCAACACTGGGGAAGGTTTTAGAGTCGGTGATGGCTGAGAGGATATCTCATGCGGTCGAGACACACGGGCTCCTGCCTACCAGCCATTTCGGTGCTCGGAAGCAGAGGTCGGCAGAACAAGCCTTGGTGTTACTTCAGGAATACATCTACAGAGCGTGGAGGAAGAGAAAGGTCCTCAGCCTGGTCAGCTTCGACGTCAAAGGCGCATATAACGGAGTGTATAAAGAAAGACTGCTCCAGAGACTCAAGGCGAGAGGAATACCAGAAAAGCTGGTGGAATGGGTTGATGCATTCTGCTCGCAACGAACGGCAAGCATCCAGATCAACGGGCAGGACTCGGAGGTCCGCTCCCTGCCTCAACCTGGGCTGCCTCAGGGCTCGCCGCTGTCGCCTGTTCTGTTCCTTTTCTTCAACGCGGATTTGGTCCAGCACCAAACCGATGAGAATGGAGGATCACTAGCATTTGTTGACGACTATACGGCGTGGGTCACCGGACCGTCGCGACAGGCGAACCGGCAAGGGATCCAGGCCATCATTGACCGAGCGCTCGATTGGGAACGACGAAGCGGGGCGACATTTGAGGCAGACAAGACGGCTATCATACACTTCACGCGGAACTGGCGACATCCGGAAGATTACGCAACCTTCAACATCAAGGGTGATACAGTTCGGCCCAAAGACCGCGTGAAGGTCCTGGGCGTGATCATGGACACCAAACTCTATTTTCAGCAACACATCGCAGAAGCGGCGACGAAAGGTCTCGAAGCTGTGTTGGAACTCAGACGACTGAAAGGCCTATCTCCGTCAACGGCAAGGCAACTCTTCGTGGCGGCGGTAGCGCCGACAATAGATTATGCGTCGAACGTCTGGAGACACAGGTGCAGGACAGCCCAGATGAGGGTCATCAACAGGGTACAGAGAATTGGAGCCCAAGCCATCATTGGAACATTCAACACGGTGGCCACAGCGGTTGCCGAAGCAGAAGCAAGCATACAGTCGGCCCAGGAACGATTTGACAGGAAAGCGATCAAGTTCTGGGTGCGTCTCCATACATTGCCTACGAGTCATCCACTGCGACGTATCAGACCTCAGGGCTTCAAGAGGCACATCTCGCCTTTCCAGAAGATGGCCGCAACATACCGAAATCTGCCGGTGGACAGGCTGGAAACCATCGAAGCGTTCCCACAGGCACCATGGGAAAGCCAAATGCTTACGGTAGTGGAAGAAGACGGCGACAAAGCGACCAAGGCGATCCAGACTGGCTGGGCCGTGAGAGCTGTCACAGGTAGCTCGGCAAGAAACGGAATCGTAGGATACGGAACAGCAATACTGCTCCCCCTGTCTCACAGGAGAGGCGGCTCCACGACGACAATATCAAACACAACTGGCTCTAGGGAAGAGCAGAATCCATATACAGCAGAGCTCACGGCGATAGCAAAGACGCTGGAGACCCTCTCGAAAGGGATCCGTTATCGTGCCATCTACGTGTTTTCCACCAACAAAGCGGCCGTCTTAGCAGCAGGGAAGCCTCGACAACAATCAGGCCAACAAGAGATCCGTCGCATATGCAAGGCAGTCAACACTCTCATAAATAAAGGCAACAAGATTACACTCTTCTGGCTTCCGGCAGGCGTAGACTCTGACATCAAACTGGAGGCCAAGGCAGCGGCGAAAGAGAGCACGCAACAAGGAAAGACGCCGAAGAAGAAGCCAACCAGGGCATACTCAACCACAATCAGAAAGGCATTGAGGGGACTACAGAAGTACTGCAGGTTACCGGAAGGGGTAGGAAATTTCTCGAACAGAGTCGACGCCGCCCTGCCGGGAAAGCATACACGGCAACTATACGACTCGTTTTCATGGAAGGAGGCCAGCATACTGGCCCAGTTACGGACGGGGATGGCCAGGCTCAACTGGTACCTGCACCAGATTGGAGTGGCCCCCTCGGACCAATGCGCATGCGGACAAGCAGCAGAGACGGTCGGGCATTTCCTCTTCCGTTGCACCCAGTGGACAGAACAACGCGCACCGATGATTCAACGAACTGATACACACAGAGGCAATCTGTCATTTTACTTAGGCGGGAAGACCGCATCCGACCCTGACGATTGGTCGCCGTACATGGACGTTGTAAGAGAAACAGTGAAGTTTGCCATGGCAACGGGACGACTCGATATGCAGATCAATCAAACTTAGGACAGCAACAGCACAACACCACATTTCCAACACCAACCACCGACTAACCCCTTACGCACCCTCGTGCCACCGACAGCAGGACTCGCTTCAGCCGCCGAGGATAGGGACCTGAACACTTGGAGGAATGGGCTCCAAGATCACCTGCTACTAACCCTCACGAGAAACCGCAAAGATTGGAAGGAGTAACCAATGACACAGACGGGAGTGGATCTTGCTTATGGGTTTATATGAGATCAGGGTAAAAACTCAACAAGGAGAGCATGTAAGATAGACGTAAGAGCCCTTTATGGCTTAGCCAGGGCGTAATTGACTCTGTGTGTGTGTACCTCTTGGGCATTCCCAGAGCACTGTCAACGGAATATCAGCGATGGAATGGGACTGGAAGCCCAGCCCGACATGAAGATTCCCGTACAGTATTGAGCATAAGTCGCTTCCTCTCTCGCAAACATTCTCAAATTTTTGAGAAGCCGAAAATTGCTGTGATGGACCTCCGCAGACCTATGATATTGACTGTAGCGGCTGGTTTGCAAACCAAAATGTGGGGTCGGGATGGTGTACGACAGTGCGAGTGCTAGGGCGTAATCAAGAGCTACTTCAAAGTATCCATAACCGGCTTCAACAGCAGCCATTCTCGCGCTGCTAATCGTGGTGGCATATGCACAGTAAGAATGACTCTGAGCCCAGTCTGTGTGGGTGAAGTTCAGAAAGATGAAAGGGTATTGCCAAGAGGAAGCAACATATGATCAATACTGTACCCAAGCCTGAAGAGACCTTTCTGCTGATACTGTACGTACATCGATCGCCCTTCTCTTCTGTTGCAAGCCACCCAAAAGAAGAGTCGGGTCGCCCCCTGGAGCAGTGATGTCACAAACCCCCCTAAGCCTTGGGAAACAAACATTCTTGCATTTGGATCAATCACAGGATAAGCGCTGTTGTGGGGCTTGGTAGAAAACATTAAACTTGCGGGCTCCGAATGAGTAAACAAACAGCTGTAGTTGACTTCCGGCGGGCGGGGTCTAGAACAGATCTAGAATGGGCGACGAGTTGGAAGGAGAGTAAGGGTTGCAAAGCCATGCAGGAGACGAAGCTAGCTCCCGGCCCAAGTGGTTTCTGGGAAGCGCCTGGCGCATCGGAGGGATCCCTGCTTGTCTTCGGTGCAGCCACATCTGGTGCTTGCATCTGGTGGGAGCGTCTGGCGGGAGCGTCCGGCAGGAGCATTTTTTAGATGCGACTCTCCTACAAAAGGCAAACGATCCAGCTTTGAAGGCGTTACGTATCTGTGTGATTAGCTGATCCAAAAGTGGATGTTGGTGCAGAATAGCGAAGTGTCCCTTCGTGTAAGCGAAGTCAGCTCCCTACTCTAGTTTCTGCACTAGAGGGCGTCATACACGATGCGCCTGAACCGGATCTGAATGTAGACCCACTTGCATTACCACAAGGGCACCACTTTTGCAGAGACACGCCTGACCAAAAGCCGTAGAGAAGGAGGGTGTGGATGAATTGCTCGAATCGATCGGCATCCGCCAGTATGTATGTTCGTCAATCGGGTGGAGACGGCTGGTTGGCAATGGTCGATGACGGCCTACGACGGCCTGGACATCATCCCTCGGCAGCTGAGATTGATACAGTACTGTAAGATAACCTCGAAGAGCGATGCATCTGCACTTCTGCCAGCACAATGGCCGTTAGATGCTTGCGATCGGATCGTGAAGATTTCTGGTTCTCGGCAGTTGCGACTAATCCTACTTAAATTCGTTGAGCTGAAATAGGACGCCTCGAGATACTTAAACGGACCGGAATCAGACTAGAAAAGTGATGCAGCAATGATGGAACCTCGTCGCACATCGAGTGTTTATTCCGACACGTTCGAGCTCGAAGACCTGCTGCTACGGCTTACGAAGCAGGCTGATGAACAGCACGATACGGCCATCGCCGTCTTACGGCAAGAGAACCTGGCGCTCTATCGCGAGCTCAGGGAGGTGCGGCAGCTGTGCAGGGTCATAAGCGGCCGCGTACGTGAGCTTTTTGATTTGACCGATCAGCTGCAAGAACTGCTCAGAGCAACACGGTCGCGATTGGAGCAGGAAAGAGCTAGCTATCTTGCAAATTGTACCGCATTTTAGGTTGTCAAAATAAGGCTCTTCAACGGTCTAATCCGTACCCATCAGGCGACGGTGTACCGGCTACTGCTAGATTTAATAGCGGACAATTATGGAGTAGAGACTCGAGCTGAAAAAAAAAAAGCTGAAGGACGTGATTATGAGGCGAAGGCTGGTGGAACAGGCTAGATGGTGATATGTTTTGTTCCTCAACCCTCTCAGGGCATTACACGTCGCAGGTGGTGATTATGAAAGACGACGACGACGACTCCCTCCCTCCCAGGTACGACACCAATGAGCAGGTCAAAATCTATACAGTCTCGAGATATGACCAGATGGTGCTGGAAAACGACAAAGCGATAGACTGGTGGTGGTCTCTCCTGGCAAAGATCTTCTCGTGGCTGTTGTTGGCGGGCTATATCGTATTCCCGTCCACATTCGCGTCACTGAGGCGGTCGCAAGTCCTCGAAAGCATGGGCAGAGTCGGGCAGGCAGTCTCGGACTGGGCCAACGACTGTCTGATCGCTCTTGCGTCTGTGCTTTCGGGCGTCGCATCCATCGGTCTGGCCTGGCTATGGTTCAAGTGGCGTACGAACTACGTCTGGGTGTATCAGCACATTGCCGTGTACGAGGCCGTGTTTGATCGACTTTTGTAAGTCCCTTCACTGACAAAGCCGCAGTCCCACGCTGGCAAACTCACTGATTGGATTCCTATCCACCATCCTGAACATTTACACGGTTCACGGAGGCCAATGGTCGGCGACATCGATTGCCACAACAACAGGGTCAGCGCGGCTATTACTCTGCCCAGAATGCATGTGTGTCTTTTCGAATTGGAACGACTCAGGCGTATGGGTGCCTACATCACAGTTATGCTTTGCAAGGATCAGTTATAGTAAGCGAAAAATGAATGTAGACAGCATGTGGAATCAAGTACTGTATAGCATCTTTTTGTAGTAAAATTGCTGCTACGAAACACACACACACAAACACAATTTATTACGCCCGGCGGCGGAGCCGAAAGGGCCACTGAAGCTGACTACATGTACATTGCTGAGCTTATGCCTTTGTCTCCTTAAAGCCCATAAGTGATGTCTCCATTTCCTGTTTGCACCTCCATATCTGCCTTCTCACTGCGGATTCCCGTGGTTTTAGTTGTATTATTAGCATGCCATCTTGAAGTTACTTCTCCAAGTATTCAACGTCCTATATACGGCGGCTGAAGCGGTGCCTGCTGTCCATGGCGCGGGTTGTTATGTAGTTGGGTTTATGTCGATTTTGATGTGTTGGGGGTTGATCTCCACTTCCGTCTCTCATTACCTTGTGTCCAGCCGGCCTATTGCCAGCGCAAATCGTATCGTCGCTCGAACCGCTTGCTTATTTGGCATCCATTTGTCGTCGTCCGACGGGCTCTTACCGCCAAGGTAGAACGATATGTTGCTTCTCTATGTTTCTGTGCACTATAACATCTCTGCACGATGTATCGTCCATTTTGTACAGCGGAAAAGGAAATGCTCAACCGTCTCCGCCGCCTGCCCGCAATCACAGCTCTGTGAAGGCGCTACGTCGATCCGATGCAGATAACCATTCAGTCGTGCCATCCCTGTTCTCAGCTGCGCTAGTGTGGTCGCCTCTTTCCACGTGAGCTTGTCGTAAAGTTGACGGGTATGCTTCCCTAGTAGTGCCTTGTCAACCCTTTTAGAGAATCTCCCGACCCTTTCCGGCAGTTCTCGTTCCGGTAGACATTTCGATCGTGCTACGTTGAGCGTTGTTGACTTCATCGTTGGAAACTGGGTCTGCGGGATGGCCCCCTCTTTGGTCGCTTCGCGCGCTTGTGCCTTTGCTTCCTTGAGCAATTCGTCTTCCTCGCCTGTGGGCGTCCGTTGGACTGTCAGAGTGTTGTCGTCTCGTCGAAGGTCCTTTACCGAGTCGTAGATACACCGTAAAAACTCTTGTCCGGACTGTTGGTGTGGCCGCTTAAGCGTAGGACCGCCGCTTTGTTACTTGTCACTAGCGTAACTCTTTCGCCTGTAACGCCTGACAACGGTCTGCGCAACGCGTATGCCATTGCTGCCAGTTGTCCACTGTATGGGTTCTGTTCCGACCTTGGGCCAAGCGTAAAGAAGAACGGCTCACGCTCCGGCTCGTCTCCAGTCGTAGAGAGTTTCTGGACAACACCACCTACTCCCACTACGCCGTGGCAAGAGTGCGTCCAGAGTCCCCGCCTCGTTAACGGCGTGTGGGACCCGAACACCGAATCCGTCGTCGCATGCTACAAGACGGACAACGGCTATCTCTACTAATGGCGTGAAATGAGCGAGTTACGAGGGTCCCACGTGGGAGTCTGAAGGTGATCTCTACTTTTACAACAACCAACTCGCAGTATCACCTAGGAGCATACTATTTATATGCCAATTAGATTAGTAAAGGGGCCGTTAATACTATACTAACTTTGGATAACGATACTTACTAAGTATAATCAATGTTCAAGGCTAACTACATTACTATCCCTTTCAACTTGGTGGGTGACATAGAAGTTTTTTTTGTGCCGTCTCTAGATAGAATAATCTGCCAAATCTTCCGCGGAATAATGCTTTCCTTGTTCGGCTTTACCCAGTCTGGTCGGGCTAGGCTGTCACCCAGAATGATGTGCTTCGTTATGCACCGATCATTGTTTAGCTGTGGAATGTTGCTGCGGAGGGACAAAGTATTATAAAGCCAAAGAACGGAGAGCAAAATGAACAGGGATTTTGTTAGGTCTCGGAGCCTATATCGCAGCCATGGCAGAGTACGCTGTTGCAATAAGGCCATAGAGCTCACACCATCTTCAAACGTGGCTGCCATCGTTGTCTAGGAAATGTGTCTTCACCGAAAATTGTTGTAAGAGTTTTTCGTGTACACACACACACACAATTTATTACGCCCGGCGGCAGAGCCGAAAGGGCAACTAAAGCTGATTACACGTACATACATTTCTGACTTTGTACCATGGTCTCTTTACAGCCCATACTGTCTCCACTTATCCTTACTCCTCCATTTTCTGCTCTTCTCGCTACGGATTCCCGCGGTTTAGTGTATCGTGTACTGTATTAGCATGCCATCTTGAGGCCTATTCCCCAAGTGTTCAACGTCCTATCTACGGCGGTTAAAGCAGTGCCTGCTGTCTGTCACGGGTTGATGGTTGGTTAGGGTTTTGTCGGGTTGAATGTGTTAGGTGTCCTCCACTTCCGTCTGTCATCTCTCGTCCAGCCGGCCTGTCGCCAGCGCGAAGCGTATAGTCGCTCGAACTGCTTGCATGTTTGGCGTCCATTTATCGTCATCCGTTGCACTTTTGCCTCCAAGGTAAAAGGATATGTTACTTCTCTGTGTTTCTGTGCATTGGAGCATCTCTGCCCGATGTGTCGTCCACTTTGTGCAGCGGAAGAGGAAGTGCTCAACTGTCTCTGTCGCTCGGCCGCAGACACAGACGTGTGAGGGCACTACGTCTATTCGATGCAAATAGTAGTTCAGTCTCGCCGGTCCGGTTCTAAGCTGTGCAAGAGTGGAGGCTTCTTTCCAGGTGAGCTCGTCATATAACTGGCGCGTATGCTTTCCTGGCAGCGCCTTGTCGACTCTTTTGGAGAATCGTCCGACCTTTTCCGGCAACGCACGTTCTTGTGGCATTTTTGGCCTTGCCGCGTTGAGCGTTGTTGACTTCATCATAGGAAACTGTACCTGCGGGGTGGCGCCGTCTTTGGTCGCTTCGCGTGCTTGTGCCTTCGCTTGCTTAAGCAGTTCGTCTTCGTTACTTGCTGCCAACCACTGTACGTATAGCCGCGTCACCTGTACGGAGAACATAACGGACAGTATGCACAGCTCGCCCGGTATCTCGCCGATTGGTCTGCACGTTCAGCGGCTCTACGGACGGATTGTGGCGGATCAATAGCTGCATCTGCGTTCCGCCGCGGTAGTTCTCTGGAATGTCCATGCTTGACACCAACAGCTGTCCTGCGTGATTCGCTGAGAGCAACAGTGTATTTATCGCTGTATGAAGCTTAAACTCGCGATCGCTGTCGACGAGCTCCCCGAGAGAATTCGGACAAGGAGGCACAACTCGGATCTGGTCTTCAGCGGCCGGCCCAGTAGGGCTACCGGGTGCTCGCTGAGCTGGTACACGAGGTCTATGGCTTGTATGGTGTCGCGTTTCTGGACGCAGCGGGAATGACGGGCGCAATCGTCGACGCCGCATGTGTCTTGACGAATACAGTGAGCATCATTCTAAAGGAAGCGAATGTTCGTGTGGTGCGTGTAGTGGAGGACGCGATCGAGGATACAGTTCCGGATTGGCGACAGTTAGGTGTCTTCATCGTCCCAGTTTTCGACGGGGTACTGCCCGATTTTCGGGTCTTCATGCTTCGACGGAGTCCAGGTGCAGGACAGCGCGACGTACCGCTGCTGGCGGAAGGCGTTGATCGACCGGCGGGGCAGCTCGAGCCTTTGGCTGGAGACACTGGAAGCTGCTGATGGAAGAGAGAGACTTAACATGCTCTTGCTGGTTGCACTCATTACCTATTTCGACGAACTACGAGACGATGGATGCGTGATAGCGCCGGCTAAGCTAAAGAAGTGACTAGTCCTTGTCGTCGTCGCTCATCTTTTTGGTTTGGCTGACTCAAGAACAGATACGGCCCCGCAGACGCTTTGCAAACCCTTGGGGACGGATCTGCTCGAAAGGCGAAATTGTTTTTCCATCTCACCGTGGTTACCGGTCCGCCCACGTTGCGGTCCATACACATGCGTGTGTCCCGTTACAGCTTGCCCTGCATGGCGGACCAAGATATGTAGCTCCGTGACCCTAAGCCTGTCGAGCAATGTCGAACGTCAAAGTGGGGTAAGTAGGTTGGCAGGTTCTCCCTGGTGCCAGCATGACCCTGTGAAATATCATTCTAGCCCAGAAGCAGACGTGCAATCCGCTGATGACTCAACAAACATTATTTCACACCACACCAGCATCCTAAGTTTGGCCAGTCTTGCCGAAGTGACCGACATGTTAAAAAGCGAGGGCCTTACTGACTTAGGGCCTGCCTGCTCTCGCCACTTCCACTGCGTTCTTTTAGTCCCTTGGGGCACCGGGCATTAGTTCAAGACCTCATGAGCGGCGTCTTCGTAACAATTATGACAGTCTTTGAAATTACTGGCAACGTACAGAAGCGGTTTATCGAGGATGCCGCGCTCCTCCACATGCTTGACCCAGTGCGGGGCAACCCCACCTCTCATAGCCTCGATCGTCATCCCCACGATACAGATGTGTCCCGGGAAGTTTTCCTTATACGGAAGTTTCTCGATTCTATGGCCCTCCTGGCCTCGACACACAGAGATGGCGATAGAGTGTCGGCCGCAACCATGGAATTGGGAGCGCCAGAGGGAACGATCGTTCGCATTGCCAGCAATGCCGGGGTGTGCAACTCAACGCTACTTCGTCTTCGAGACTTGATGGCGGATCTAAACGTCGCTTCCACTATGGGTGAAATGGCTTCTTCTCCTAAAAAAAAGGCAATTGCTGATATATTCGGTAGTTCTGACACTAGAACGAAAGGCAGATATCTTGATAAAAATTATTAGCCTCGATATAGAGAAAATCCGTCACTACTTTGCAGAGCTTCGGAAGGTTCAGTCACAAATCTCTGCGATAGAGAAGGTCTTGCCGCAACTGGATTCGGAGTTTGAACCTGCTGGAGTCCAGCAATTCTCGTCGTGGCTGAGAAACCTCGTTGCTGTCACGGCCGTTCCAGCGAACGCTTCTCCTTTACGCTTGCTGCCTCACGTCCAGTGGGCCGAGAAAGCAAAATGGGAGTACTCTAATTACCTTGAAGCGGTCTTCTCTGTCCAAGGTTCCCAACTGCCGCGGTGGATATACAACATATATAAACTGGGTAGATACGCAGTTGCATCGAGAGCGCTATGTCAGCTTGCGGCGGAATACCCTGATTTGTTCTGTCCAATGCGGGTTGAGACTGTCCAATCCTCCCCGAAACTCATTTTTTCGATTCCGGATACCGAACAGCCATTAAGCCAAGTCCTCCGCAGATTAGTTGGAGATCGTGAGGACGATGAGACTGGCCAAGGTTTGGAGCGTTCCTAATCCCGAAGTCCGCTTCCGTCGCGCCTGTCATCTCCGCCTTGCTGTGCATGCCGAGATGCAGCTCGTTGGCTTCTACGATCATCATCAGGAGCTGGCACCCTCCTTTCGTCTTATGGGAGTGAGTAAGAAAAGTTGTTTTTTGTGTCAAAGGTTTCTACTGAGCCATCCGTCCTCCTTCATCGTCTCTTCCTGTCACCACAAATTATATCTCGCATGGAGGCCGCCACCATCAACCAAGCCGAAAGCATACAAGCTATACAAGTCTATAGTCACCGATCTGTGTGAAACGATGGAGACAATAGCGCGACAGGATTTGCAAAATCGACTGGGTTGTCACAGGTCTATCCCATTGGATTCTACGGCTGGAGTGTCGCTATCGGGCTTGATGGACTACCCTCTTCCTAATCCCGAGGATGATTCTATTGTCGTATGCGGATCTTCTCCAACGAATCCTTCTGGGTTCGAGGAATACGAAGACACAGGAGCTTTTCTGAGGAACGCTGATACGAGTTCTTCTGAGAATTTAGTGCCGATATCAACCGAATCAGCTGGTGCCAACAGGAATCCATTTTCATCGCTTGTTTTCAACATTGTGCGCGCTGATAATTCCGACAGGCGGGACCTTGTTTCCGCAGAAGACATCACGGATACCTCACAGAAGCCTTGTTGGCGGATGTTAGTTGAAATTATAAGCGTTGGGGATCTTTTTGGTGTTTGCTTCGACGAGGACAAGGAGTTCATGCTTGTGCAAGACTGCCTGCGGGTTGGAAACGAGCGTCAATTTCATGCGTGTCTGCAATTTTTACGCAATTCGCAAATTCACAACGTGGATGTCACTATTTGGACCTATGCGTCACTCAAATCAAGTGGAGTAATTTCTACATAGTGTGTATTTACTGGCATTGAGCAATCCACCTGCAAGGAGCTGCGGAATACGTATAGCTCTAGTGACCAGCTCAACAACTTTCAAGGAGAATCCCGATGATCTTCGTTTCACTTCTCTAAATGCTTCCCAGTTGGAATCTTTGCCATGGATGATAAGTTTCTCGATCTCGAAATTCGATCACGCTAACTGTATGTTAAAACATACTATCACATCTTATTATGTTAAGAACTACGTTGTCTGTAGAATATCAACGAGGTATTCCGGATCAGGGGCCGTTCCAAATATAAGAGGGGGGAGGGGGGATTGGCTAAGAGCCGACCAAGCCGTTTAACAATTCTTTTTCAACAAGAGCCATTGTTATGGTCATGTCCAGTCGCTTGACGAAGCAAAGAGGAAGATCGTGATACACGGGCTGCCGGGGAAATCACGCCGTGAAAAAGTGGTGAAATCCATGTAATTCTATTGCAAAGAAATAGCAGATGGACATTTCGCTGCTGGCCACTTCTGCACCGCGTACCCCCTGGGTTCCGACGGGTTATTCCAACAATTATCTTTCACAAGAACTGCATTCTTTACCGGAAATCAAGGTGTGAACAGATTTAAGAACTCGTGTATGAGTATTATATGATAGAAAGTTTGCTTAGAAGAGATATCATGGCCTCGTCAACCACACACACCTGCCGCTCTTTCTCATCAACGTGAGGCAAGTAGAAGTCACAAGTTCCCCGCTGACAAACATAGTGAAGCCCACCGGATGGATTCCGTTCATGACCGGCAACTTGCATCCTACCGGGGTGTCCACAGTAGCAAACAGGATTGCTTGGGTGGCAACCTCGGCGGTCCGCGAAACAGGAGAACTTCTTGCAGGGGCAGCATATGTAGTACGGTCTCCCGGCATTGCCTTTGCGGTTGGACGACCTAGTGACACGCAAACTAGTAGGCGCTCCACACAACCGACAGACAGGTGTAGGGTTATCATCCCCTTCAAGGAGTGGAACTTGTCTACTCCTGGTCATATTGAATTTCGACTGGTAGAAGTGCCCGCATCGTTAGCTTGGGGGGGCAAAATGACAGAAGTCTGACCGTACATTAATATGAGATCCTAACTCTGATAACTGGGAAGGCGGATGAGGCGAGTAAGATACGATACGAAAGCAACCTGGTAGATGTGAGGGGAAGGAGGGGCGGGGGCTGTTCTTAAGTACTCTGTGGAACTATGAAATTCTGACTCAACATATCATGATTTCGATTGGATCTCACCAGTAGACTTTACTTTTCAAGTTAATTGAAACTTCGAGGCCATGCTTTCACATTTTGTTTCACCAACAGAGTCTACGTCTCCAAGTGATTCAAGTTTCGAAGCCAAATTTCAAAACTTAAGTAAGAACGAGGTCCTTACTAATATATTACAAGGATCCGCCCGGGTTTTCTACGGAAACCTGCGCTTACCACCAACCGATAATTCTCAGTTGTGAGTCTGAACAACGTCGTCTTGCGCGTAAGCAGGCGGGAGCGACCTGAATCGGTGTTACACCAAAGAGGACCATCAGCTCCGACGAAACCCAGCACGTTTATTGTAACCTTACTCATCCCCAAAGACTAGGTGATAGGAATGGAAAGCTGACAAGACATGGTGAGAGACGTGTTGCAAATCTTCGTTTGGCTCTTGGAATACGCGACGAGTCACTTGTTCGGTCCAACCCGCGGAAGTCAAAGCACAACTGTTACTCGAGGCCGTCACCGGAGTGTAACACAGCCAAAGAAACACAATCGCCTCGTTTCTGTAAAGATCGGGCTTGTAAATCCATCGGCGCTGTGATTGCCAACTTTAAGCTGGCTACCAAAACCGAAGATCGGGCAGGTACCCCCTGGTACATCCCGCCCGATCTTCTTACAACACGACCGCACCCCTGGGGGCGTCTGGGCTACGTACAGGCAACCGAGGGCTGGCTCATCCGTGATGTAACGAATCCAAACGGAGATGCTCGTGGGAATACGATGGCCTGGCTCGATGATGTGGCTCACGCTAGGGCACAGTTAAACCTTGCGAATACTGTGGCATGCCTCATTTTCAGAATGCTAGAGCTGAAAAGCAAGTCCAGAATCCAAGGAAAACAAATTGCTGCATCACTCAAGTTTGTGTTTGAAGTAGCTACGCAGCCCTCTGTCATAATGAAGCCGCAGGCAGTGAAGGACCAGGTTATGGGGCTTTTGAAGCGAACGAAGTCCACGACAGCAATGTTTGCAAATGCCCACGTGAGACCCCAAATGTCTCCGAACCCCACCCAGCGCTTCTCCCAAGGGAACTTGTTCATCTGTATGTTCCAAAGCCTTAAATATTTTGGCGACATGATGACAACGTCGAGCTCGTCAATCTCGAAATTATCAAAGAGAGCCTCAACCGGGGATATAATAACTGGGAGTTGAAGCAACCGCATAGCCAGGTCTCCTATAATACGACTTGGCTCAACTCTGAGCACTACTACGTCGTGGAGGAGTCTCTAGCTGAGTTGCCTAACATTACTGCCGAGGATGTTCGCCAGTTCAAGAAGCAGATGCTTTCACAGATGCACATCGAGACATTTGTGCATGGAAACCTCCACAAGGAGGATGCTCTGAAGATGACCGATATGATTGAGACGATTCTGAAGCGCCGCGTTCTGCCGCGACCTCATTGGCCCATTATTCGGTCCTTAGTTATCCCCCCCGGGTCGAATTATGTCTATAAGAAGACGTTGAAGGACCCCGCAAACGTAAATCATTGTGTTGAGGTATGCCTCTATGTTGGTGACAAGGTTGACCGTCTTGTTCGCGCCAAGACCAAGTTGTTCGACCAGATGTCTGATGAGCCAGCTTTCGATCAACTCCGAAACAAGGAGCAGCTCGGATACGTTGTTTTCAGCGGAGTGAGAGGCTTTACCACCATATACGGCTTCAACTTCATCATCCAGAGTGAGCGCACGTACTTGGAGTCGAGAATCGAAGCCTTCCTCAACTTGTTCTCGAATAACTTAGATTCGATGTCAGAGTCTGAATTTAAGGGCCATAAGCGTAGCTTGATCAACGAACTCCTCGAGAAGTTCGAGAACCTGGACGAGGAGAGCGAAAGTCATTGGCATCAGATCGTCAGCGGATATTATGACTTTGAGCAAGGTAAGCAGATGCATATTTAATCCCTTGTAGTAGCATGCTGACAATTCGCTCTATAGTGCAAAAGGACGCGGAGCACATTAGGGCGCTCACTAGGTATGCCTGGCTACTAGCAATTGAACAGCTGTGATTCAGGCACCTTCGGTGCACAGTCACAATCACGAGAGAAGCTGAGCCACTTACAAAATCCGCTTCAACAGATCACATTAGTTGAGTGATTTCATGTCTTTCGGCGAAGGCTTTTGCACTACATAAATTAGATTGCGCTACTAGAGAACAGTTAACTAATAATCAGTGAGGTCAATAACCTGGCGCCCGTCGGCCCTCTTGATTATCTTCCAACATTGACCATGTTCCGGTGAGTTGCCGCCATCATCATCGTATCTACGCTTTTCCCCATGTTTAGTCTCCTCAAGGCAGAGCATTGGAGACTGAATGGTGCCCTGTTCATCTTCCTCGTTCGTTAAGTCTATAATGTCCTTTTCTGAGGCAGTACCTTCGGGTGTTTGAGATATGCGGTAAAATAGTTGGCTTTCTGGAGGTTGAAGTTCCGGGTGACGACTCCACAGATCCTCCACCCAGGAGTCACACTCCCATTCAACCCAGAAGTCCGTTACACCAGTCCATTCCTTGTTGGGCCTTTTGTTATTCACAAATAAAACCTTTCCACTTTGGCTGTGAACAACTTTCGCAAAATCCTGTACAAGACGCTTGACTCCGGATGGAGTAAGACTCGTACCCATAATGAGAAGTATATCGAGGCGGCGGCCGAGATCTTCCTTGATACGTTCCACTTTTGGCTCAGGCAATGGGTCGCCTTCATCATAGAGAAGAATGTCAGGCCGAAGGAATCCGGGTTTACTGGTTCGGGTACGCGGTTCACGTCCGTTGAAAACCGTTCTGTTTTTACTCCTTGAAATGCATTTGGGACAGTCCAGGTCGATGCCCTCCATAGTTTTTAAATTTTCGACCATACTTGTCCCAATCCTGTAGGCGAAGGAGTAACTATCTCCTTCTTCATGCTTCAACCCCTGACAATATGAGTCACTCAATCACCTTGTCCGTCTCGCATTGAGCGAGGCTGACCATAGCCCGCAGATCCCTCCGGAAGCCCAAACCTTGCCAGATTGTCTTACCGATGTGGGATGCAACTTATTAAGCGTCAGAAAGAGTGAATCATGATGTTGGCGAAGGCGAAGGGCGCCCCAGACGCCCACCATTCATTATATCTTTCACACACCTCGTTACTTCACTTCCTCCATCTCCCAGCTTCCTGCCTTCTACCCATTGCCTATAGTACAAGCAACAAACAACATAGAAGCAAAAGCAGTCCAATATGGATCCAAACTGCTTCGATTTTAGGTCCAAGACGGTAAGATACCCTTTTAGTGAAATACCTTGTCCAATATCGCTTAACCTGGGTCAGGGACGCCGAATCTTCCCCATGTTGTGTCTGCCAGGGCACGAACATCGATTTAGCCATTCTGGTCTGGATATTACCAACAAATATGAGGGCAATTTTCCGGGTTCCGCAACAGAGATCGAAGACAACGTCACTATAAAGTATCGTTGGGATGACCCAAAATTCGCCGATGTAGAGTATATATTGAATCTACCTCTCTCTTGGTTTGACTTCTTTTTGGGGTTTTTTGTTGGTATGGGTGGGTATATTGTATATTGTTAGATGATATTTCGAGGATGAGGCTGGTTACTTAGACTGTATAGTCATGCTTGTCCATGCTACGGCTTTCATAATATATCAAAATACGAGAAAGAGGGATGCTCTTACAATTTCAACAGAAATTTAGGCCTATAACTAAAAGTCAGTAATCGTCTCATGTTAACTTCTCTTGGTCGAAAGTATACACAACTTAGCCTCTTTCCATCTGCTCATTATTCTCCCGACTCACCGACACCCAAGATCACAATTGCTATATAACTATGCCGGGCCATTCAGAGTATCCATCCAGTCCAGAGACGTTTGGGTCTCTGAAGAACACCTTAACGAGCTAGGTGAGACCATGCGCAAGATGATCCATAAGTTTCACCGAACTGATACATAGCAGTCAAAGGCGAATCTTCGACGGCAAATGCGTGTGACGTGATTAGGAGTTTCTATAAGAGGACCGGACACGGCCAGTACAAACTGTGGCTCCACAGCAAGGATTTGGAGAATATGTCCACTTCTTGAGCTGCGAACTTGATTATATTCTTTTGCAGATGTCTTCTGTAATATGAGGGATTCAACGACCACTAGGTAGCGTATACACGGGGGAGGTTATTCAAGGCAGAACAAATCAGGCTTACGGACGAGAATGGTCGATTTACCATATGTCCTACTATGATTCAACCTGTATGTCAATGTCTATGAAATGGATCACAACGTATTGGAATAAAAGATGTGGAACTTGCTGGAGGCCAGTGTAAACTTTTATTGTTTATGATTTTGGGGCAGAAAACGTGATGGCGAATTATAAGAAACAAACATACCGAAACTCGGCGCAAATCCCGAGGCAGACCCGCTTGTTTCGGCATCAATGTTTCGGCATCAATGTTTCGGCATCAATGTTTCGGCATCAATGTTTCGGCATCAATGTTTCGGCATCAATGTTTCGGCATCCGGGGCTGGGTTCGCCGTGCGGGGACCGGCGTGGCTTTTGTTTAAGTTGGGATCAGAAGGGGTACCCGAAAATAGGGTTTCACTAACGTTATTGCGGGAGACTGTCTACATGACTTCTACCTGGTTAAGTCGTTGCAGAAGAGTATGGGTTGAAGTCGTTGAAGATATATCCCATCTGGTTGCCCGTCACGTGGGCAGCCGGGGGCAGAACGGCCGCGGAAACACCTGAACACGGGATTCCGACAATGCTTGTTGATTGATCTTTGATGAAAAACATCTATTGAACTCAAGTAAGATTGAAATCGCAGCTGTGAAAATAAATACATCCCGTTCCATACCGTTACAATAGCTGGAGGGCGAAGTAAAACTTAGCCGACCAGTCACCCCACCTTCGCATGTGAAAGCACCTCAACCGCCATACATGATCTACCACCGGGCGGTTATCTTCCATATCATAAGCTTCACTTCTACTGTTCAGGCTAGTTATTGCACACAGTGATAGAGTCCGTACGTGAGGGCTTAATTAGACTAACTTTCGAATCCATGCCTCCTTTCCTCCCGTTCCTGCGGATGCCTATGAGCCCCTCGTGCCCTGATCTTGAGACATCCTTATACACCGTCAACACTTTGTTAGCTTGATGAACCCCTCAAACTTTGGGCCATATAGCCTACTGAGTTCAATTTCAGTTAGACGAGACCATTCTAATACCTTTTCCGATGCCAACTTCAGACACTCGTTACTTCCTAACCCACTGCGGTCAGTATTGTACAAAACAGTCAACTGTTTTCTACTGCCTCTAATCGTTTTCCACAGGTTTTTCTGCAACCCAAAGAGAACATCTGTGATGCGAGAGTTGACTGTAGTCTTTACAGGGTCATTGTCGCTGATAACAAGATATTTCCCCTGACCTTTACCAGGTGAAACAACGATAGCTGCACAGCAGTGCCAGTCGTCATCGTCCCACTGGCTCCCTCTGCCGACCCAGTTACTTGCCGGACTGCTACAAAAAACTACCCAGCAATGCTTCCCGTCGTGTGTCGCCTTTTCGAACATAGTCAAGACGGGAGACCAAACACGTCGGGAAGCAATGAATGAAGCCTTCCGTGCTTGTGTCGCGGACACCGATACGACATATTTTTTAGCCGGCACACCAACTGGACCCTTCCCCATACCTCTCATTGTGCGTACCTTTCAATCAGTCATGGGGAAAGAAGCAAAAAGACAGTGTCTAGAGAAAATAGGGAAGCTGCCAGATGCAGTTGTCACGTGTGTCGGCACTGGGGCAAACGCCGCGGGACTTTTCCCCCCGTTCCTGAACGACACCGCAGTCAGGCTTGTTGGTGTCGAGGCAGGCGGAAAGAGTCTCCAAAGCTCTTGTCACAGCGCCACCTTCTCAATGGGAAGTCGAGGCGTCTTCCAGGGTGCCATGACTTATGTGCTGCAAGACAAGCATGGTCAAATCGAACGAAGCCATTCCGTCGCGGCCGGTCTGGATCATCCGGCAGTCGGTCCTGAACTGAGTTCTTGGAAGGATTCTGGGCGCGTTGAAATCATTACTGCAACAGATGAGGAGGCAATAGATAGCTTCCGTTTATTAAGTCGACTTGAAGGCATTATTCCGGCATTAGAGTCTGCACACGCCATTCATGGTGCAGTGCAATTGACCAAGTCGATGGGAGGTAATAAGCATGTGGTGGTCTGCATTGGAGGAAACGGCGACAAAGATATCCCTCTCTTCGGTAGTTTTATTGTCTAGTAATGAAGAATACCCCGAACGTCAATAGTAACCCTCGTTTATTCGCGACTTGAGAATACGTTGTGCAATCTTTCAATGACTTGAGCTTCCCCTTCAAAGAACTGTGTAGTCTTCTGTTACGGAATCAGGCCCTACTCTCTTGCTTAGCATACTAAATACATGCACTAGCTCTCGATACCACTATGTCTTGCTAGAGACAAGCGTGTTGATCTGAAGTTAATGCCACCTTGGTGCGTGTGATTAGTGACTGATCGGAGATGTTTCGTCACCAACCGATGCACCTTATGATACGCCTCGAGAGACTTTGATGACTTTAATATGAACCCGCTGTACTGCAGCTTAGCCCTTTTTAATATATAGCTAACACAAGGTCCAGCATATCATTCTCCATATAAGGTAGAGTGCAAGTCAAACGTGTAATACTTATAGACATACTGTACAGGAGTTCAAAAGATCGAAGACTTATTGCTATGAGATATGTAGTAGAATGTATTCTATGCGTACAACAAGTGCCTATTTGACAGGCCTTTCGCGGCGGCGGATGAAAATCCTGGCTTCCGAGTTGACACAAGCGACGCTGGAGGCGTCGGCTTCTCTACTCATGTGTCTCTAATAAAGGGTTTTACAGCTTGCGGCCCCAAACGCTCTTCAGTCGAAAAAAGGGGTGCGTTCGCATCGAATCCATTTCTTTTTGTAGCCTGGAGCTATAATCCTTGATTTGGCTATACGTCCAACCATTCGAAGTGCATGGCCATAGCAAACAGCCCAACATGTCCGTTTGCATCATTGTTTCTGCGTACTTACCTAACTTCTTTTTCTCTTCGGTTTGCGGCCACGCGCCAATTGGTATCTGGGCACAATCTTAGAGCTGCTTCCGCCAAATATCGTATCGGACTGCTTACCTCGCATTCGAACACCTCTAAGTTTTGGAAACCTGCCTGGTTCATAGCATTTACTTGGACATTCTGCGGCACAACAGAAAATGTTTGGCCAGATGTTGAGCCGTATCTCTCGAATATATTGTACCAGCCGGACCAGGCGCTCTCTTCATTAACTGTACCGTCGCTGCTCTCGACCAAGAACGATGGCTCTGAGCTCTCAAGAATACCGCCTGGTTTCAGGCAATCAAAGGCTTGCTTCATGATGTATTCCCAATCTTTAATAGACCCTGTGAGAAACCTCATGTGGATGTAGTCGAAAGAATTTGGCTGGAATGTCCATGGTTCGTTGAAGTCGTCAATCTCGCTGGGAGGCTAGTCAGCTTGCAACGTACGTTAAACAAGGGCTGTCGGTCCAGCTTACAAAAGTACGTTCGGCGGTACTTCTTCCGGCATAATCGGAGACATATCGATTCCAGTCACGACAGAACTGCGGTACGCCTCGCTGACGTCTCTTAGGTATTTCATTAGCAGAGCGGCAGCATTAATGATTAACAGAAACGTCCTTACACAACCCAAGCGCCACTGCCTGTTCCGACATCCAATATCGCCTGCGATTGGATCAGCTCTGAAGCGTTAGCCTGGATTGGAAACGAACATACCTGGGCATCGTCTCGGATATGAGCACGGAAATGTTTTTGGTCAAAGGCTTCGTAGCATATGCCGTGCCTAGCAAAATGCTTAGTGACACAATCTGCTGCTTCTGTTCTCTCCAGCATACCACCAACTCATAAAATCTCTTTGAGGTTCGTCGTTTGGAGCCCTAAAGAAAGAATAAGCCTACGCCTGTTTGTACCTTCCAGCCCACAAATACCAGTATTTAGACTTGAACCGATCGCTATGGTAACGTCTATCGAACACATATGCAAATTCTTTGACGGAAGGCGACAGGGATTTCGTTTCGGACAGGGTGTTTTCATCCTCATCCAACCCTGAGTCGATTTCGTCATGCTGTGGTTCTGCCTGATTAGAAGTTCCGTCAGATTGCTGCGGAGGTGTGACATATTGATGGCTAACGTCAAGAATTGCCTCATGGGCAAGTTCGGGTGCAAAATCGGTGTTCATAGTTTCTAGGCCCTCTACGTTCATTGGGTGAGTCGGGTTCGTGTTGAAGGGATGCCGAATCTACAGAAAAGAAGGGAAGATGCGATGGCCCGAGGTGAATGTCGGCCACCTCGAAACAAGCTGATCTTTTATACACAACCAGCTGTGGCGCAGAGGCCGACCTGATTTCCCGCTGAACCTTACTTTTTATGGATACCAAAGTAATAATAGTATTCGTCTGGTTGTATTGCATCGAGTGACGGAAGAGAGCACCAGGGCACCTTGTTGCAAGTCCAACCAGCCCAATCATGTCGTTGTTCGCCGTTGACATGTAGCTTGAGTCATGCCTGTTCTAGACACCGACCCTGGGTATTTTTTATCTATGGTGTGCCATTATCGTAGTCCTTGTTGTCTACCCGACTAGGTATCCTTACGAGTGGTGGAATTTGAGCGGGTAGAGTGGTTGACGGTTCTTCGAAGTACTCTCCCTGCTGTTCAGCCAGAACTGGACGCCTGGTCGCTCCAAAGTTCTTGCCCCTCCTAGAGTTCATTAGCTTTCCACAACTTACGATATTGCCAACCGCCATGTTCAAAGCCGGCTGGGCAATTCTTGCTTTCATTTCCGCTCAAGCCGTCAGCATATCCGCGAACGCCCAGTGTCGTTCAGGATATCGCAATGCTGTTTATTTTACAAACTGGTACATCTATAATTGCTGCGACAGAAAATAACTACTCACGGATAGAAGGTCTATATACGCTCGGGACTACCATCCTCAGGATCTTCCTGTAGAGAAGACCAGTCTTCTCCTCTATGCATTTGCTAACGTGCAGAGCGACGGCTTGGTGTTAGTACGGAGAACCATTTTAGTCAAAGGCTTCTTACTATCGTTACAAACAGGCTCCCTTCTGATTCTTTTGCGGACCTTGGGGCGCTATATGACGGCGATTGTAACTATTCAACCACCCAGACGATCTTTGCGGACCACTAATGGCTCCTAGCAAGGGAAAAATGCGAGAACGACGTTTGCGGATGCGTGAAACAGCTATACCTCCTTAAAAAAGCCAATCGAAAGCTTAAGGTGCTTCTCAGCATCGGCGGGGCGACGTATTCAAGCAACTTTTCTGCGGCAGCTGCTACCGAATCAAAGAGAGCCCTCTTTGCACGAAGTGCCGTCGCCCTGATGAAAGACTGGGGGTTTGACGGACTTGACATTGATTGGGAATATCCTGTTAACGAAAAGGAGGCGCAAGACTTCGTTCTATTGTTGGAAAAAGTACGGTCCGAGATGGATTCATACGCAAGCCAGTATGCGCCTGGCTACCATTTTCTCCTAACGATATCGTCACCTGCTGGGCCGTCGAATTACAATATTTTGCCACTCAGTACGATATCAGATACTGTTGACAATTTCAACCTGATGGCCTACGACTATTCCGGTCCATGGAGCACGATGACGGGACATCAAGCCAATTTGCACTCAAGTCCCATCAAGCCTAACTCGACAACCTTCTCTACAGATGTCGCCGTCAAGGACTATATATCCATAGGAGTGCTGTCTACCAAGATTACTCTCGGCATGCCCCTGTACGGCAGAGCATTTCAGCAGACTGGTGGGCTTTGCCAGGCCTACTATGGCGTGGGCACCGGGTCGTGGGGGCAAGGCGTGTGGGACGTCAAGGTCCTGCCACGACCCGGGGCGATGGAACATCACGACACAGCAGTTGGTGCCAGCTACAGCTACAACACCGAAGCTCAGGAGTTGGTATCGCATGATAGCCCGTCAGTGACCAGACAGAAGGTTGCGTATATTGTTGAGAACGTTTTGGGTGGGAGTATGTTCTGGGAGGCGTCCGCCGACCGAGGAGACGAGGCAGGACTTATCCACGCCAGCTTCAACGCTTTGGGAGGGGCCGCGAACGTAGACTGTTCTGAAAACCTGCTGTATTATCCCGACAGTCGATATGCGACTATCCGCAATGGATGAGATACAACCAAGTCAATGTTCTTGGATTTCAGTGTTTTTGAAAGTCGGCGAACATCACCATGGGGTAGTATGCAGGCTAGTCTAACCATTACTTTTGTACCAGAGAAGTCAAAGCTCATCTACCTCTCTATTTCTCTACCGTCTTTACTGTCGAATCTAGCAATGCCGCATGAAACATGAATAAGACTAAAAACTTCATTATAGCAGTAATGATGCTATGCAATGACCAAATACACCAAAGCTTGTGGGACGTATCGCCGGGGAGCATGCAAGTTCTGGCTGCAGCATAGTCTTCTTCACTTATCCGCTCGAGCACCCATTTGAGATTCGGGCTTTAACTACTGCAACGGAGATAGGGGGAGCGACTGGTTTTGCGGTCCTTCAGAGGCAAGGTCCAGCACTGTACAGCATGTAAGTAAATGAACGGCATTCATGCACTGTAGGTAGTGCCAGGAGCTGCTGTGCCAAAGCCAATCGGATATTAAAATTATCCCCAGGTGCTTCGAATCTCAGTGTATGGTGACTTCCTTTACCATAACATGAAGTCAACAAGCACTCAGCCACGCTTTGTGTCTGGATATGGATTGGGTACTTATGCAACGCCTCTCAACGGCGGTTAACCCGTTTTAAAACTGCAATTAAAATCATCTTATCCTAACCCCGACCCTTTTTTCTCCGAATATTCTGCCATCTGTGATGAAATCTCGCCGTAGCATCAATAGGCAAGACCCAAGGGGGGTTGAGTTGGTTAAAGTTGATTTGTGGACACCAAAAAATAGCTGAAGATGGTATGTAACTGCCCTCTGCGATATGCGCCTTTATTTCTCTGGGCAGACAGCCAGTAGAGGTGCAACCTCAACATCGTGTGACACTCTGGCCCTATCAAGGCTGGGCCACCAACACAGGGTAATGCAATAGACAACATCATCTCTTCTTCTGGCATGGCATTTGCCCACCCATTAACTCTTCTTACTACGACATGGCAGAACAACAGGCAGCTTGTTGTTACGTACCTTTTGCCGACTTACACATGGTTAGAAAAACCCCTCCAGTGTCAAGCCAGAGTCGCTACCACTGCTTCACCACGACAGCTGCTAGTCCTCAATATATCTGTCGACCAAGTCAATCTCTCGCGAAACGCCTTTGCCGTTTATCCAAAGAGAGGATGATACTAGGACCTGCCCACATCAAATTTTTCCACCAAATATTGGTCTGGCAGTTGTGATGCTATATTTACTCCAATTCATTCTAAGCTCGGAAACTGGACGAAAGGAGAAAGCTTAGTCATCGTCTCTGGATAGAAGGCGTCTGCAATAAGTTAGCTGGTTTCGTTTTGAGAAGGTGATACGCCTTACACAGTGTTGCTATCGCTGGAATGGTTAATAAGATGAAGACTAGTATATTTAGTCTGTTCTGTTCATACCCAAGGGAGTTACAACCTACCAACCTAAGAAATACTTCCATCCTATTGTAGCGATAGCGGTGGCGCCTGGTGTCACGAATGCCTAAAACATGGTCAGCTTATTGTTCTGGTACGGAGTTGCGCTGCAACTACTTTGCTTTCTGACCAGTAAGCCATAGAATAAACTCACCATGCAGGCAATGGAATATCTGCAAGTAGCCAGAGCGACCCCTCGAAAATGAATATTTCCGCGCTGTAGACAAAGGAAGCGGCGTCAATGAAAGCCCCATAAAAGAAGACAACGCTGGGAACTGTTTGTTAGGGATAGCAAGTTGTTTCCTAGCAACATGGCATTCTTGGCTAAAGCTACTGACCGAACGAGTGGCGGATGATCGAACAGCCTACGAGGGCAATAAACATGATTAGGCACTAGGAGTAATGGAAGCTGCTAGCAGCCTGCTGAAGCCTGCAGGAGGCTGTAAAAAGGTAGTTACCATGCCAGTACCTGCACACCTACTTACGTAAGGCACGCAGGGGTAATCGGTTTAAGGAAGCGACGGCATAGAAATGATGGCCCTCTTCGATCAACCCCAGCCTTGTCGGTCTCGGGCCAAAAAATGGAAGGTTAATTTCACTGTCATTTTCAATAACAAGTTGCGACCCTACGACTGCTGGAGCCTATAGCCAGCGACGGCCACACCCAATTCGCAAATGACCTCTCCAAAGCCTGCAGACCACAAGGTCACCGGTCGCTCAACTCCCTTGGCCTCCAACAAAGACCCTAAGACCCGCCGCCGGCCGTGCTACCTCGCCATCCTCACGTTCGCAATCACCGCCATGAGCTTTGTGCTCCTCGCCCAGGGCCTGTTTACTGGTCTTTCTTTATTGGGTCACTTGTCGGCGCCGGTTACAGTCCCGCTTGAGCATCACCAAGATGAGGTCTGGGATCATGTTGCCCCCTTCATCTTCGACTCAGTCCAGGGCCTTCTCAAGCAGTGGCCGAATTCATACGCCCCAAACGGCCACTCCGTCGTTGCCGGTACGTTGGAGCCGGCAACGGTCCTGTACCACGCCGAGCATGGCGACGGCCTTTTGAAGAAACCTACCTTTTTCGCTTTTGATGCGTGGGTTTCTGTCTTCTGCTTCCTCCACCGATGCTGATTTACTAACCGAGTGGAAGCGAAATGTCGGTTGGCATTTATGGAGCATTTGGCGAATCTCGTTTGCACGTCTACGGCACAACCCGCACCCTTAACATTATCTACTTCGATGGCCAGTCGGCGACTTTATCTCCCGTCGGAACTCTCGATTCGCAGATGGCGCTTCTGCAGGGAAATGTACCCAAGTCCCCATCTTATGGCCTTACATACGACGATGATCAGAGGGCACTTGAACTATGCGAGCTCGTTGCTGAACTCGGAATTGATGGTGTAGTCCGCATGAACGCTGGATTTGAGGTACTCGTCTGTGACTATGAGGCCGCCAAGGTTGAGGAGATATTCGTCACCAATATTACAGTGCCCGGAAACAAGGAGAATGAGAACGATGATTCACTTCCTCAGGATCCCAACCGGCAGCCTCCTCGCGGTTTCGGCAATATCTTCTCGGAGCAAGGCTCATATGAGTGGCTTCGAAGTGCCACTTGGCACTACGGAACCTACGGTGGGGGAGGTCCCTCAGAGAGGAGAGTCAAGCTCGACGTCTGCCGCCTAATATCCTTTTATGACCCTGATCTCTCCAGTCTAGCTCACTCCCACCATTCAGGTATCGTCGGGAATCAGACCTACCAGAATGGATGGGGCCTACGTCGAGGCCATCGATTGACTGAAATTGACACCCACGATGTTGAACTCGCTCGATCGTGGTTAAGGGAGATAACTCTGCCTAATCCTAGAAACACAGAATGTTCCGGTGTAGACTGGAACTCACTCTTCACAGTTGTTCGCGCTGAACATGGGACGCGTGCCAAAGAGATCGGGGCATCATTCCTCTGGGACCACAGCTCTGAAAGGGTTGCGGTGGAGATAGTTACCAAGGTTCATGAACTGACTCACGCGATTCTTGCTCCATACCTGGAGTATCAAGTTTCCGACCAGACTACCACGACGAAGGAGCAGACTATTTCTCGGTGCACATCAGTATACACGAAGTTGATTAAACCAAAAAGTCTGGCAAGGTCTGAGAAGTTATTGTTTAAGTCATTTGAGGTTGTCATGAAGAAGCTGTGTCAATGGGAGTGGTCCCTTTTCGAATGGAGTGAAAGACGCACAACAAACTTCCTTAGTAGCCAACAAGACTTTGGCGCCGATTCTCTTCATGATGAGATTCTTCAGCAAAGAAAATCCGCACAAGATTTACTCGGGTGGATTGGATGGGACACGTGGACTCAATGCGATCGTCAGTGCGCATTAAATGTGAGTTACAAACGGCCAGCCTGTGCGCGAATTCGCTCTAATCAATATTTCAGGAGCTCTGTACGATTCCAACCTGGCCTGTTGTATATGCGCCAGGTCTCCCACAGGGAGGTATCTACGCAGGAAATAGTTCCAAGCTGAGCGAAGAGGAAACGCGCGAGTTTTGGCGGCCAAAGTGCATTAACAGGACCGAATTCGACCGTGGTGGAGGTCGCGGGAGAGAGCCTGAATATCAGTTTCCTGATCTACCACCCTACATCTAAGTGGGTAGAGTACACCTTTGGTGAATACTGTATTAACATGGCAAACCGGTTTTCCTAAAGAACCTCTTGTCATACTGTAATGCCCTGGTTAAGAAATAAGCGAAGACGATAATGGCCCATCCAGCCAGTCCATTAAGAAACAGTTCTTCTGCACCTTATCCTTCTAACTGCTTTTCACAAGTTAGGATTACTAACTTCAGTTCTCCTTTGAAAGTCCATTACAGAAGGAAGCGGTGAGTCTCTAGGTTGTCGGGCCATATTACAACTCAATCAATCGCTCACAATATGTCACAGGGCATCTCATGGTCTGGATCGCATAGCTACAGTATGCCAGGAGTAAGTTTTAAGATATCCCCCTCCTTTACTTCCGCCACATCTTCCACTGCTCCATTATTTCCCCTACTTGTCTCCGTGAAACTTCCGGCCCTGACATAGATTCCATCGCTCTAGACAAGTTTTGGCTAAATAGCCATGAGTACGGTATACACACACAGAATTCGCCACGCCTGGCGGCGAAGCCAAAAATGCAACTATAGCTGATTACATGCACATTTCTGACCCTTGCGTCCTTGAAGCCCATACTGTCTCCACATCCCGTTTAGTCTTCCATATTTGCTTTTCAAGTTACATATTTCTCTTCGCTTTTGACTAATATATTCTGATTTTACAGTACACGAAAACTCATACAACAATCGACGAAGACACATTTACTAGACAACGATGGCAGCCATGTTTAGAGATGGTGTGAGCTCTATGACTTTATTGCAACAGCGTACTTATCGTTTTCTGCAATGGCTACGATGTAGGCTCCGAGGCTTAACAAAATCCCTGTCCATTTTGCTCTCCGTTCTTTGGCTTCATAATACTTTGTCCATCCGCAGCAACATTCCACAGCTAAAGAATGATCGTTGCATAATGAAGCACAGCATTCTGGGTGACAACCCAGCCCAATCAGACTGGGTAAAGCCGAACAAGGGAAACATTATCCCGCGGAAGATTTGGCAGATTATTCTATCTAGAGACGGCACGAAAAACACTCCTGTGTCATCTACCAAGTTGAAAGGGACAGCAATGTGGTTAGCCTTAAACGTTGATTATACGTAGTAAGTGTCGTAATCCAAAGTTGGTATAGTATTAACGGTCCCATTACTATTTCTAATTCGCACATAAATAGTATGCTCCTAGGCGATACTGGAAGCGAGTATTTTATTGAGCGCTGCTTTACGTATGACCCAATAGTTCAATCCACATACAACTCCCTCCCGAACGTCGCAATGAAGTCCGATTTCCTCCGCTACTTACTTCTCTCTGTAGAAGGCGGAATTTACGCAGATACTGATACCGTTGCCCTTAAATCTATTGATCAGTGGGTGCCGTACCGTTTTCGTGGCCTCGCTAGGCTTGTTGTCGGTATCGAGTTTGATCAGGGTGAAGGGACCATCTGGTCCGACATGCTGCATCCTCTACAGTTTTGTCAGTGGACAATTGCTGCTGCTCCCGGCCACCCTGTTTTCCAGAAAATGACAGCGCGTATAGCTCGCTCGACAGCTGAAATAGCAGAAGAAAATAAGGTAAAAGGAATCAAGTCAACTTGGAAACCTACCAGCTTAGAGGTCATGAACTCAACGGGTCCGGCAGCATGGACAGATGTAGTCTGGGAATATCTACAAGAAGTTGACAAAGACTTAACAGATATAAGAAATCTATCTCACTTAGAGACACCAAGGCTGTATGGAGACGTTTTAATTCTGCCAATTGATGGATTTGGAATGGGCCAGCTACATTCCGGCAGTACTAATGATGGTAGCATTCCCGATAGTGCGCTGGTGAAACATCTATTCGAAGGTTCTTGGAGAGAAGATACCGCTAGATTTAAGATCTAATATCTACTACTACTACCATTCCCTTTTGTAGTCTCAGAAGCCTCTGGCGTTCTCGTCTCTGCGCTTGTTGTCGCAGCAACCTATCTGACCGATAGCCCTAGCAAAAAAGCGAAACTTCACCGTAAACGTAGATATCAGATCACGATGCGTATTATTTAACACGCTTGTATGAACAATGGCAGTGCCATACGAGCGTATTTCTTTACGGTTGCAGAACCATTCGAGTTGTAAGCTTTTCCCAAATGGAGTCTCATCAGGCGTGGGTTCTCTTGATTGTGCAAAAGGGCTCCAAACATGAGGCACAGTGTAAAAGCGGTTTCTGGCTTCGGATGCAATAGTCGTCAGGGAATGCACTGACTGGGATCGGAAGTGGAATCCATAAATGTATGTGCGCAGCGGATTTTCAGTCTACAGACCTGAAAGGAGATGTCGATTCCTACTGTGTCCTAATAAAACATAATCCAAATTAGATGCAAACCAAGTCTGAACGGCGGAAATCAGCTTGTTGTCATCTTTTGATGTTGCTGTTGAGGAAATAGGGTGTTTTGCGAAAGAGGCTATGCCAGACGCGTGGCGCGACACTAGCGTACCCACTTTCGGGGCGTCCCGTCAAGAGCATACGGGCAGAGTCAGACACGATCAACGTCGCCTCCGACTCAGGCACGCACGCGAGTCTGGAAGACGACGTTTACCTGATCAAGGTAGTCTTTGTGCGTTGGACGGTTGTTTGGGAAGAGAAAGGCAGGTATAGAAGTGGAGGAATTCAGCAAAGAAAACGAAACCACCGTTGCCAGAAACTTCTAAAGGTAATCCTTCGAACTAAGCAAACAGACTCAAGCATCACGTCTTCGGTTTCTCCAACTTATCACCTAGCTGGTATTTCTTGTTCAGGGAGCAGATGTCTCACCTATTGCCTCAAAGCGAGTGTATTGACTGGGTCATAAACGCACCGAGGGTATCAATGAGTTGAAGAAAAAAAGGGATGACGAATTAAGCCTGGGAGAAAAGAATGGATGCGTTGGTGAAGCCTGCGGTTGAAGCAGCCATACGGCCCTCTGCTATGATGAAGCAGCAGGCAGCGTAGCCCCAAGGCTTGATAAGAGCTCAAGCCACTAAAGTATCCACTGTCCAGTATAAATCGTTTCTTTCCAGGTGTGTTTTCTCAGTAATGGGCTCCTCAGAAATAGTAATTCAACTCCATAACTCATCAACAGCCCAAATTGGCTCTAGGAGTACCAGTGGTCAGCTTGGGAAGTGCCCGCGCTCTGTTGGCATAAAGGTACAATTCACGGCCACCGATAAAAATTGGATGACCAAATGGTCCCCCGTCTACTCCGTCCTAAACGCAATGGCAGACGTCCTTGCCCACCGCCTTGCCAAAGACACCGACATGGCCCAACGTGAGATATATAATTTGATAAGTGGAGAGTTTAATGAGGAGGTCCTGTACAGTATAGTATCTGTCACTGTATTAATCGTGAACCAGTTTGGCCGGCTTAGAAAAGCCTACTAAGTACGACTAACTATCAGTAATTGTAGGTTTCACCGGTGTGAAACGGGGGGTCCCGTACGGGTAGACCGTTAAAACAAACAAACGGTAAAGTCCTAATAATCGTAATATGTAGCTTCTAAGAGTAGAATGGCCAACCTGGTCTTTGGTAGTCGCGGTACAGTATTGAGTCGCTTCAGACATGGCTCAGCAAACGCCCCTTACTCACGTCGTCGGTGGACTCATTGCTAAGAGAGCCTGAGAGACATAATACAAATGGAAATAGTAAATCATCCGTAAGCCATTTATAGAGTTTTGATCTCTTCTGGAATAGTGGCTGCTTTTTCAGTTCAGTCATTCTAAACTTAGGCCCTGAGCTCTAACATTCTGCTGCTGATTACGTCGCCCGTGAATTCGTGAATATCCTGCAACACAGCCTCTAGTCGCTTGCTCTGATACTCACTGACGTACGACTCAATGCTGGTGACGTCAGCACTGCTGATACCAAGGCAAAAACTGGTTTGAGACGAAACGATGGTCGAAGACAACGTGGATGCCTCGCTTGTTCTTCTTCCGTCGTCTAGTTCATTAGCGCCAAGATAGGAATATTTTAGACCCGTAGATGAGCTCCGTGAGAAAGTGCGAGTCAAGTCGTCGGGGGTATTATGGCTAGTACGCCGTCCCTCTGCTTCGAGGATCTCCATGGCCTTGTTTCTCGTCGCCCCAAGTTCGCTGTCTGTTAAGTTTACCCGTGTAATTAACGCTTCCTCGCTCCTTGGCCTTCTGCATCGTTGCATGTAATCGGAATTGACCTTCGTAAAATACTGATCCACATTCTTGGAGTACCTCACGTAGTTAGAGGCTATGCCAAAACAAGGGGCGACTTTCTGCAACGCGTCGAAGGCAATGCCAGTACTACCCGTCCTTGTAAAATCAGACGATAGTCCCGCGGCCCGCTCCTGGATATCTGCCTCTCCAATCATATGGTTTTCGGCATCCATCTGTGGATAGTGCCGCGCATATAATCCTACAAACGCTGCTTGCCAGGTAGCAAATATTGCAAGTGGTGATTGCGGAAGCTTATGACGGCATATTTTAATTAAATCAATAACCTCCCTGCCGGCCATGAAAACCTGCTCAGCACTTCGGTACCAAAAGTCGCCGGGGACGGTGGCGGATTGGGCGACCGTCTCGTCCAGCGGCCCCACGGGCTTCTCCAGATTGATTGCAAGGAAAGGGATATATTCCCGATGTAGCACGATCCTACAAATTGCGCCAAGCATGTGTAGTAACACGTACGTGCTGTTGTTGTTTTTCCAGTAGTTTGCGCTGGACAAGACGAACTCCTCTGGTAAAGAAGAATAGATCGCCTCGACCCTGACGTTCAACTGATAAAAGCTCGAGTGCTTGTTCCAGGGTGGGTATGTTTCTGTTAGGCGACCACCAGCGACGCTGTACTTCGCTATATCTCCCCATAAGTCAACAAACTGTATAAAGCGACTGAGAACGCTGTTGTCTATATGACGTCCTATTTGTGGTTCGGGCTGTTGCAAGAATCCGGTGCAGACGACACGGCTGAGATCAAAGGCGGGCTCTTCGCAGGGAAGCTGTATTTGTAACTCGTCGGATCGCATCATTGAAGCTCGCCCAGCTCCGCATGACAACAGGCAATCCATGATAAGACAACTGAACATAGTGCGCCGCTTAATCTCCTGCGCTTTCCACGACTCTGAATGTCCTTTGTAAGACTTGTTGAAATCTGACAACTGGGAAGTTGCCTCGATACCCAGCTTCAGACCTTGAGCCATTCTGATAGCCACACCGACAAACACCCACGCGGCTAAGCCGCCGTCGGGCTGGCTCCATTTGTGCAAGCCCAGCATCAGGAAGGCTTGAACCCGGACTACGGAGGCCGAGGTCAGTGCTAATTCCAGAGGCCCCAGGGCTGTTGTGAGAGCATTCGCGAAATATTCGGAGGCAGCCGAAGGGTTGGGCTTCGGATAGCCGCCGCGGGATCTAGCTCTAGTGGCGTTGTTGTGTATTTGGCAGGTAACGTATTTAACAAGCTCTGGTTGGAATTTTACTGTGAGGGCTAAGGCGCCTAGTAGGATCAGATTGTCGTCCGCCGTTGGCGGCTCGGTCTCCTTCTTATGAATAACGTCTTTCAGCGTCGGGATATGCAGAAAAGGCAGTTCAGTACTAATGTGAAGCTTGTAGATGTCGAAAAGCTGATGCCACATAGACTCAGACAGACATGGCATCGACAGCACGTCTTCGGCTTTCGCTGTCACGTAAAACGGAGTGGCATTTTGAATCTTTTTGACACGCTTCCGATCATGGCCTGCTTCCACATCAAGCAATGGTTGCTTAATTGGCAGAGGCGTGAAAGCTGGGAGTTCACAGTTTTGCCCCGCCTTGGCACACGCATCGCATGGTGGTCTTAAGTTGTTATCGCATTTGATCTTAGACTTCCGACAACTCAAGCAAGCTATACTGGACCTCATCGGAGGCCGTGCAGCTCTAGACGGCCTCCTGGCCTTTGGAGCGGCTGGTAACAACTGCCTCGGCTCGTCGTCGTAAGACGTAGCAGGGAGTAGCCTGTGTGGAGGATCCGCTCCGGCGCGTGGCACCGGTATCCGCTCCGGCGGCGTAAGGATCTCCTTGGGTTTCTTCGTTTGAACTGCCTGGGTGGCGACGACTGTCTGAATGTGACCTGGACATTCAGGGGAGAGGATAGATTCGATGCGATACATACTGTAACTGAGAAGGAATTAGGCTTGTTATGCACCTGCAAGACCACTCTGGGTAGCTGACAATGGGCGTAATCCCTGACGAAGGTCTGCCATATGCCAGGCAATCCCTTCCAATGGTGCTTAGCCAGGCGCGAGCATCAAGACCTGATCATGTGATTGAGCGAATCAAATAAAGCCTGCAGACAAAACATCAGAATTAAAAAATTGTCTTCAATGACCAATCAGAAGCTAGTTTTACCAACTCCTGAGAAGCGCTATGTGCTTGATCCGTTCGCGACGTGGATCTTGTAAGTCACCTTTACTGCAGGTCTTCGTCGTGCCTGCCCCCCACCCCCCACTTTAATAGGATTTCGCATTCGGCTCACACACTAAAGTGGGTGCTGATGCGAAATCCTATTAAAGTGGGGGGGCGGGCACGAGTACGTATGCTGTGTTGTCTGCTTGTTGGGTAGCAGGTAGTCACTCAGCCAATACCACCTGCCTTACGGGCTAGTACTGTAAACCTTGACAGAATGAAACGACAAACAAACCATGTGCGGTGAAGTCTTATTTGAACTGTATACATCTACCAAACGGGACGACAGATATCTAGATACCTTTGGATACTTTGTCGCAGTATCGTGCTCCCCATTCAAAGCTAGCTCTGGGCCTATTTTGAAGTCATTTTGGGCTCTTTTTTCGACTGAGTCAGGTGGTTACAAGTAGTTATAGGTTACTACCCCTAAAAACCAAACCAATGTTAATGCTGAGGGTATTCTACAGTGTGCTGCTGTGGGTCAGGTTCAGGGTTACATGTTCCAGAAGGTTCCAAGAACGCCTTGCCAGGGGCATGTAACGTGCTTTGACCAAGGCTTGCAGGTTTGAACGGTACGAAGCCTGTCCAAGGGAAACGTCTGGGCGCAGCAATGGGCTGTCCTCAATGATTGGTGCAGTACACACCAGCTGGATACAGTAGAAAAGCAGAGAGCTGTGCAGTTTACAGAGACAGCGAAGTGACATTAGGGATGCACATCATGCGTCTGAGTTTCACTTCGATTAATACTTACAAAAGCGAAGTTTCCTCGCCTAAGAAAGCCGGTGGACAGGTGAAGACCAGTGTTCGATTTGGCGAAAGATCGGAGACCTGTAAACTTGGGGATATTTGGCAATGGTTTTGCTCTCTTGTGTCCCATGCAACCATGCTTGGGAAGTCACTTCCCCTCCCCGAAGTCTGTTTCGCAATGGAACGGCCATGAAGCCCATGTCTTGGCTATCTACAAATCTTTTCTGATGGGTTAGGAGCTACACATATGAAGGAACTTCTCGCTGTTTGGGACCTAAAACAATCAGTTGACGTCTCGCGCTCTCCCATATGACCTGGCAAACGCCCCGCTTGCAGCCCTCCCTGTGTCTACGGGCGCGTCTGCAATGTCGTTTGGATCCAGACTTCTCATGAACTCTCTCACCACGCTATCTAGCCGAAAGATGGATCTCAAACTGGATGCGTTGACTCCTTTCACCTTCAAACCGCGCAGGCTCCGCGCTCGGCTAAGCGCTACGTACGCCTGCCCGTGCTCAAAGATGTTTGAAAGATCAACAACGACACGATCAAGGCTCAGACTCTGACTTTTGTGAATAGTGATAGCCCATCCCTGCGCGAGAGGGATCTGTGTTCGCGATAGATAGCTATAGGGTGACTGATCACTTTAACAGGCGTGACTTCATCTTCAGGCCAAGTCTGTGGGGATACCTCCGACCACTGAACCCGGCCTCGAACATATTTCAGTGAGGCAAGCGCTGTGCACACGCGAACCTGCTCTTCAGGTTGTGTTGAACTATATTCATAATGTATGATAGAAAGGTCTTGAATACCTAACGACCGATCTGTAACGTGTTTCAGTTCATGAGGGCCTCCAACGCCGAGCCCGAAAAAGACCGTAAACTCGGCAGCGCAAAGACCGCAGGGCAATGAGAAAAACCTTGATTGTAGATCTCTCGGTCGTTGGACGGTTCACAAAAGTGGTTTTGTAGATGTGGTATCATGACATCTTTTGAGTGATATTGCTCATTTCTGTATGATGATTTGGAGATATACTAACTCTTCGGGATGGCCTCAAAGAAGGCACACAGCCATACACACGGCTGAAGTTGATTTTCAACATAAAGTGTCTCGGCTGCTCTACAGGCAATCAGTAATAGAGCCATGTGGGAAGTGCTAAAGTCGTCCTCAAGATCGTCAAGCCATTGTTCATACACAAGCTGCCCAAAAGTGCTATTGGGCATCAGGTCAAGAACGCCTGATTGAATAAACAGATTCTTGAAGGTCTCGATTTCATCGTGTGTAGGAGGCAAAGACTGATGCCCCGACTTGAAAAAGTCATGACAGTAGCTGATAGGCCTAATTATGACACATCGGACGTGTTGAGTGAGCTCCGGCTCGACGATAGTGATTTAAGCAGGAAATCAAGGTTGTTACTGCGCCTTCTAGATCCTTCGGACTGTCGGGTGCCGATGAAGTCCCGGTACGTATGAACCGAGAAAGGTGGGAGCGGCGTTATAAAGTCGTTTCGATACCGAAAGAAGTGACTGCACGTCGGCTCCGCTAACTGGCTGTAAGGATTCGAGGCATGACGGCACGGGGACGAGATAAGAAGTGATCTCTCTGAGTATTTTCAGCGGCAATCCAAGGAGTCCCTGAGATGTGAATCTACCGGGTTCCGAAGACATCCCGATTGCGCCTACTTTGGGCTTGAAACGGGCAGGATGGATGACTTATCGATAATACAGTGTTACACATTTGTGGATGAAGTGGGGAGAATTATCACCTGCCTCGCAAGGGCGTTTGTCAGACCCCTTACTCCCACAAATGTTCAGCAAATATGAAATCGATCTAGCCACAAGTAGCAAGATACCTACTTGAACGTATGAGATTTGGACCCGGCTCATTACCACAGACCGACGTGGGTGGAGGAGTTTACCTCGAGAGATTGAGCCGAGAAACAATGACATTGCACGTCGCGTTTTGCCTGGTTTCAACCTGATGATAATGTAGCGGATATTGTTGTATTTCTAAGATGGTTACGGATGAAATTTGCTGAACTAACTACCGTGGAAATGCACGTTAAAGAGTCAAAGATACGAAAAAAGATTGGAATGATTATTCTTATTCCTTTGTTGCTACCTAATTTTTTTGTATAAGCGATGCAATGATTATTATGATAGAGTAAAAAAAAAAATGCGTATTTTGATTAAAAAAATCAGTTGAGATGCTGACTGAAGTTATTTGCTTCGTAGCTGCCTGCATCCTACCGCTTCTCCTCAGCCTTGAAATGAGAGTGTGGTACAATCCCAGGGGATATATTCTTTTCCCTGCGCAAAGCTTCTGTAAATTTCATGAGTTTGTCTGCACCTAAAAGTCTTACGAGTTTTCAACTCACAGTAAACTGCCTTTAGGCAAAATATAACTCGAATCATAACAGCATCCAACGGCATGGTCTAGTTTTCTTGTCCATTGGGTGGTGTAAGACGAGTTGCATCGCGTTGGCTGGATGTGTTCCTGAACTCGCCTGCTTGTTCACCTATTATCTTCGTGATTTCTGCGTTGATTCTCGCCCGCTTTACTTTAGTTGATTGAAGGTTGTCCTCCTCGCGGCTGTGTTTGATCAATATAGGTGTCAATTTCGATCGATGAGGGGCACTGTATCTCAGACGACCGTCTTGTGAGTTTAGTTCCAGAATAGCAGATTGACATGAACTCTTCAGTTGTTCATATGACTCTTTTAGCCGGCGAAGGATAGTGTTCTCCTGTTGTTCAAGCACAACAACTTGGTCGTGAAACAACCGCAGGGATCGGGTCTCCTCGTCTCTGGCTGTGATAATTCTGGCAAGATACTGGGAACTTACGTTCCCATCTCCGCCTCTCGTCTGTGGAAGCGATTCTTGCTCCAGTTCCCGCCCATCTTGGTCTTGGATGGCTCGCTTCGTAACAGATCTCGACGCATCTTCAATGCCGCTTGTGGCATTTAAGGTGGTAGTCGGTAAAGTTCGCGCAGGTTGTGAAAGTATGGTCGCGACCCGCGAAGGCATATCATCTACTGGAGCGTCTTCGACTGAGTTTCTCGATGGTTGTGTTAAACTGAAGACATTGAGGGCATTCTGAGAGACAGTGTCGGGGATCTCATCATCATCGCCATCTGAGGTTCTTCCATCGTCGCTCTCAAGGATGTGATAAAAGTCATCTTCAACGGTGTTCCCACCGTTTTTCACACCGTTGTTCGCGCCATTGTGCACGCCGTTGCTGTCGCAGTCACTGTCTTGGCTTCTCACGTGAATAGTTTCTTCGTGGCTGGTCTCGTCGTGGTTGTCTTCCGGGTCGTTTTCGCATTCAGTGTCAGAGTCGACCTTAGATGTAATATGTTGTTTATAATCGGAATGATTTCCCTCGTCCATGAGGGTTCCGTGGCACAGAGTGAAGAGGTCAGAATGTAGGGTTCTCAATGGCGACTGCATTCATCTCTTGGCCTCTCAATCCCTTATGGGATCGAGAGCCCTCTTTATAGCTCTGGTTGGGCTACTAGTGGGCTAGTAGTTCCCTTCCCCTTTATCCCCTTAATCTCCACATCCCTCATAGCGCCATCCCTAATTCCGCACGTGACATCAGATCGCTTGGATCGCCGGTCTCAATATTTTGACGGCGTACGGTCTTTTAGGCGTTCATTGCGGATCTGCTTGACTTTGCGGTAAAATGTGTCAAATGAAATACTTTCCGCTTTCTCCCTAGCGATCGGAACCATCTTTTTCGCCATATGTTGAGATATTCCTCCAAAGAAGAGGACAAGTTTCCATTCATCTACGTCAAAACTCGACATTATGACAGGACCTTGGGAGATTGAATATCGGACACCGTGTATAACTTTGTATACTCAAGTGACACGGTATACCAACGCGACGCGTTCCCTTTCGAGCAGAGGAACGTGACGCGCTGGTGTCATGTTTTGTATTCACAACAAAGTTTTGCGAAAAAAGAAAGTACACACACAGAGTCAATTACGCCCTGGCTAAGCCATAAAGGGCTCTTACGTCTATCTTACATGCTCTCCTTGTTGAGTTTTTACCCTGATCTCATATAAACCCATAAGCAAGATCCACTCCCGTCTGTGTCATTGGTTACTCCTTCCAATCTTTGCGGTTTCTCGTGAGGGTTAGTAGCAGGTGATCTTGGAGCCCATTCCTCCAAGTGTTCAGGTCCCTATCCTCGGCGGCTGAAGCGAGTCCTGCTGTCGGTGGCACGAGGGTGCGTAAGGGGTTAGTCGGTGGTTGGTGTTGGAAATGTGGTGTTGTGCTGTTGCTGTCCTAAGTTTGATTGATCTGCATATCGAGTCGTCCCGTTGCCATGGCAAACTTCACTGTTTCTCTTACAACGTCCATGTACGGCGACCAATCGTCAGGGTCGGATGCGGTCTTCCCGCCTAAGTAAAATGACAGATTGCCTCTGTGTGTATCAGTTCGTTGAATCATCGGTGCGCGTTGTTCTGTCCACTGGGTGCAACGGAAGAGGAAATGCCCGACCGTCTCTGCTGCTTGTCCGCATGCGCATTGGTCCGAGGGGGCCACTCCAATCTGGTGCAGGTACCAGTTGAGCCTGGCCATCCCCGTCCGTAACTGGGCCAGTATGCTGGCCTCCTTCCATGAAAACGAGTCGTATAGTTGCCGTGTATGCTTTCCCGGCAGGGCGGCGTCGACTCTGTTCGAGAAATTTCCTACCCCTTCCGGTAACCTGCAGTACTTCTGTAGTCCCCTCAATGCCTTTCTGATTGTGGTTGAGTATGCCCTGGTTGGCTTCTTCTTCGGCGTCTTTCCTTGTTGCGTGCTCTCTTTCGCCGCTGCCTTGGCCTCCAGTTTGATGTCAGAGTCTACGCCTGCCGGAAGCCAGAAGAGTGTAATCTTGTTGCCTTTATTTATGAGAGTGTTGACTGCCTTGCATATGCGACGGATCTCTTGTTGGCCTGATTGTTGTCGAGGCTTCCCTGCTGCTAAGACGGCCGCTTTGTTGGTGGAAAACACGTAGATGGCACGATAACGGATCCCTTTCGAGAGGGTCTCCAGCGTCTTTGCTATCGCCGTGAGCTCTGCTGTATATGGATTCTGCTCTTCCCTAGAGCCAGTTGTGTTTGATATTGTCGTCGTGGAGCCGCCTCTCCTGTGAGACAGGGGGAGCAGTATTGCTGTTCCGTATCCTACGATTCCGTTTCTTGCCGAGCTACCTGTGACAGCTCTCACGGCCCAGCCAGTCTGGATCGCCTTGGTCGCTTTGTCGCCGTCTTCTTCCACTACCGTAAGCATTTGGCTTTCCCATGGTGCCTGTGGGAACGCTTCGATGGTTTCCAGCCTGTCCACCGGCAGATTTCGGTATGTTGCGGCCATCTTCTGGAAAGGCGAGATGTGCCTCTTGAAGCCCTGAGGTCTGATACGTCGCAGTGGATGACTCGTAGGCAATGTATGGAGACGCACCCAGAACTTGATCGCTTTCCTGTCAAATCGTTCCTGGGCCGACTGTATGCTTGCTTCTGCTTCGGCAACCGCTGTGGCCACCGTGTTGAATGTTCCAATGATGGCTTGGGCTCCAATTCTCTGTACCCTGTTGATGACCCTCATCTGGGCTGTCCTGCACCTGTGTCTCCAGACGTTCGACGCATAATCTATTGTCGGCGCTACCGCCGCCACGAAGAGTTGCCTTGCCGTTGACGGAGATAGGCCTTTCAGTCGTCTGAGTTCCAACACAGCTTCGAGACCTTTCGTCGCCGCTTCTGCGATGTGTTGCTGAAAATAGAGTTTGGTGTCCATGATCACGCCCAGGACCTTCACGCGGTCTTTGGGCCGAACTGTATCACCCTTGATGTTGAAGGTTGCGTAATCTTCCGGATGTCGCCAGTTCCGCGTGAAGTGTATGATAGCCGTCTTGTCTGCCTCAAATGTCGCCCCGCTTCGTCGTTCCCAATCGAGCGCTCGGTCAATGATGGCCTGGATCCCTTGCCGGTTCGCCTGTCGCGACGGTCCGGTGACCCACGCCGTATAGTCGTCAACAAATGCTAGTGATCCTCCATTCTCATCGGTTTGGTGCTGGACCAAATCCGCGTTGAAGAAAAGGAACAGAACAGGCGACAGCGGCGAGCCCTGAGGCAGCCCAGGTTGAGGCAGGGAGCGGACCTCCGAGTCCTGCCCGTTGATCTGGATGCTTGCCGTTCGTTGCGAGCAGAATGCATCAACCCATTCCACCAGCTTTTCTGGTATTCCTCTCGCCTTGAGTCTCTGGAGCAGTCTTTCTTTATACACTCCGTTATATGCGCCTTTGACGTCGAAGCTGACCAGGCTGAGGACCTTTCTCTTCCTCCACGCTCTGTAGATGTATTCCTGAAGTAACACCAAGGCTTGTTCTGCCGACCTCTGCTTCCGAGCACCGAAATGGCTGGTAGGCAGGAGCCCGTGTGTCTCGACCGCATGAGATATCCTCTCAGCCATCACCGACTCTAAAACCTTCCCCAGTGTTGACAACAGCGAGATCGGTCGCCAAGCCTTTGCAACGGTGTAGTCATCCTTGTTCGGTTTCTTCAGCGGGATGATCTTTGCATGCCTCCACTGCCTCGGTAGTTCTCCCTCGTTCACCGACGTTTGGAACAGCGCATGTACCCGGTGTTTCACTATCGGCCATGTCTGCTTCCACACGGCCACCGGCAACCCATCTTCTCCGGGTGCTTTCCACGATTTGGCTGCGAACAGTTGCCTTTCCACTTCTTCCAACGTAATATCGGGGAATGGCACAGGTGGCCGCTGCGGACGCTGTCCCTCATCTTCGATGTTGTTCGGGAGCGGAGGGAAGAAGGTAGACAGCAGTTCCTCCGCCTGCTCTCCTTTTTCCGCCGTCTTGGAGCCGTCCGCCCTAATAAGCTGGGGGATCTTGTCGAATGAGGCGCCTTTGTCGGCGCCTAAGTACTTGACTGCCTTCCAGATGTTCGTGTCATCGGCCAGAAACCCTTGCCAGTGATTCTTCTTCTGTTGTCGGATTGCGTCATGATACTGTTTCGCCGCTGCCTGCGCTTGCTCTTCTAGGTCCGGCGGGCAGTGGCCGGCCCGTCTCTCCGCCCTCGCTCGGTTCCTCCAGAATGTGTGGATCCGGCGCAGCTGAGTGAGGTCCTCCGTCCACCACCTCTTCGCATACCGAGACGGCTTGGCTGTAGGCGTCAACGCCTCTACTGCTACCGTTACAGTAGACATGAGCCGGTCTGTCTGCTGCTGCACTGTGCCTCCCGTAGGAATACATTGCAGCGCGGCCTCGATCCTGGCATTAATCGCCTTCCATGGCGCGTTCTTGAACAAAAGTCGAGGTTTGCTGTCCGTGTCAGGAGTCGCAATCTCAAACGTTGTCTCAATCGCTTGGTGGTCCGATCCGTGGTCTGTCTCGTGCAAGGCGCATCTTGTCATCATCCTTGCCAGGTCCTCAGATGCGATTGACAGATCGATCGTCGTTGCCGCGTCGTTCTTGTGCCACGTTTTCGTCCCCCGTGGCAGGAGGCTCCTGAGTGACAAGTCGCTCATCAACTCGATGATCGGGTCGGCTTCTCCCTGCCTGGTCGCCGAGACGTCATCTCCTCCCCATAGTTGGTCATGCCGGTTAAAGTCACCAACAAAGACCACGTCCACCACCTCGCCTGCGCTACTCCTGACTCCCGCGATTGCCTCCGTAACATTGAACATGTGCGGCGAAGCATCTCGCCTTGTGCCGGCACGTACACAGACACAATCAGCACCCGACGAACAAGAACGGCTCCTGTTAACGGTATCGGCACTTGCTCCGCTTCGATTTCCTTGTTCTACTCCTAATGCACCGTCCTTCCTCCCTCCACGCCGTCGGACATCCTACACCTAATCGGCAGTCAAGATACACGACCCGTGAAATCCTGAGTCTCTCGATCAACTGCATCAGTTGAAAGTGTCCGGTGAAAGACTCATGCGCACTTCTGCCGATTTCCTTCCACACAGGAAGCGATCTCTGACAATGCGGTTTCCAGCTTCCAAATAAGAAGTAGACGCCATCGATCCGTAAAGCCATACGATTTTGGCTAGTGGTTTTCACCTACTGTCCATGCCGGGTGCAGGTCGTCGCTTATACCCGGGGCGATGATCTTGAGGTGTATCATCTTCTGATGAGATTCCCTCGGGTACAGTTCTGAAATTGCATCTTCGTCGATCGTGCAGTACAGAGTGTCAGGTTCGTCGAACATCGCGCTTCTACATGCCTCAAGTTTTTCTGTTTCGTGGTCAATTCAAGCCCACCTTGAAAGTTTCAAATGAGTTCCCACATAAACCTAGGACAAGCTATATAAACATCGGTGCGCAGCCTTATGCGAACTTGCTTAGTGCTTATTCAGTGCATATGCATAAATTGTTCCTTTGAATCTTCCACAGACAAGTTCCGGGCATTAGGGCCCTTGGGCACGATCGGTGCTTCGACAGAAGTCCTGTTCGTGGATCGCCTAAGTATGTAAGCAGGCTTTTCAATATGATATTACAGGAGTACGTGCCGTTCTTCTCCCTCGGGTATGGTACTGTGAGCCATTGTGACAGAGAAATGGAAAGTTGATTAGTATATGCTATAGCAGATTTAGTCTGCTGAAGTCGTGGAACTAGAGTCTGCGTCCACTTCAATGTGATTAGCAGCATTACGGTCTGCCCTACGGCTAAAAGGATACGCCACCCAGCACCTTATTCCTAAGCTCATTTACTGATGTGTGTGGGAAGCCGGAGAGTGTATGTACGACACATAATCTTCAGGTGGCCCGTACTGGTTCGCGCTGCCACTGCCGTGGAATGCATCTCTTTGTCCCACCCTTAGCGCCAGTGACTTCCGACATAATTGATCTGCCTCTTCATACTTCCCCTGGCTTTCAAGCACAAGTGCCAGGTTATTTTTGCTGATGAGTGTGTCTGGATTCTCGAGTCCCAGCACCTTCTGCCTCATCTCCAGTGTCTGCCGATGCATCTGCTCTGCCTCTTCGTACTTCCCCTGGCTTTCAAGCACAAGTGCCAGGTTGTTCATGCTGGTGAGTGTGTCTGTATTCTCGGGTCCCAGCACCTTCTTATATAGTTCCAATGCCTGCCGATTCATCTGCTCAGCCTCTTCATACTTCCCCTGGCTTTCAAGCACAAGTGCCAGGTTGTTCATGCTGCTGAGTGTGGAGGGATTCTCGGGTCCCAGCACCTTCTGACTTAACTCTAGTTCTTGCCGATGCATCTGCTCTGCCTCTTCATACTTCCCCTGGCTTTCAAGCACGCCTGCCAGGTTGTTCATGCTGGTGAGTGTGGAGGGATTCTCGGGTCCCAGCACCTTCTTATATAGTTTCAATGCCTGCCGATTCATCTGCTCTGCCTCTTCATACTTCCCCTGGCTTTCAAGCACAAGTGCCAGGTTGTTCATGCTGGTGAGTGTGGAGGGATTCTCGAGTCCCAGCACCTTCTGCCTCAACTCCAGTGTCTGCCGATGCATCTGCTCTGCCTCTTCGTACTTCCCCTGGCTTTCAAGCACAAGTGCCAGGTTGTTCATGCTGGTGAGTGTGGAGGGATTCTCGAGTCCCAGCACCTTCTGCATCAACTCCAGTGTCTGCCGATGCATCTGCTCTGCCTCTTCATACTTCCCCTGGCTTTTAAGCACGCCTGCTAGGTTGTTCATGCTGGTGAGTGTGGAGGGATTCTCGGGTCCCAGCACCTTCTTACTTAACTCTAGTTCTTGCCGATGCATCTGCTCTGCCTCTTCATACTTCCCCTGGCTTTCAAGCACAAGTGCCAGGTTGTTCATGCTGGTGAGTGTGGAGGGATTCTCGAGTCCCAGCACCTTCTGCCTCAACTCCAGTGTCTGCCGATGCATCTGCTCTGCCTCTTCATACTTCCCCTGGCTTTTAAGCACGAGTGCCAGGTTGTTCATGCTGGTGAGTGTGGAGGGATTATCGAGTCCTACCACCTTCTGACTCAACTCCAGTGTCTGACGATGCATCTGCTCTGCCTCTTCATACTTCCCCTGGCTTTTAAGCACGCCTGCTAGGTTGTTCATGCTGGTGAGTGTGGAGGGATTTTCAGGTCCCAGCACCTTCTGCATTAACTCCAGTGTCTGTCGATGCATCTGCTCCGCCTCACCATACTTTCCAAGTAGCTCATTGCTTCGCCCTGTAGTAGCCAACAGATCCCATAATGCTTCCTCGTCTGTGCACCAATCCTGGAATCGAAGTGCCGCTTGCGCATGCGGCAAGTACGTCATCCACACTGCCCTATTCTCGTGATCCGGCCATGGAAACCTCTCGCTAAGCCAGTAAATCGTCTCTGTCACTTGCTCCTCTTCCTCTCCTTTCTCCCTTACCCAGTTGCGCATCACCAAGCGCACTAGTCGATGAATATCAATCCTTCCCTTAGTGTCCCGCTCCTGGATGAACGCGTAGGCCATTAGCATGCTTATTGCTTCTTCCGCCGCCATATCGTTATCGGTGTCTATCCCATCCTCACTAGGCGGCAAAAGAGCTAGGGGGATGTCCTTCTCCGCGAGGTAGCATAGAAAGCCGAGGTACTCTGCTGCTAGCCGGTTGTCCCTTGAGATATGCTCAAACGAGATTAGCCATGTCTTGGCCACTGGGTTCTGGATATTGTCGTATCGATCTTCGTCTTCAAAGTCCTTGCTGAGCAATCCCACTAGTTTCTCATCACTATCCTTACAATACCTGAGATATTTAGACACCGTCACACTCTTGTTCGAAGCCATATATGCTGATGCTTGTCGGATAGCTAAAGGTAGATAAGCGAGATGCCCTAGCAGCTCTGTAGTGATCCGAGTGTCGCTGATCTGGCTTTCGTCTAGTCCACTATGTAGGAGTTGAGTGGCGTCTATGCTGCCCATCTCCCGTAAGTATAGAGGGCGACCACGGCTAAATCTTGTTGCCGCCTGCTCGTTACGAGTCGTAAGCAGAATAGAGCCCTTTCTGCTAGAGGGAAAATACTTTGCTAACTTGGAGTTGGTAAAGAGCAACTCCATGTCGTCGGCGTTATCGATAACGAGAAGCCAACTCCTATTACCATCCCGTTCTAGGGCGGCTTTAACCAACCCTTTGACATCCGCTTCGTCATCTTCGATGCCGTGGATGCTAAGCGCTCGACCGATATCGCGATATGCGTTCTCAAACATCACCGTGTCGACAGCCGGCACCCAGAACACAGAACAGTCGGGGTGTGCGTCGCGAACGCGATAGGCGGCTTCAATAGCAACCTGTGTCTTGCCAACCCCTCCGAGGCCGACGATGGCTGTCTTTTGGCAGGTGTCTTTATAAGCACTCGGGGGAATCCTTTCGAGAAGTTGTACTAAGATGGCATCTCTGCCAACAAAGTTTTCATTCCGACCAAATGGGACGATAAAGTAAGCTTTTAGACGAGCTAATAGGCATCAGTAGTTATATTGAATATATATAATATACCCCACAAGGCTTTACTTACAATCTTGTTTCTCATCTAGCTTACTCGAAACCAGCGCCGGGATGGTAGTTAGCAGTTCTTTGCCGTATGCTGCTGCCGTTGCCGCTGCATACGGCTGCCATCGCTTGTTCTTATGTGCGTCCGCATAATCGCAGATGCCACGAATGACAATGCAAGGGAAGTTGTTCATCAACCCAGCTGCTTCCATCTCAAAGCATAACACACCTCCAAGCTCCCGACTATGCCTATCGCGCGTTAGTCCGTCCTTCATCACCTGGTTCCCCGATGCGATGTTGCCGAAGAAGAGGACCGGCTTGGTTGTCGCACGTGGTTCCCTGCTTACTACGTCTTCTGGACGGCATTTTGCGCATGTAGCTCCAGTGGCATGAAGCGATGATGCATGGTATAGGGTGTCGTTGCCGGGGCCAGGCGATGCAAACTCTGGCTTACTAGACACCTGAGAAAGGTACGCGTGGACTTGCGTCTTGCCTCGGACGTCGCTCGCTCGCAGTTTAGCTAGGGCATTGAGAAGGATCGTCGGTGGCGCGTTGAGGCTGCCGGCGCGAGCGATGCGACCGTCAGCCCCAGTCTTCCCGAAATCGTACTGGATCACTCCACCATGCTGTCCTGTCGGCTGGCTAATAGCGACGTCGCCGAGCCGAATGTCGACGTCGTTCTCGAGATTTGGGACGCCACCGCCGATACCAACGAGGAGGCTGAACCGCAACGACGGGAAGCTGACTTTCATTTGGCTTGCGACGATGGCCGCTTGGTTTGTGCCCATCTGGCCGGCGGGCAGACAGGCAGCCACGACATTGTGGACGCCGATGCGGCCAAAGGAATAGATGTTCGAGTCGGACAGCTGGGACGGGAGGTCAGCATACTCCTCATCCATCATTTCTGCCGCGGCTGCCAGCTCGATGGGCAGCGCGCAGACCCAGCCGACAGTGAAGTCGCGAGCAGGAATAGACCTCGGCATAGTGCATCAACTCTGTAGCAGAGACCAGCGAAGAAACGTCGATGCGGAAACCCATGTAAGATAGCAAGACGCGTTGATGTTGCAGAGTTGTTGGTTTGAACAATTGCCCGACGGGACCGTATGACGAGTTGTTCTTATCGTCCTCAGCCTGATCGGGAGGGGTCATATGCGAGAAGTTGAGATGCCGTCAGACCAACCACGGTTGGAGGTCGCCGGTGTGATTGGCTGCTTGTCTATGATGCGCTAATTACAGGCGTCTACCTTACATAGTAGCTAAAAGGACTTTGCCTTTATAACAGCTACGTAGGATAACCTCTAAGAGCACGTAGAATACTGAGAGGCGCAAGACTCTCTCAAGTTCAACTGTGAATTTAATTGAGATACTTGAATACTGCGATGAGCGTTAAACCTTTCGCTTTGCAGATTAGGCGGCAGAGAAATTGATGGCTCAGGGTCACCGCAATCGAAGCTTGTGATTACTAAGCAAGTGGCTTGTAGTAGGCGCAAAAGCAATAAGCAAGGTATCAGGGAGCCTAGATGTTGCCGGTGACTAGGTCGGGCCGTTCCAATCTAGTTAGGAATGCCAGGATATTAGACGGCCAAGTTGAGTGAGATAAAATGACGTCGCTGCACACTGTTCCATTCTAGTCTTTATTAGATGATGGCTGCTATCAGGGCAAAGTGCCCGCTCAAGATCTTTAACCCACGACGCATGGGCCCAAGGTATCACTAAACCCACTTCACCCACAAACGGAGTCTGTCATCAAAGCCAAAAGTACTACAGTAGAGTGGCTGGCCAAGTTGTAGTCCAGCCTAAACCAGGATGACTGCGGTTCCTACATAGACCACTTACCTTGATTTTTCTTACGCTAAAGTAGGAACACGATCGCACCGAGGGGAGTCGAGAGCGGGGAAAGGGATATGCCTTTTTGATTGGAATCTATGCCCTCCACGTTGGACACGAAATAGATCTCCACTGTTTAGAGTGAGAACTACTCAGGCACAAGCTAACCTAGTCCTGGCCGGGCACTGACGGACGTAGGGAGACCCCATGGCCGAGTTGGCGTCAAGGCCCAGCACCCCACAAATCTAGATTTAACAGGATGCAACCCAGTTCAAGCCGGTCTGATTTGATCTCATCGAAAGACCCTTGTCAGATTGGAAGAAGCAAAAGATTACATTTTGAGTTACGAAGATCGATCTACGTACGGCAGTCCGCAGGGCGCACTGGGTCAAAATTCAAACATTGCCTAATTAGGATGCATAAACGAGATAAGCATACACCACCCGTATAGATAGTTAAGCTTCTTATCTTTACTATGTAATTATCACAAATTTAAGCGAATTCTATGTTTCGTATACGTGCATGTACAGAGTTTTACGGGGCCGCACAGGAGTGTATTCTCAATTCTCAACAATAATATTTACCATATTTTGTACGAATATGTCTTTAAGGTGCCCCAAGCGGGCTAACCTGGACCACTTCTCAGCAAAACTGCTATGGAAGTGGAAGACGTGTGCATTTTGTTCAATCGATTTATCCCAAGTACAAGAACCGGACGAAATCGACCTTACCAATACTGACGACTTCGAAACTCCAACGGCTACGATTTCATCACGTACACGACTTTCCAATACTACAACCAACCCGATCGAACAAGCACTTTATATACCAGATACACAGCCAGACAATAGTCTCCTTACTGCTCTTATTAAGGGCTCAGAGGAGCGTACAGCTAGTATCCAGCAAACCCAGAAGAAACCAGTTCCGAACCCAACTGTGGATATTATTATTCACCTATGGCTTGCATCTTTCTATGTTACGGATATAGATGGAATCTCTATTCGAACATACACTCGGGTTCAGTCTGTTAAAAAGTTTATTAGGAAGTCACAGTTCTTGTTAACTTCTAAGTTTACTTCACATACAGATATGATAAGTAAGGTCTTAGTAAAGTTTACGTCTGAGAAGCAATTCCTTGACCGAAACTGGAAGGCAATGCCCGTTACTCCAAAGAATCCTACGGATATGCATGAGTTTCGTGGGGTAGCGTACGAGGCTGAAGACCTTTTTACCTTTCTTCGCGAAGCCTCAATTACCCCTGACAAAGACGTTTACACTATCGCACTTGTTTCCGAAAGTCAAGTAGATCCGCTTGTTACTGAACCACAAGTATCAAAGAAGTTACGACTGAAACAACATACGCTTGACATGGTAACAACTAGTACAACACCTTTACCTACTGTCAATATGTTTACGAAAGCGCCTACGCCTAAACCTCCAACTCGAATTCAAACTCGAACTGAACGAAAGCCTTCTCTTAAGGCACAAGAAGTAATAAAGCAGGAGAGAGAAGGAATAAAGTCACGCAAGCGTACGCACTCGCAAGTTGAGCAGCAGGGCCATACAGACGTTATTCAGGAGGATATAACTCTTAAGGGGGGTAGCCAGGAAGATAAGGAAGAGGACGAAATAGTAGTACGACAAGAGGAAACAATCGTTTAGGTATACTCTATATACTCAAGTTTCATCTATTTCTGAACTACTATCACTTCCTGACAGTGATGTATAAAGTTCATCTATACTAATCCCGCGGCTACGGAACTGTTCTTTTACCCATTCAATACCTCCATTTTGTTTTGGTAGTAAGTGAAGTTCTGGTTGAATCCTAGCCTCAATATATTCTTCAAGACGTTGCCGTAGGAAGTTATATGCTTCAATACGTGGATATTGTGTACCGCAGAAGTTTGTAACTGGTGGAAAGGTTTGTATAGGCTCCATAATACCTTTACAAACTTGAAAGACTTCGTGCGGAAGGAATTGATCCAAATTAAGTTCTTCACTTCCAAGTAAGTTTTGAAGTTTTTGAATCTTTACGTGATCGATTGGCTGAGCAAAGTCTTGTGCGGTTTGATGATCTGGATGATGATAAAGTTTCCATGGTTGACCAGAAACAACATGTGGGCGACTTTTTTGTGAGCGAATGCGATGGTTATTCCAGAGTTGAACAAAAGAGGTAAAGTCTTTACGGATAAGTGGCATAAAGATAAATAATAAGGCAACACGGTCAGAAAGCGATTGGTTATAAAATAAACCTAACGCTTGTAATCGATAGAAATATGCCTAATACTATTAGTAAATAAATAGATATAAAGGTAAATAATACGTACTCTCCAAGTTGCAGACTGTGCTTGACAAAGTTGGTTCCACCAGCTTTCAATCTTAACATTATGGATACTTTTACTAAAGATCCAACAGTCACGGAACTGAATAGGAACGTCTTGGCCTGGCTGTAAAGGGGCCTTCTTTGTACGGTCCTGTGATAGATACCAATGACTACCAGCAGTTAAGATAGTTTCTGTACCACGGTCTGAACGAATAGTTTGTGGCATAATACCCCGTGATAGAAGTGTAGATAGATATTGGGCTAATACAGAACGGGCCGTATGTGCAGAAAACCCAACGTAAAACCACACAATATAACGGGAGTATGCATCGATGCTAGCATATATCTCAAACCCAAACGGAAGTAGTTTATCATATGCATCGAGTGACCATATAAAGTTTGGACCTGGCGTAGTCCAACCTTTCCGCCGGTATCGGATCTCTTTCAGTCGGTTTGCAACTTCCTCGGGAAAAACTGTACGATATGCTTCATATAAGACCGAGCGGCTAATAATATGGCCACGTTGGCGCATATATGTAAAGAGGAATTCTCGGCCAAAGTCTCGTGTAACGCGTGCTTCATCACTTGTTGTAGAGGCAAGGAAGTTTACAGCTTGGTGAAATGCTGCTTGAAGCTGCTCGGGGGTTTGACGGCGCCATAGTTTGTAGCATTTTCGAATATCTTCTAAGCCACGTTGTGAGACTGTGAAGCCTTCCGTCCGTAAGCATAAAAGAATATCTAAATCGGATAGCCTATGATCAAAGAAGAGCTGGAAGATACGTTGTAGTAAGGCGCTGGAAAATTCTGTACGGACTTCGCGGCGGAGGTTTAAGCTTTGTAGGAAACGTTTAAATGTTGACGGAGAGACCTGAATTTGGAATGATTCGGAA